GCCAAACACTAACTAAACTACAATATCCAACAGCCAAACTAACACTAAATAAGTATGTATAACACTAAAGGCTACGCTAAAGACTAGGATATGCTAATGCTATATGCTAATGCTGAACTACGGCTAACCTCCTACACTCGCTTGCAAATCCAACTCCCAACTCGCCACAAGGCGTGGCCGAGACGCTCGTTGCTTTTATAACTTTGACACAGAGCTGCTACGTAGTACTCTACTGGTTTACGTAGTATCTTACTCTTTAGCCATTGGCTAAAATTTATTCAAAATGAGTCAAATTCTATGTTTTAAGCTGAAGGTGGCGCTATACTGTGGTATTTAGGCAGAATTATTTTTTTTTAAATGCACCAAAATGCTAAAATAATGAATACACACATTTAAAACACTATTAGACACTCATTTATACAGTTCATCAGCAAAAAAAAAGTTAATTTAGACGTTACTTGCTCTTTAACAACGTATTTATCCAGGTACGTGTGGACAGAGTTTTGTTTTAAAACGCAGTGGTGTGGATGCAAGTTTTTGGAGGGGCGGATATTCATTTTTAAAAAGCCCCGGCTACGTGTGGACTAGGCCTCAGTCTCGTCTCGTTCATGTTCCTAGCCTCTAGTGTTTCCAGTGCTTCTAGTGTCTCTAGCTTCTAGTGTTTTTGGATCGCTGATTTAGTCATTTGGATTTTTGGTTTTTGGCTCCCTGCCTTTTGGATTATCCCTAAATAAAGGATTTTATTCCATCTTCCACCTCTGCCTCGTTTGTCTGGTTCTCTGCACCTTGGGTCCTCACTTCCTCCTGAACCAACCCGTGACACAACGGGTCTAAATGAAACTAACGCTCTGTGCCTATAAACTCACCGTTTATAAAGAACATCACGCATTTCAGAAACATGATTTTTGTTTCTATGCCTCCTGGCTTTTCTGGTGAGGTTTTCTGGGCACGTCCAACCAGGAGGAGACCTAAAGGAAGACCAAGGACATGCTGGGGGCACTATGTCTCTCGACTGGCCAGGGAACACCCCAGTGACTAGGGAAAGGGAATTTTGGACCTCCCTGCTTAGACTGCTGGTCCCACAACACGCTCTGGATATACGGACGATAAAGGATGGATTTTTGACAGAATTTATTTGAGTTCTCAAACATCAAAATGTTTACTTTTTCCTCTCAGTTCTTATTTCTGCTGCTCATTTTCTACATGGATCCAGGATCCTCTGACACCTGGAAAAATGATGCCATCCAGTGGTGAAAAGGCAGACTTGTGTTCAGATTAAAAATGTTGGATCCACTGACAAATGAGTCATATTCATCCATCCATTAAAAACTGTTCACATTTGTATGAATTGTTTTCATTTTCTTTTGTATTTCCTGCCGTGGTCCCTTCCCGGCACTCTCTGTACCCACACTGACACTTCCTGGAATCCACAACTTTTATTACTTTAAGAATGTTTTCCTTCCCAGCAGTTTTCCAAGAATCAGTCATTTAAACGCTCTCTGAAACAGACACGCCCAGCCAGCAGTCAGTTGGGATTAGGTCGTCCCTTCATCCCCTCCCTCCTGGGGCAGACGGTTGCTCACGCCTTAATCCCGGATTACAGAACAAAATGTTACCTGCAAGAAATCAGTGTAGCAATGTGTTTTCTGTTCATTTAAGCTCATTCTTATTTTCATGTTATTAACAAATGTACAAACCCAATTATCCCAAGTGATTGGGCTTGTTCTGAGAAACACAGCCATATCTGCCCAGCACGAAAGAGGGATGGAGCAATAACATGTTCACACTAACCTCTTAGTTTGCTCACATTACAGTCAGTCATGGTCTCAGATTATGTGGCTTTGAGCATAAATTTGTGAGTGAGAGGAGAAAAAGACCGATTTGAAACAGTAATGTCAACGGGAGCAAAAGACGGAGCTCTCCTCGTCAGTGTGGATGTGTGTGTGTGTCCACGTGTCCACTTTAATCTCCACCTGAGCCTTCTGTCTCCCGCTCAGATGCCCAGGGTCAGAAAACAAGCAAAGCTGCAGCTACTTAACGTGAGCTGGGAAAGTGGATTCTGCTGAGCAGGCTGCACAAGAGCAGAAGGAGGACGAGTAAGAAACTGGACAACCCCTTCATCCTCCATTCCTCTTCCCCCCAAAAGGTACCAGAATGAAAACAATACAACTGGCGTTGAGGTAAAACCTCAAAAGGCTAAGGGGAAAGCATCGAGTTCTACCATTTCTTTGGATTGGTTTTTCATCTGTACTCACCTGGCGTTCTGGACATTTCAACTCTGCTCTCTGCGTGGCATGAGGACAACTGGAAGCTCTTCTTTGTGGACCAATAAGGGAGGGTTTGAGTGTTAAGAAGCCAAGGAGTCACCATGATGCTACAAATGAAGCTACGAGTAAGTGACCAGAAAGTTAAAAGACTTTTAAATTAAGGTTTTTCATTTATGTAATTTTGGCTTCTGTTATCGGTCATGTTAGAGGTGGAAAGATGCATCTTTTCTCAAAAACAATTACAACAAACAAGAAATAAAACACATTTAGTGAATTCAGATCAATTCAGTTTTATTTATATAGCGCCAAATCATGTCGAGAGTCGTCTCAAGGCACTTAACAAAGTAAACATTCCAATACAATCAGGAAAAAGTTTCCTATATAAGGAACCCAGCTAACTGCATCAAATTTACTGCAATCCTCATAGTAAGCAAGCATTTAGCAACGGTGGAGAGGAAAACTCCCTTTTAACAGGAAGAAGCCTCCAGAGGATCCTGGCTCAGTGTAATCAGCCATCCACCATGACTCACTGGGGATGGAGAAGTCACAGCAGACAAACACACACACACACACACCAAGTAGTGTCTACATTGTGATTTCTTAGTAGATATTCTAATTAGTAAGAGAGAAACTTCGTCTTTTAATTACGTTAAGTGGCTGGCAACAGCGTGCCAGCCGATGGCCTCATCCATGAGGCCACCACAGCTCTGAAGAATCAGAAGAAACTTTGCAGAGTGCCAGTGTAGCTACTTCCTCAAAATACATCTCAGTAATAAAATGATCAAAAACAAACCCAACATGTTCATGTTTAAACTGTGAAAAAATTCAAGATGTAAAAAAAGCAGTAAAGCTGCTGCCAGTGGCTCAGTACAGTCATCACAGTCACCAGCAGATGCTTGTTGGGGTCACCGTGGTAACCACAAACCATCCACAGCTGTTAACCTTATGCGTACGAGGCTTACAGGCAGGGTCGGTACAACCATGCTGTAGTTTAGTCTGGCCAGCTGCTGTTGGGAAGACTGACAGCTTAAAAAACAGCTTTTGTACTGATCATGTTCCAACAAGAGATTTAAACACTAAAACACAGAGAGCACCTGTTCACAGTTGAGAGGTCATTTATATACTCTTTATTATTCCCGTTTGTTAAAAACAATGATAAAAAATGAAATAAAGGTTTTTAAATATGAGTATAAAGTCAGTTAAACATCTGGTGAGAGGGTGTTGTTTATCGCATCAGCAGTTTTGGTGATGCTGTAAGGAGAAACAAAGTGGTGGCTATCAGAAGGACCAGTATCTGCTCCTTTATGTAAGGAAGAACATAATAAGTGCTCTCCAAGTCCTACAGTAAAACCTCAAGCAGGCCACTGGTGTGAAAATCTCTAATTAAACCACTAGAAACAGACTTCTTGAAGGTGGCCTGAGGGACCAACTACCAAATGTGGGCAATGCGCTTTCTGTCCAGCACTGTGGAGCTCAACTGGAGTTTGCCAGAAAACACGAGACTTGGCAGGTCCAGCACTGGGACAGATGAGAGCAGGTTCACTCTGAGCTCTTGTGATGGGCATGAAAAGGTCTGTAGACGTCCTGGTGAGTGTTAAGATGCCTGCAGCGTGGTTCAGCATGACTGGTTTAGTGGTGGATGAGTGTTAGTCTGGGATGGCATTTCCACAGAGATGTATGCAGACCTTTGCAGGATGACATCCTGACTGTTGTTAATTATCAGGATGAAATCCTCAGACCAGTTAGACCCTTCACTGGTGCATACTGGGATTCCTGCGGGTGCACGATCATTTCCAGCCTGGTGTGACAAGATTATGCAGGTAGTTTCTGGAAGATGAATGAATGTATGGCCCTGACTGGCTTTGTCTAGATTTATCTAAAGCATAACATGTACCACCAATACTAAACGTTATGATACACCATCCCAAATGAACCACACTTTTTGATATAGTTAGTTAGTTTGTTTGTTTCTAAATGTGAAAATTGACAAAAATGTTGAAGAATTACACAGAATAGAAGTAAAGATGCAATAATACTTGAGCACTGGCAGTAATAATAAAGTCATTCATTATTTAGCTCCACAGGTAATCTGTTTATTCAGAAAAAAATACACAAGTGGTTTTCATTTACACTTATTGTGCACTTGCAGTGAATTAGATATTTTGTTGTGTGTCTAAAGCCAAGTGGGCCTTGCTCTGCTGAAACATTTTGATGCAATGTTGTTAATTATGCACATTAAAATTCTAGCTATAAAATATCTTGGGTGACAAAAGACCTGACATCATCACTCCGCACACAGGACTAGCATGGAAACAAGTACACAAGTTCCACAAATGTATATTTAAAAACTCTATTTTAATTTATTTTTCTAAGGTTTTTATTATAACACAATATTTGATTATTTTCTGAGAGTGTGCAATTATAACCTGACCTGCCTGCCACAAAGTTTAATACTGGGTGTTAGCAAAGTTGTACATTTTCCACCAGTTTGTGTGGAAAATGATAGAAAATGGAAAATTGTGTGGTATACATGTTCTTATGTGTTTTTAGGTATTTTTATTCTCATTTATTGTGGTTGTTGTATGTTTTAGAGAGCGAACATATACCGAAGACAAATTCCTTGTAAATGTAATTTTACTTGGCCAATAAATCTGAAATCTGAAAAAAAAATCTGAATCTGGAGGGTGTCGAGTCACACTCCGGCCGCTGAGGGGCGGTGTTAACCCATAATTAAGTTTTAATGAGCCCAGCCTGGCTCGAGCCCCCACACACCTGAGCACGTGTCCACACCAGCCGACACCTGACCAAACATTTCGTCGTTGATATTTTGCTCTCAAAAAGGTAATATCTGATTCTTTCTGACCCGAAAACAAGGGAATTTTTGAGAGTAGCCATACCGAACGTGTGTGTTTGTGCGAGTATTCAATTAATATCAGATATTAACATTTGTCTTTATGTTGTGTTTAGACTCGAGTGAATGAAAAAAATAAAAATATGATCAAATTAGATCATATTTTTTGTTTTTGAAAATAAGTCCGTGTTTTCTTTGTGCTTTTAAGGATTATAGTGTCGTTTCTAGAGTCATTAATTTAAAATAAATTTGCCTAGCCCGAGCTGATTCATTCATTATCTGGTTGCACGCCTGTTGCTGCCTAAAACTAAATATTAGCGCCTGATCTTGTTCACTTTTAACACATTTTCCCACTTTTGAAAAAAGGTTTCTTCTCTTTTATTTTTGTCCAATTAGGACTGTTTGGATTCCTGTTTTGACCCTATTTAATTTACATTACCTTTTGGCTTCTAGGCTCTCTTATTTTATATTGGCATTAATTTAAATGTGTTGTCTGAAATTGTAAAAAATCTGCATCACATAATTTTGAAAATAGTCCCAGACACACAGAAAATGCTGAAGTTATGTTTGCTCTTTATTTTAGCACCATGGAGTGACCTAGTAATACAACAACCAGCTTTTATAAATTTTTGCCTTGTTTGCTGTGATTTTTAACTAAGGATGCACCGATATTATTTATTTGGTCCCATACCGATATGTCCAATATTACTGCCACTGTTGGGGCCGATGATACGATATAGATTTATAGCTACAGGTTGACATGTACGCTTCTGAAATCGCCAAATTTTGTATAGACTGAAAATTATGCTAGCTGACTTTTTTTATGTTTTGCTTTATTTCTATAAAGTGCAATTTGCAATATGTTACACACACACACACACACACACACACACACACACACACACACACACAATACACATTTACGGTTGTGAGATGATTACTGTCACATGACTAAACAATTGCACATCATCACCTTCTGAAATAGATACACAAATGGAAACAAGACTGAAAAAATATTGGTTCTTAATATTGGCTCGGTTTTACTTGTCGGACTGATACCGACATGTTAAAACATTACTGACACTGGCCGATATCGATATTGATGCCGATACTTTGTACATCCCTATTTTTAAAACTAGTATTAATTTGAACATATTTTACAAGCTAAAAACAAAAATACATGTTCTGTTTGTGTCTTTATTAATTTCAGACTTTAGCCTCTCCCCTAGCCAGGAAGCCAGCCCTTCAGGATCATGGACTACTACAGCCCCCAGTCTTCGCGTCGACACAACCCCGTGGACAGCATCTGCCGCAAACTTCAGACCATTCAATGGAGTGGTGATCGAGAACCAAATTCCCCTTTCCAGATTCCTAAACTTTTCTCCAGCAGTTACGACAGTCCTCAGTGTGGCCTCAGGCCCAACCTGGACGGCATCCTGAAGAGACGAGCCTTCTACGGAGACGAAGCGGAGAGCGTCGACAGAGGAGGAATGGGGATGCCGAGCTCTGCAGCTTCCCAGAAGAGCAACCTGAGTCCCTTTGTGCCTTTATCCACTCCAGCATGCAGCCCTCCCACCCCAGCTAACGTCACTTACACAGTCACAAGCACTCTAGGAGAAACAAAAGGAGCTGATAAGAGAGATTTAAGACAAGTTAACACCTGGCAAAGATCCTGTTCAACATCCTCCATCCAGTCCAAGGGTGCCCCTTATTTTGCTGTTACCCAAGAACCTCAGTCAGAACCATCTAAATGTGACAGAAAGACCCCGTCTTTGTCCTGTACTTTTACTCCTGGTAGCAGCTCCTTCTTCTACAATGTCAACTTCTGCTCTGCGGACACTGCAGCCGAGCATGAGCTGCCCCACCCAGCTCTGCTTGTGAAAAGACTATCCATGGATGATGGAGGTAAGAGGCCCTAAAGCTTTTTGTATGATTCAGGGTTGTTTGAAGGGTTTAACCACCTTTATGAAACAAAAACATCCATCAGTGCGTAAAACAAGATGCCAAACTCTATGGAAAGGGGTTAATCTACATGAAAAATGCCAAATAAAAAGTTAAGATCTCTGGAAAGAAAACGGTGTCCCTCAAAGACCTGGGCTGGACACCACTGATGTACTGTATGGCCAAAGCAAGAACCCAGTTGTCTAAATGTTAATATGCTTTTTGAACATGAGCATTCTGAAACAGCAGCAGCTTCTTTTGGGATGTTATCTCTCACAGTTGTCAAATATTTCCTCTGTATGCTGCCACAGTCGGTGTTCTGACAAGCAAAAGGTGATCAAGTGATGCTGCAGCATTTTCATATGGTGCCGATAAGTGGCCTTCATGTAAATAAATATGGAAACTGGGTGAGGACGAGGACATGCATCCTGTGAGCTCTTTTTATTTTTTTATTTATTTTTTGGCATTTTAATGCTCCAAGTAGGACAGTTCAGGTTTATATTGCGTGCAAGGGTCTACAAGTCCCTAAATGATGTTGCGCTGCTACTTTCCTGTCTCCCAAGATTTGCAAACACAAGGGTTGGAGTTTTCCAAAAAATATGTACACTTTTTCCTGTTAAGTTTTTTTTTAATTCTATAAATCACGAATCCAAGGACATAATTATCTTTTCCCATGATTCTTATTGATGAGATTGGCACATTAAGTTGGGTTTCCTGCATTCCTTCCACTTTTTGTTATTTGGAAACAGGAATGCTCACCTAACCATGACTACTCTCAAGGCAACAACCATGATTAACTGGAAACAAAACGTTGTTTCCAAATTTCTAGATAATCATTTGTCTTCATGTCCCAAAACAATCAGAAAAGACAGTCTCTGAAACCAGTTTTACTAATTATTTTTTAAATGAACAGTCACTGAGTTTGCCATGCTGAATGTGAAAATGGTCTTCTACCCCCATTTCCTGCATTAGCTTCTTCTAGAAAATAGATGAAAAAACGTTTAGTTTAGAGAAGCCTGAAAGATTTATGTCCGTTACTTAACATTCATGGACTCGCCCATCGTGACTCACAACAGAGAAGACTATTGTTGGTTTAGAATCCAAGAAACAGCAGAGAGCGTCTCAGCTAGTAGTAGCTAACCATTAGCATTAGCAACTCTAGCAAGTAATGTGTGGAGATAAAAACATCAACATTGCAAAGCAAGTAGTCAGTGATCGACATGTTACTGTTATCCAATCAGAGGTGAGATTTCCAAATTTCATGAAATACGACTCAACATCCTGTTGTGTGAAGAAACTTTCTCCTTCTGCTGAATTCCACGTCCTCGAACAGGATCATCTGACCTTTTTTCACCAGAGAATGACTTTAAGACATTCATTCCTACTTGAGACCACTCAAATGTATTAAAATATGAGTCAGGTTGACCTTTAATGTCTCTTTTATACACAAGAGATCTTATGGTCATGAAAAGTTACTGTTGTGCCTGAAGGAAAATGTATCACATGCCTTGTTTGTGTTTCTGTTTGTTTTTTTTCCCTTCAAAACCATCAGTTGCTTCTGAAAAAAGAAGAAATAGGGCAGAAATCAGTGTCATCGGTGAAGAGAATCTGCTGGATACCATATTTTATGCTTGCGACACTCAACGTAGAGGTATCTCCACTCATGATCACACATACAGATGCATGTTGTTTTAGTGGGTCATGTGTTTGTTTGGCCTAGCAAGAGGGATTCCTACCATGATGATGAATTAGCATGCATGTTTACTGAAATCTTGACGTTTTGTCATGAGCATTTCATTTCATGAAGCTAAATGAACCGTCACCTTATCGTGGTGGAGGAGTTTGAGTGCCCTAATGATCCTAGGAGCTATGTTGTCTGGGGCACTTAGTGCCCCTGGTAGGGTCTCCCATGACAAATTGGTCTTAGGTGAAGGGTGAGACAAAGAACGGTTCGAAGGATCTTTCATGGCGGTTAAAACGAAGAGTCGGAGTACCCGGCCCGGAGGGTTACCGGGGTCCCACCCTGGAGCCAGGCCTGGGGTTGGGGCCCGTGAGCGAGCGCCTGGTGGCCGGGATTTCGCCCATGGGGCCGGGCCCAGCCCGAACCGGATACATGGGCTCGGCAACTGTGGACCCACCACCCGCAGGAGGAACATGAAGGGTCCGGTGCAATGCGAATCGGGTGGCAGACCAAGGCGGGAGCCTTGGCGGTCCAATCCCCGGACAAGAAAACTAGTTTTTGGGACATGGAACGTCACCTCGCTGGCGGGGAAGGAGCCGGAGCTTGTGGCAGAGGTTGAGCGGTACCGGCTAGATATAGTCGGACTCACCTAGACACATTGCATTGGCTCTGGAACCCGAGACCTGGAGAGGGGTTGGACACTCTACTTTGCTGGAGTTGCTCCGGGTGAGAGGCGGAGGGCTGGGGTTGGCTTTTTGTTAGCCCCGAGACTCTCTGCCTGTGTGTTGGGGTTTACCCCGGGGGACAAGAGGGTAGCTTCCTTGCACCTTCGGGTCGGGGAACGGGTCCTGACTGTTGTTTGTGCTTATGGGCCAAATATCAGTTCAGAGTACCCACCCTTTTTGGAGTCCCTGGGACAAGTGCTAGATAGTGCTCCATCAGGGGACTCCATTGTCCTGCTGGGGGACTTCAATGCTCACGTGGGCAATGACAGCTTGACCTGGAGGGGTGTGATTGGGAGGAACGGCCCACCTAATCTGAACTCGAGCGGTGTTTTGTTATTGGACTTCTGTGCAAGCCGCAGTTTGGCCATAACGAACACCATGTTCGAACATAAGGATGCCCACCGGTACACTTGGTACCAGGGCAGCCTAGGTCACAGGTCGATGATAGATTTTGTAGTCGTATCATCTGACCTGCGGCCGTATGTTTTGGACACCCGAGTGAAGAGAGGGGCGGAGCTGTCAACTGATCACCACCTGGTGGTGAGTTGGATCAGATGGCAAGGGAACATGCCGCGTAGACCTGGCAGACCCAAACGCATAGTGAGGGTCTGCTGGGAACGCCTGGCAGAAGAACCTGTCAAGACGGTCTTCAACTCCCACCTCCGGCAGAGCTTTGACCACGTCCCGAGAGCAGTGGGGGACATTGAGTCCGAGTGGGCCTTGTTCCACTCTGCGATTGTTGAGGCGGCTGTTGCTAGCTGTGGTCGTAAGGTGGCCGGTGCCAGTCGTGGTGGCAACCCCCGTACCCGCTGGTGGACACCAGAGGTTCGGGGAGCCATCAGGCTGAAGAAGGAGGCCTACAGGGCGTGGCTGGTCTGTGGGTCTCCGGAGGCAGCAGACAGGTACCGGATAGCCAAGCGGGGTGCAGCAGTGGCAGTTGCCGAGGCAAAATCTCGGGCGTGGGAGGAGTTTGGTGAGGCCATGGAGAAAGACTATCGATCGGCTCCAAAGAGGTTCTGGCAAACTGTCCGGCGCCTCAGGAGAGGAAGGCAGCAACTCGCTCACACTGTTTACAGTGGGGATGGGGAGCTGCTGACGTCAACTGAGGCTGTAGTCGGACGGTGGAAGGAATACTTTGAGGAGCTCCTCAATCCCACCAATGCGCATTCCGAGGAGGAACCAGAGCTGGGAGGCCTGGGGATGGACTGTCCGATCTCGGGGGCAGAAGTTGCTGAGGTAGTCAAACAACTACACAGCGGCGGAGCCCCGGGGGCGGATGAGGTTCGTCCTGGGTATCTCAAGGCTATGGATGTTGTAGGGCTGTCATGGTTGACACGTCTCTACAACATTGCGTGGTCATCGGGGGCAGTTCCTAGGGAGTGGCAGACCGGGGTGGTGGTCCCCATCTTTAAGAAGGGTGACCTGAGGGTGTGTTCCAACTATAGGGGGATCACACTCCTCAGCCTCCCTGGAAAGGTCTACGCCAAGGTACTGGAGAGGAGGGTCCGATCGATAGTTGAATCTCAGATAGAGGAGGAGCAAGGTGGTTTTCGTCCTGGCCGTGGAACTGTGGACCAGCTCTATACCCTTGCAAGGGTGATGGAGGGGGCATGGGAGTTTGCCCAACCAATCCACATGTGCTTTGTGGATTTGGAGAAGGCTTATGACCGTGTCCCCAGGGGCACCCTGTGGGGGACGCTCCAGGAGTATGGGGTGGGTGGCTTTCTGTTAAGGGCCATTCAGTCCCTTTACCAGAGGAGCGTGAGTTTGGTCCGCATAGCCGGTAGTAAGTCGGACCTGTTCCCAGTGAGGGTTGGACTCCGCCAGGGCTGCCCTTTGTCACCGGTTCTGTTCATCACTTTTATGGACAGAATTTCTAGACGCAGCCGTGGTGTGGAGTGTGTCGAGTTTGGTGGCAGGAGAATCTCGTCTCTGCTTTTTGCGGATGATGTGGTCCTCCTAGCTTCATCCAGCTCTGACCTTCAGCTCTTGCTGGGTAGGTTCGCGGCCGAATGTGAAGCGGCTGGGATGAGGATCAGCACCTCCAAATCTGAGACCATGGTTCTCGACCGGAAAAGGGTGGCTTGCCACCTCCGGGTCGGGGGAGAGGTCCTACCTCAAGTGGAGGAGTTTAAGTATCTCGGGGTCTTGTTCACGAGTGAGGGTAGGAGGGATCGGGAGATCGACAGGCGGACTGGTTCGGCGTCTGCAGTGATGCGGACGCTGAGCCGATCTGTCGTGGGGAAGAGGGAGCTGAGCCAGAAGGCCAGGCTCTCGATTTACCGGTCGATCTACGTCCCAATCCTCACCTATGGTCATGAGCTTTGGGTAATGACCGAAAGAACGAGATCGCGGATACAAGCAGCCAAAATGAGTTTCCTCCGTAGGGTGGCCGGGCTCAGCCTTAGAGATAGGGTGAGGAGCTCGGACATTCGGGAGGGACTCGGAGTAGAACCGCTGCTCCTCCGAATCGAAAGGAGCCAGTTGAGGTGGTTTGGGCATCTGGTCAGGATGCCTCCTGGACGCCTCCCCGGGGAGGTGTTTCGGGCATGTCGTGCCGGCAGAAGGCCCCCGGGTCGACCCAGGACACGTTGGAGAGGTTACATCTCCAATCTGGTCCGGGAACGCCTTGGGGTCCTGCCGGAGGAGCTGGTGGACAAGGCCGGGGAGAGGACGGCCTGGAGCTCCCTAGTTGGGATGCTGCCCCCGCGACCCGGACCCGGATAAGCGGAGGAAGACGAAGACGACGAAGACGAAGACGAAGCTAAATGAAAATATGTTCAGGTTTTAACACCATCTGTTTATAGAGAAGAAATGGTGTCTTATGTCATGATGTAATGCATAAAGTAGTCTTGGCTGGTGCTTTTAAACAAAATGCCACACACTCTGAAAGCTAACACATTGCATGCATTTGGATGAATGTCAGCTTTTGGTGACCCTCAGCTACTACAGATTTAAATGTCGCTCCATTCATCCTCCAGGTAAAGTGTATGTGTCTCATATTGTTGACTACCTACGCCACACCACCAGTCGCACCCCAGAAGACACAGGACTGGAGGAACTTTGCTACATGCTGGATCCAGATCAGAAGGATGTGTCTATTGATTTAGACACCTACCACGCTGTAATGCGGGAATGGATCGACAACTGTCGGAATAACGGGTAAACGGCAGATTTTCTCCTCTCTCTGAGGCCTGTATGAGATCCCAAAGAATCATTATTTGATGATTTAACATTTTGAATTTTTTGTTGCTTTTTCTTCAATCAGACCAGGAATTGTTGATTATGTATGAGTGACTCATCTCTGTGTGAATCATTAGATATTTAAGTTGCTGAAGGATTTTAAAAACTCACCTTGAAATAGCTTGAAAAGTTCCTTAACCCTCCCACTGTCCTAATGGGTGTGATGCCGTGAGGAAAGTTGACCATTGAGCAGGATTGATGGTTTATCCCTTGGTTCCATGTGGCAGGGGTGAGGAGTGCAGGTCCATGCTGCTAAACATGACCTCAGGGAGTTTGGAGGCTTTTGGAGGGGAGGCATCCAGACCAGAAATGTTAGTAACATGCACATATAAAGACATAATCTCATTCTTAAATGTAGCTAAATGCTTTTAATTCGAGTTTGTTTATACTTGCTCCCCAGTGAAACATCAGAGCTGGTTTACTGTGTCACTGACCTTCAGATGAGCAACCAAAAGCTTCGGGAGGAGGTGAAAAAGCTGAAGCAGGTGGTGGAGAGCATGGAAGAGGGCAACCAGAAGCTAGCAGAGGAGAATGAGCAGCTACGCACTCGGGCCAGGGTGTAAGATGCTGTTAGCTAGCCACAGATGCACAGCAGCAACATTTCATGGCAGCAAACAGGTTTGTTGATTGTTTTCTGGTTCAGTAACCAGCTGCTGGCACAGAAGGAGAAGATGCTAAAGGAGGAGGTGGAAGAGATGAAGGCAACTTTGACCTGCACAGAAGAAGGCAGAGCTCGCGCCTCTGCACAAAGACAACATATGGTTAGTCAGACACCTGAAGGAGATTTGTGCTGTAATTTTCATCTGTTACACAAACCTATCTGGTCTATCAACGTAAAAGTAAACAGATCGTAGGCTCCTGAGTAAGGGAGCAAGTGGAGAAACTAAAATACTTTAGTGAGGATGCAAAATTATGGTCCTACTCCTTTTTAAAACAATAAATTAGTGCTTGGAGTTGGTTCAGTCAAGCTCAGCTCATAGACCTTTAGCTGACAGTGAAGCAGTATTCAGATGTGGAAAAATAAAAGTTTTCTGTTTAAGGTGTTAAAGGAATGTTGTACATCCCTCTGACTGTAAATCAAACAGAAATGAGTAAAATCTTTCATCTGCTATTCAGGATTCTCCGTGCCAAGATGTGTGAACCCCCAGTTGGCACATTTTAGGCTGAAAAAACATATTTAGGCTAATATCAGACTTGATGTGGTCTAAATGTTGTCTAAATGAATTACAGAGCTGTGGTCCTGCACTACACCTGAGCCTATTTAGGGGAAGCGCTGCTCTGAGTTGCACGAGCACGCTGAACATGAACGTTTTTTTCCCACTGCTGTTGTCTGCGTTAGCTGCAGAAAGAAAATGAACAGGAAAATGGTCGGGTTACAAAAAGCCAGTCTCTTCTACATCACAAGGAAAACTAACATTAATGGACTCGTTCACCTCGGCTTGTGAGCTCACAGGAAGGCTGTGTTGATTTTGAAGAAGAAAGAAACGATCTTTTATAAAGCGCCTCTCAAAATAAAAATCATGAGGTTCTTTGCGGCCAGGTGAGAGCAGATCATGTCTTGGCTAGTAGAAGCTAACAAAATGGTAAATGGTCTGTATTTATATGGCACCTTTTAGAGTTTTACAACCCCCCAAGATACTTTACAACACAGACATTCACGCTCACACATTCGCATGCTGGTGGCGATGAGCTACAATGTAGCCACAGCTGCTCTGAGGTGCATTGACGGGAGATGAGGCTGCTGACCACCACAGGCAGGCAAGGAGGCTGAAACGTCTTGCCCAAGGACCCAACAACTACAACAAACTGAGCGGGACTCGAACCTGCAACCCTCTGGGTACAGGGTGGGCAACATTGCCAGCATTAGGTGATGGTGGCACAGGAGTTAAGTGCTCGCCCCGTAATCAGAAGGTTGCAGGTTCAAGCCCCGCTCAGTCTGTTGCTGTTGTTGTTTCTCTTCCTGGCACTCGCGGAGTACAGAAGCTTCTCTTTTTGCTCCCTTATCTCTTTTTCCCAAGGCTCTTTGTCCTGTCTGCCCACAGAGTGCTTCTCTGCATTTCTTCTGAAAAACCCTATTTTTAACCATGGATTTGATAAAATGGTCATTCAACACGATTGATCAGATTTTTTCAACAATGAGAACAGAGCAGGGGGCTCCCACATGCCCACGGGAACACACCCGGTGGGGTATATGCTGGATTTCTGGAGGGAATGGAAGATCATATGCCTCTCCCAGCTGTCCATTGAGGATTTCGAAGACGTGTGGATATTCAGCTTGATGATCACAGAATTTCTCCTGATTGGAGTGGGAGGATATCTGGTTTTCTGGAAATTTGGGAAGACGGGAGCGATTGGAGGGCGACCCGCACCCATGGAAAGCACCGTCCGTGTGGAGACCTCACAGAATGGGACGTTACTCGAGGTGAATCGTAAGCTGGACAATGTTCTAGCTGCGATACCGGTATTAGTGAGCAAAATGGATGTCATCTCGGAGAGGGTCACCGGACGGTATGGACAAGTTTAAAAACCCAAATTGACTTCACTGAAGGACTGGAATGATCAGTTTAAAGACTGAAGGCAGAGAGGAAAATGATCTCAGCCTGACCAAAACAAAGTCTTGTTGTCCAAATCTGACGCCATAACAGCCTTGAGAGGCTGGCAACAAACCCCCACGAAGGAATGCAGACAGGTGCTGTGAAAACCCAACCAACCAACCCCCCCCCCCCCCCCCCCCCCCCACCGCCTTCAGATTGGTGGACTTCAGCCTGGCAAGGTCATCATTCATCAACCTGCAGGAGTCAATGTGCTCTGCACTTCTCCCGAGATCTCCCTCCCACCTGTGGCCACAGTGGTTGAGCGCCGTAGATGGCTGCTCTTGCTGGGGAAACAGGATACCAGCCCCCCCCCCCCCCCCCCCCCCCCCCCCCCCCCCCGCCTTCCTATCGGAGTCTCATGTTGTGTTGTCTGAAGTCTGTTGCATATCTGTTTGAGGTGTTTTTTTGCAGAGCAAAGCTGCCCTCCTGGTGGGAGGGTAACTTTGAAGTGCCTTTTTTCCCTCCACCTGAACCAATCCTCATGTAACCCTCTGATCTCTATTAAGGTAGCACGACTCAGGGTTGCGAATGACCACAGTCACCAATTCTTGTCATGTGTCTTGCCCATGTATGTCTGATCTCTGAATTGTGTGTACTGAAACTCTAATTTCCCTCTGGGATTAATAAAGTATCTTTGATTTGATTTGATTAGGCGATGGTGGCACAGGAGTTAAGTGCTCGCCCCGTAATCAGAAGGTTGCAGGTTCAAGCCCCACTCAGTCTGTCGCTGTTGTTGTGTCCTTGGGCAAGGCACTTAACCACCTTGCCCGCTGGTGGTGGTTGGAGGGACCAGTGGCGCCAGCGCTCAGCAGCCTCGTCTGTTTGTCAGTGCGCCCCAGGGCAGCTGTGGCTACATCGTAGCTCATCCCCACCAGCGTGTGAATAGGTGAATGACTGTGTTGTAAAGCGCCTTGGGGGGTTCCAAGACTATCAATAAAATGTTGGATCTCATTCACTTATTTGCGGAAATAAAATATGAACGTTGCATTCTTAACCAAGAAAAAAGAGCAACCGATGGCAGAGGAAGAGTGGTCATGGTCATACTTTTATTAACACTTCATTATTTGTAGAATGTATTTGCAGCATTGCCATTATGTCCACTCATTCTGTAGTTTACTCTTTTTGTCTGTTCTTCTCAGGAGAAAGAAAACCAGAGTCTCATTGCCAAGATTGCTTCTCTTCAGGAGGAGGTACCTCAAGTCTTCTCTGTCCAGCGAAATGACCTTCTTTGGCATAATTGGCACAAACACAGCTTATGTATAGAGGGAAAATTTCATTTCCTTTATTGTAAAAATTTGACAATTTTCTTGAACTTCCCACTGGTGTTTTTTTTTTTAAAGAACTTCAGGATCACTATGGAAACAGATGAGCTGCAGAAGAAAATAAAGGAGCTGCGTGACATTAACACCAGCCTTCAGGTACCTTTCATTTACCCATCACGTATTTTTGTTTCTGCCACATCATTTGGCTCTTTTTCTTTAATCACTCGTGCTCTCTCGATTTTTATTCTTGATTCTGTTATTTAAGAAGACTTGCCTAATTGTTTGAGTTTCAGCAGTGCAAAATAACGATGAAGTATCCACTGTTTGCTCTTTTCCTTCCATCAGGTGCAGGTTGACTCTTTTGATGCTGTTGTTAATGAAAAGGAATCTGTTATATTAGAGGTCAGTGCTGCATCTGTTTGATCTTTCCTTTATCTGGAGACGGTCCTTTTTTCTAATGGTCTTGCAGCCATTCATTCTTACAGTAATAACTAATTACAAAGTACCTAATAAATCCAGCTCTACCAAACTCAAAGTGGTGTTGCTTTCCTCCTGCAGAAGATCAGGCAGATAGATGAACTGAAGGCAGCAGTAGAGGAATACTCGGCCATCACAGAGGTCAGTGGGTTGAGCTGCATCGGTATTTCTGCTTTAACTCTTGAGCTACTAAATATTTACAAGTTTCACATGTTTTCTTTTGCAGAAGCCAGTTAGATTATTAAAGGCCTTTTTATTTTGTTTTACATTTCGGGTTTGGGTTAGTTATTTGTCTCTAAATGTGAATGGTTAGAGCTCGGCAGCAGGAGTCGGTTGACCGGGGTTGTGGGAAACAAATCACCTGCTGTGTGTTACGTGCATCCTTTAGCCCAGGTTGTTGTAGGGAGAACGTTGGCTATAAATATCTCACAAACTGGAATGAGTCATGGTTCTGTTATCTGTACTTGATTCCAGCTGCTGAGGAAGGACAAGAACAAACTGGAGAACCAGATGCAGATGATTCTCCCTGAGCTGGATGGGTGAGTGAACAGAAACTAGTCCGTAGATAAAGTCCCATTATGGCCTAAAGTAAACAGTTATAAATCATTTTTTTACCTTAAACTCAATTCCAAGTCTTTCCAGAAAATACTCTCCAGTACATCTTTTTAAAAAGTGTCTTTTTTAGTGTTTATTGACTGTTTGTCTTCCCCTCCCTGTTTCCATCCCGCTGTCTCTCTCAGTACGGGTCTGTCGTTGTCTTTGGCTTACAGAATAAACCAGAGCAGCACAGGATGTCTGCACACTGAACTGGCTCTGGCACAGTCACCACTGGAGGTCAGCAACCCCTTTATTCTGTCTCGTTTATTTTTTATATTTCTGTACAAGAACTTTTGTCCTATTGTTACATTCTCGGTATCATACAGAGACAGGATGGGTTTAAGTTGGTGCTCTCTTGTTTGTAAGGCCAAAGCCAAAATGAGAGGACATTATTCTCTTATCAGAAACACCAAGTACACATTGATGAATGTGTGAACCACTAAATGTGTGCAGTGGTGACATAACAAGGCATTGCTCTTTACAACAGGATGGTGTGAGGTCTGCATGGATCAGGAGAAGAGCTAAGCGTTGAGGAAACAAAATTTATCATTTTTTTCTTTAGTGAAGGATTTTGGTCTTCAGCACACAATAGTTTCATATTATAAATCAACTTTCTGAGCTAAAACCTATTTTATTACAAACTACTTTGTCAAATGTCCAAACTTGAAAAATATTTACAATCATTTTATTTTTATTTAAAACTGCCACGGATTAATAAAACTTCATCAGTTAAAACAAAAATTATTTAAAACCTAATATTTAAGGGAAAATACAGCGTTCTTTTTTTTTAGTTTAACTCGGTCAATGTTTTTTTTTAATCATCAAATACCTGCTGGTAAATTATTAAAGGTGTGGTTGAGTGATTTCTGATTAAAATCAGTTATGAGTTTTTGACCCAGGCTGAACATGTAAATAGTCTCCCACAACCATCTCCTGCATTAGCTTCTGATAGAAAACTATTGCACGGTGAAAATCCAGGATTTGAAAAGCCTGACCACGCTACATCACATTCAGTAGCGGTTTTAGGCGCGGGCAGACAGGGCAGTTGCCCGGGGCGGCATTTTTTCATGACACAAAAGGGGCGCACAAGCGCTGAGTAAAAAAAAAAAAGGAAATCTGCGCCGCACCGAGGTTTTCTATTATCTGACAGTGTCTGGATTGGAAACAGCAAGTTGGCGCCCCCTGCAGCTGCAGGCGCTCCTGCTGACTGAGAACGTTCACGTGCACCGTGTGTCTATGAAGAACAGGAAGGGGAGGGGTGCGGCGGGGGAATTCACCTCTGCGTCTTTCCCAAATGAAATGAGCGTGCAGGGGCTGAATCAACTGTATTAACATGGCTAAAGTCAATCACATCTTAACGTTCTTCCATATTTCATTCATAATATCATAAACACAGGCCTATCATTCTTTCAGGTTTCTCTGAATTGTGTGAAATGGCCGAATAAAAAAAGGAAAAACAAAACGATTTTGTGGTCACCCCCCCATCAAGGTCAAATAGTTTAGTCCTGACTAAAGGACACTTACTGAGTCAGGAGCCAAACAGAAGAGATGAACATAAAAAGGCTAAAACCACCAGGTGCCCCATTCAGGGGGAAAAAAAAAAAGAAAAAAGAGGAGAAAGATAAAGGTATGTAGCTCTCATGATGCATGTTTTCAATTTTTTGAACCAGTTAACTGGGATTTTAACGGTTAAATGCGGTCAACTAATTGCTAACAGAGCTAATAGGGCTGAAATATTGAAACGAATATTCAAATGGTTCAAAAAAAGTCCTTGAATCGTTTTTTACTGATTCAAACTAGGATTTGTTAAATGCTCACTGCAGCCTGTGGCCTGCCTGAACAACAACAAACACATGTTGATCATGTTCACATAATAATAAATAAAACAACTCTACAAGCAGAAGAAAACACCCCAGTCACCACTAACTATCCTGTTTATTTATTGCAGATGGCTGCACTGATTATTTTTTACATGATTTGTTCTGTAAAAGTTGGCATTTTTGGTAGTCTACAGTTTTTTATGTCAGTTTAAATTACAATTTCAGAGGCAATTCTAAAATATTATGGATCATGAGATCTATTGGAGATCTACCCCAACTTTTGGACTGCTCTGCCAGTCACTGTGGCTCAAGCTGAGAGGAGCTTTTCAAAACTTGATCAAGTCATACCTGAGGTCACCTATGTTTCAGGGGCGGCTCACTAACCTGGCTCTGATTAGTATCAATCACTCAGTAGGGGAGCAGATTTCATATGATGACATTATTGATGACGTTGCATCAAGGTTAGGTTTTAATTTTAGTTTGTGTTTTCTGTTCTAAGTGCAGTGCTGTAGTGATTATCTTTAGTTTGTTATGTGTGAAATATTTTTGCTATTTAGAATATTTATTATCTATTATGTTCATATATTCTTAATATTTAGTTATTGTTTGTTTTTGTATATTTGATTCTATATATTTTGATACAGTATATAATGTATAGTGCTTTACATTCTGACAACTTCATAGTAATTAATGTAAATATGTGCAACTTAGAAAAATGAATGTTCAATAGTCGTTCTAATAAACATGCCTGTTTGTAGAAAACATGCGTTTGTTCGTGCAGGTGGGGTGGTGGTGGGGCGGTTGGGGGGGGGGGGGGGGGGGGGGGCGCTCAAAGGGGGCCTCGCCCGGGGAGTAATTTGATGTAGAACCGCCACTGATCACATTATAAACTGGACTTACTCATATTGACTCACCACTGGGAAGGCTGTTGTTGTTTTCAGCATCCAGAATCAGCAGAAAATGTCTCAACAGAAGCTAACCGCTAAAAGCACAAAACACTACATTGTTACTATTCAGTACAGTTCTTTAGTTGTAGCTAACTTGGCACGGCCTAAACTCTCAGCAGAGTTGATGTTCTTCTGCTAACTGGATTCGTACCATCCCTTTCACTCAGGTCGCCCAGGGACCAGACACGGCCTCACCACTGGACGAGACGCTAGACAAAGAGCTGCTGTTGATGCTGCAGGGCCCTCTGCCTGACCACATGTCTCTGGAGTTCAAAAGTCTCCTAAACAACCTGGTAATTAGTCAGCCATAGAGCACAGCCCCACATTTGATCTATTGGCTCGTTGAGATGAAGCAGCGGTGCTTTATCCTGAATAAAAGCTGACTTAGCTTTTCAGAAGCTGAATATAAAATATTCTTCCGGCTCTTGGAGAGTACAGATGCTTTTTTCTCCTCTCCCTCCCCGCTCCTCCCAAGCTCTCTGTCCTGTCTGCCTGTGCACTGCACTTCTCTGCATTTTTTCTGGAAACTGGAAATTATTAAACATGGATCTGGTCAGTCGGTCTTTCAACGCGATTGACAAAATCTTTTCAACAATGACAACGGGACAAGGGGCTCCCGGATGCCCCTCTGGGACAGAGCCAGCTGGGTATACCATGGACTCCTGGAAACAGTGGAACTTGTTCTGCCTCTCTCAACTGTCTGTAGAGAATTCTGAAGATGTTTGGATATTTGTCGTTTTGGTGCCGTGATTCCTGCCTGAGCGGTTACCTGGCATAAAATTAATGAGCTTTTGAGGAATATTGGCTTAATCCTGGAGCTCAGGGATGGAATGCATCGTGCTGTAAACTCAAACTCATATAATTGTCGAGATGAGTCGTAAGCTTGGAACTTTGTCTGAGATTCAGGCTCTGGCACAGAAGGTTGATTCGATCAAGGAGAGCGTTGACGGATCAGCACGGATTGGAATAGTTTGATAATGCTATTATTGGACCTGGAGGGGTTGAAGACCGACAGAACTCTAAGGCAGAGAGGAAATTATCTCTGTCTGTACCCAAAACAATTCTTGTTATTTGAACCTGGTGCCTCCCTATCCCAGCCTGGGCTGGACTGTGACCGGTGAAGGCCGTGGAACCGTATCTAGGAGTCAATATGCCCTCTAACCCATTATCTCTCTCCCCTGTCCAAACGGAGGTGATGAGCGCTGCTCTTGCAGCTGCACGCTCTGAAGTGAGGAGAGTCCCAACTTATGTTGTATAATGTCTGAAGTCTGTGTGCATATCTGTCTGAGGTGTTTTTTTTGCATAGCAAAGCTGCCCTCTCTGTTGGGGATAACTCTGAAGTGCCTTTTTTCCCTCCCCCTGACTCTATCCTCATATAAACCCTCTTGATCTATAACGGCAGCGCGACTTGTGTTGCGAATGACCACAGTCACCAATTCTTGTCATGTGTCTATGTATGTATGTCTGATTTCAGAATTATGTGTACTGAAACAACTGAATTTCCTTCTGGGATTAATTTAATATTTTTGAATTGAAAAGAATTGAATAGACTTTATTGATCTCACAGTGGGGAAATTAATTTGCTTAAAGAAAAGAAAGAAGATAAATAACATTACAGGTAAACGCACAAAGGCAGTAAGCTATATTATTGTAACCTTCAACCACTAAAAACTACAAATAAAAATGAAGCTTGTTTCCAGAGTTGTGCAGCATACGGGACCCAGACACAGACACACTAATGTACATCTGGTATTGCAAGAGGTTTTAACACATACTGAATATTGCATTGATGTTGTGTAACATGGTACTGCCAGCACCAGTTAAACTGAGGAGTTATACACTAGATCACAATATATCCAGCAAAGCGGTATCTTTCTGAATGTGGCTGTGAGACAGCGGGCTTCTGGCATAAACTCTGTTCTTGGTGCAAGTCAGAGGGTTTTTTTTCTCATTTATTTGTAGTTTAGCCTTATTTTACACATAAATTGTTCCTGAAGTTGTCCCTCAGCAACTAAATTAAGAAGAATTTGAGGTGGGTTTGAGATTTTCTAGCAATGGCTGTCTCTGAGTGACCTATGATTCTTTTGACAATGATGAAAAGTCAAGCATCACAGTAGTGAGGCCCCAGGACTCGAGCAAGGACGGTGAGAAATCTGTTTTAATGCCTTTTGGAAACTCCATCATGAATTGGGTTTATGATTTGCCACCAAACGCTGGAACTCAGTCTGATCCGCCTGTTTCAAAAATGTGACAATAGACCAAAAAGAACAGAATTGAAAATGTTATCGGTAAATTAGTAATATAAAAACATAAGTTAAGGACTTGGGCTCCACATGTTTTAAGTTTTAACGTCCAATGTCTTTGCTAGAGGAATCATCATAAACTGAGTAAATATTGAGGTGTACAACAGTCTTTTCACCTGTCTGGTAGTATAGTTTAGTCTTACAAAGGTTTTTCATGAATATTTTACTTGTTTGTATTTTCATTATTTTCTTTTCTGTCTTCATTTTTATTTAACAGTAAGCTTTATATTCTCTTTCTCTCCCAGAAAAGTGATTTAATAGAAGAAACCAGCTCTGCCTTATCAGCTGTCAGAGACGTGTTGGACCACCGCACAGAGGCAGAGACAAACACAGATTCCTGTCTCCAGGTCAGACACACACACACACACACACACACACACACACACACACACACACACACACACACACACACTGTCCCCACCACTAAAATATGTTTAGAAAGAATAACATTAACTACTTATGTTTGGATGTGTGTTGTAGCATGAACATTACATGAAATAAAGCTACCTCAGAAAGACACCATAGAGCTGCACAGAACAAAAAGTGTTTACCAGTGTGCCGTGGTTAGTGTTAATCACTAAACTCTTCCAGATCTGTGCACATATGACACAACTCTGCAGGGAAGTGTTTCAGTGGGAAGTTTTCAATAGAATGAGTGAATGTTTGAGTGGTTTTCCTGCAGATCCATTAGATTTACAGCAGAGGGAGCAGATGGATATTTAAGGTGAACAATAGTTTGAAGTCTTCACCCTCATGCACCACTTTAAGATTTCTGCTCTGACCTGAGCATGTTGTGATTGAGAAGGATCTGATTTGTAGGCATCTGTGTTTTTCACCTTTTAACTCTGCAAAGAGCTCTTTAAACACTTGATGTGAATTATAAATGATGTGCCCTCTCCACCATCTTCTCTCACATGTTGCACTTTTTCATCACTCCGCCATCCCTCTCCTCTCCCACCCACTATTTCTCCTCTGAGATCTCAGTTATGTAACTCCAACAGCCCCATCCAGGCGCTGCTGGTTAGTCACTGTTGTACCACCAACTCTCCTCTCACTCTTTCTCTCTTTCGCTTTTCTTCTTTTCCCCTCCTTCTGCGTTGTTGCCTCTCTGCATTCATTAGCCACGTGCTGCCACGCAGCCGAAAACTCACCTGATGAGACTGAAAGTGTTTGCAGATCTTCGCTATAACATTACAAATCTGTCTTCTGCTGGTATGATTGCTCTGATGGACTCTATATGTTTCAGTTAGGTGGAACCTTTTTGAGGGAACCAGCTTGTGACTTCTGACCCAGAGTGGGAAACTGACCCTTTGCCTTGTCCTCCTGCAGAGAGTTCAGGCCAAGCTGGACTCGAGGAGAGCTGACTGGGTCGTCAGCCTGGACCAGCTGGCCCAGTACACGGACTCTTTAGAGAAGGAGCTGATCAAAATGGCCGGCAACATGAGGAGATCCCGCACGGAGATCCTACACCTGTCAGTCAGGTGAGTAGCTTTGGGTGTTCTTCACCTCTTAGAACATTTATTACGGTAAAACATGTTTTAGACCATTTGATGTTGGATGGATGGATGAAGATGTGGAGGAGACCCACAGTCTAATATGGTCACAGGAAGATCGTTTTTTCCGTAGGCTTTTATCTCATTGGGTGATTATAATTCCAGTAGGTGGGGCTGATATGCTCATAAGCTCTTGGATTAGATTTTTTTCCCTCCTTGTGTCCGCAGGCTTTAACATCTCACAGCTAGCACACAATTAAACTTTTTAACAAACTTAATAAAAAAACAAGTCTGCTCTCTAATTTACTCACAGCTTCAGGTGGGTCAACGGTATTGCTGCTGACTTATCCCACCCTGGATATAAACTTTCAGAGTAATTTACTCTTTCATGGAAGGCTAGTGTGGAAGAACCAGAACATTAAAACAGTTTCTTATTATTAGTGATAAAGTCGCTAGGAGAGAGACTCCCCTCCCGCAACTGAGCAACCTCCCAGAACCTGCAGATTTGAAGTTCGTCTAACTTCTTATCCTTTTAAATATACCTCTCCTTTTTAATATTTGCTTTAATTTTCTTTAAAATAACATTTGAGGGCATTGTTTTTGTGTTTGAATGAACATTCTGTAATGATAGTAATTACTATCATTGCAATTCCTTCTGTCACCAAGATGATTTCTACAATTGTTTAAACGTGACGAACAAACCTGGTTCTGATTAAAATGTTTGGCTTAAGATTTATAGTTTGTTCTTATTAGTTTTGTCTGCAGCAGAGCTTCTCTGCTTACGAGGTTTGATACCGGATTTTGATTCTTGTACAGAAGTGAAATGTTAATTTCACAGAATTAAAAATAACAGATTGATCTGCAAGGGACATCAGGTTACAATAGAGCCCATCTCAGGGCTGTTTTAATTATTCCACTCCCGCTGAATTTCTGACCATTCCCACACGTTCCCACAATGGCCAGCCTCGCCTCGCCTCAACCCACAGACCCATTATGTTAAAACAAAACATACTTAACAGTCAAATACACATATGCTGCACTTACATTAGTACTCAGTGAAGCTTGACTGGTTCGGGTGGCAGTGCGAGGTGATCTGCACAGGGGCGCAACTACCTACTTTTAAAGGGGTATGCAGACACATAATTGCTTATTATGAGCTGGTGACAACAGCTTTATATGCACAGTTTTAAGCTTTTCAGTATATTGGATTTTTCTCTCTAGCATTTCGTTTCCTAGACTCCATTTTTACTTTTGTTACCAACTTCTGATAAAAGTCCATGAACGCACCGTTGCCAAGCGCAGCAATAAAACAGTCCAACTTCTCTCCAGGTTTGTAAACTCAAAAGAATTCACACTAGCAAAAACCAAGCTTTCACCTGAACGGTTTTACTTCTAGAATCATAATTTTAGGTTAATCAGAAAGAAGTATTTCAGATTCTGTCAAAATTTGTATGGACAGGTTAAATCCATACTGGAATGTTAGTTCTCTGAACCAGAATCAGAACAACTGTAAAGTAAGCTTTATGCTAAATGTTAGGGATTTTATCAATATATATTTATCAATAAACCCATTTCCTGCAGTCAAAGAGAAAAGGAGAGAGACAATAAGCAGACAAGTACACCAAATTACAATCTGTGGCAGAGCACCAGTGTGTGTGTGTGTGTGTGTGTGTGTGTGTGTGTGTGTGTGTGTGTGTGTGTGTGTGTGTGTGTGTGTGTGTGTGTGTGTGTGTGTGTGTGTGTGTGTGTGTGTGTGTGTGTGTGTGTGTGTGTGTTTTCAGGCATAAGGTAATACATTTGTTTATAGAATTAAAATAATGAAATATAAAATTTCCATAACACTAAACTTCCAATAATAACTCTGTATTGTCTTCACGTGGAAAAAGCCTCTGATGAATTAAAGCCTCTGGGCCTCATGCAAGCATCTGGCTTGAGATGAAGAATGTATTTCTGTGTGTTTGACAGATTTTTACCTTCTACAATGTCCTAAATTTTCAGATAAAATATCAGTACAATGAATGATTAGTAGAAGGTCAAAAACTAGTATTTTAACAAGTGTCTGTGTTCCTAACCAAGGAGGGCTTTTCTCTGAACTCATGGTTTCTATGTTCTTTGTCTCAGTTGGTCGGTCAGTTGTTCTGACTGGGAGGAAGAACTGTCAGTTATCCTGACCTCATTAACCCCAAAAGACCTGCCTCACCAAGTTTGGATCTGGGCCATTTTTGGATTTTACTCCAAAAGAGTGTGTGCGTGTGTGTGTGTGTGCATGTGTGTGTGTGTTAGCCTTATGCTGCACGTCTGTGTGTCTGTTTGGATGTGTGTTCATGGAGACAGCCATCCCCTTCAGTTATATAAAAGGATAGATGAGAGTGATATCAGACCAGAGAGAGAGAAGTGGTCAGGTTTAAATGGAACGGGACTTTAAAATGGCACTGAGATTTGAGTTTTAGGCAAGGAGGGATTTCAGGTCCTGTGCGGTCTTGGGAGTAAAGAAAAGAAAAGTGACTAGAAGAGAGCGGTCCAAGGCCAGTCGGAGAACTGGCGCTGGTCACCCTGGGCAACAGAATGGGACACTGCATGGGCCTGCGGACTGGGTACAGTGTGTCTGCTGTGCTGTCATTCACCATCTCGGAGTTTTATTTTTAATCTCAACTGATTATGAAGAGTGCTGTGATAAACGTTCTTCCTTGTAGAACTGTTTCTTTGATCCTTGAGCTGTTAAGATGATTTGGTTTTGCAGGGTGCAGGAGCAGGAGAACCAGAAAAGACAGCTGTGTGAGGAGCTTGAGCAGCTAAAGACGTCTCAGGACAGCAGAGAGACCTCATGCCAGATGTCTGCACCAGAAGAGGAGGTCTGTATGGGGGGGTGTTGATGTGTAATAAACTGCACTAAAGTCTTACTGTAGTGAGTAATAACCACCAAAACAGACAAACCTATGCTGTTGAGGTGTTCAGTGGATGTCGTTGCTAACAATTCTATTTTATGTTTTAACACTATCTGGGATATGGGTTGGCTTGCCTGGAGAGAAATGATGCAACTTGTTTTGTTTGCAGCCTGATCTGTGAGTTGGCGGCAGAAGTGGACATGTGCTCCCACACTTGTGCACACAGGCTCTGACGAGGCCACACACCTACACACTTTAAAAACTCAGAATGCATTCAGGCACACTTGAACATCTCAGCGTTGTTGTAACAAAGAGTTCTGTGGTTGGAGTAATGGACTTACACAGAACAGATCCATCATCTGTAATCCAGGTCTTAATCTAAAATCATGTTTCCAGTATTAACCCAGAGTGACGAGATCTTTCAGTTTCAAGGATGTTGTTGTTTTTTTTGTTTTTTTTTTTGTATGTTGTACCTCTAACACACACGCGCGATTAGGCATCGATGAAACATGCTAAACCGGGGGTCTGAAATCTGTGGCTCTGGGGCCACATGTGGCTTTCCCACCTGTAGGAATTGGCTTCTTGTGATTTTTCCCAAAAGTCAAAGGAACCTGGGAGTGTTTTTATTTAAAGTTCAGCTTCACTGAAAAAACATGTTTTACCATTTCTGATTAAAGTTGGTCTCTGAGTTTTTTCATGCAGGCTGAACATGAAAATTGTCTCCTACACCCATCTCCTGCATTAGCTTCTGAGAGAAAATAGATGGTGAAACTCTCTAGTATTAGATCTGCATCACACTCACTCAAAGGTTGAATATGGAACACGAACACCAAATCGACATCTAGTGTGTGGAGGTTGCAGTTGAAACAATAGAACAAGGTTTCCAGTCGTCGGGATACCAGGTTCGTTGCCGATAATTGAAATGTTTTATTTGGGTCCATCTGTTGTAGGCTTCACCTAAACTCACTCTGGATTCAGATTTTTTGTGGTCACTTCTCTTTGGAGAAGGATAACTATATCTTATGGGCTCAGAAGCAACTGCTTGACTTGCCGAGTCCTCCATTTTCCACAGGGCCAGCCTCGCTGTGCTGAGCGAACTGTTTGGTAACCTTCAATGGTGCCCTCTAGTGGACGATAGATGTAAACATAAACCCAGTGTCGTGCCCGTCAAAAAAAAAATTGCTGATTTAAAAAAAATTGTTAAAGAAAATGTTGTGCCTTCATTCTGCACACCTCCAAATGCCCTGTGGAGGAATAATTATAAAAAAATATTGCTTTTAATCAAATTGTTCCATATTCAACCTTTAGCATTTATCTTACAGCGACGGTGGCACAGGGGTTAAGTGCTCATCCCGTTATCAGAAGGTTGCAGCTTTGAGTCTGTCGCTGTCTTTGTGTCCTTGGGCAAGACATTTAACCCACATTGCCTGCTGGTGGTAGTCAGAGGGACCGGTGGCGCCTGTGTACGGCAGACTCTCCTCTGTCAGTGCCCCCCAGGGCAGCTGTGGCTACAGTGTAGCTCATCACCACCAGGGTGTGAATGGGTGAATGACTGATTGTGTTGTAAAGTGCCTTGGGGGGTTCCAGGACTGTAGAAAATCAAGTACAGGTCATTTGCCATTCATGGACTACCCATCTTGACTTGTGACGGGGAAGGCTGTTGCTGGTTTAATGTCCAACAATCAACAGAGCATCTCGGCTAGTTGAAGCTGTTAGCATTAGCAACTCCACCACGCAGTAGAACTCCTCCAGGCTTGTGTTATTTGTGGAGATCAAACATCCACGTTGCAAATCAAACAGTTGGTGGTTGATTCACATTGTTATCCAATCAGAAGTGAGATGTCCAAATATCAGGAAATAAGACTCCATATCCTGCCGTCTGAAGCTACTTTCTCATCCAGCTGACTTATAAAGGCATTGATCTTTAAACTGACAAAAACAAAAAACGATTTTAGCCGTTTTTGAGTAGTTTTGGTTTCCTGCATGAACCCAGTTTTTACTTAAATTTAAGAAATGGCTTTCCATCAGTTTAGCACCAGATTTAAATGTCCTAAACAATTAAATTAAATTAAAAGAAGAAAAAACTTAGAGAAACATTAAAGATAAATTCCCCTGTATGAAATATGTTAACTTCCATTGCCTTTGCAGCTGTGATATGTGCAACTCTTAACTTTTTTTAATGATTTTCTTCAGCCTGGGGTTGACCTGGACTGGGAAGAGGAGATCGCTCTTCAGGACTTCTTAAAGAATGAAGTAGAGAGAAACTGCTGGGCCCAGGAGGGGCAGAGAGACTGTAAGTCAGAGGAAAAGAGCCATAATGTAACAGCTAAAGGAGAAGAGGAGGATGGGAAGAAGTGGACGGTGGTGGACACAGCAGGAGAAGTGAGAGACATGTCTACTCCTCTTTCCACTGTCTCTGTGGAGATTCAGCTTGTGCAGAACTCTGTGAAAGAGGATCAAGGTGAGTGGATGGATCAGCGATTCACTCCAAAAGACCCCAAAATGTTTGATAATTAAATTATATCGTTTTTTATGGAAATGTGGAAACTTTGAAGTACCGGATAATACGGCTGGTCTTTACTCAGCGTCAGCATTCTCTGAACTCCAATAAATGAGAATTTTTCCAGTGGGAACTGAACTTCATTTGGAGGAAACTAAGTGGGATTAACTATAAAAATAGTCCTGGATTTAAACGCATTGAAATTGATCTAAATATAAATTTTCTTTTTCCTTCAAATTCCTAAATTTTCCTTGGATGTGAATAAAATAACGAATGTCTTCAGATTCACTTAAGCTTGGATGAGGCTTCATGGAGGTGCAGTTACTGTTGCCTCACATTGAGAAAGTTGTGGGTTCAAATCCGAGCAGCAGTAATGTAGGTTTCATCCCACATCCTAAAATGTCCCAAGGTGTGTGTGAGTGGGACAGATGGACGACCTGTCCAGGGTGTCCCCTTCCTCTTGGATGATAGCTGCTGGAGCTTGTCACCGATGAGCACCGAGCTCCTTAATCTTCACTGTCAAAACTTAGAGGGTCTTCGTTTTAGAGGAAAACATTTATATCAATCAAAGCAAGGAAACTTTAAAAACCAAAAAGGATTTTCTTACCATTAGTTGTTCTGGTCCTTTCACATCAGCTAGACATCAGATTGAGACATTTAAATAATTTGCTTTAAATGTTTCTAACTTTTGCTTAAATTTGTCAGAAATTTTGAAGCTTGTAGCTGTTTTAAGATGGCACCAATTCACTTTTGTCCTGGCTTCACATGAAAAAGCTGTTTCTACCAAAGCAGACCATTCAGAAGCTAATTATTAGTAACCTTTGCAGAAAAATACAGTACAAAGGCTAATTTATACTTGATCAAAGCTAGAGGCGTTTAGAAAGAAGAAAGTAAAGGATGTTTTATGTAACGCCTCAAGACAAAAATCACAATGTGCATGCGTGATGGTGGATTACGTCTGATCCATGGGTGTCATGAGGTTCAGGGATGCCTTCAAAGCTCACTTGTTCACTATACGGATACACTCTGCGGCCCCTGGGTGCAGACCCTAGCCTTCTATGGTTGCTGTGGCTCTAAGATTCTTAACATTTTGTATGTGTGGGTGGGTGTGAGAGAGAGGGAGAGAGTATGTCAAAACAATATGAAAATTCTTGTCTTCCTGAAGTTCCTTCTAAGGCAGCTGAAGAAGTGGACTGAGGCCATGAAGGTAGCTCAGTAATCCCATTCCTCTGCCTGCATGGTTGGCCAGCAGGAAGAGAGAAGCACGGCTGTGTGAACGTGGATGTTATTGCCACTCAATCCATGCGGGGTATTTGAACCCTCAGTCTTCCTCGCTGCAAGCCTTACATAATGAGCAGTTTTACTATTTATGGTGAAGGTGCATCTTTTGTGAAAATTGACCGTTTCTCTGTCAGCCTTACAGTGATGCTGGTTTCTACCTCATTTACATGTTTTTACTGTTCCAGACAATGCTGCCTTTGCAGAATCAGACCCAGAACTCAACTCTCAGGCTTTGCAGGTAAATTAACCTTAAATGTTTTACTCATAAGTCTGATTAATGAGACGTGTTGGTAATGTCGGCTGCATTTAGTCAGTCTGAAATAACTTGGTTCACTTGTGACTTTAACAGAATAGGAAATATTTAAGCTAGCAGGTTATGAGCAATTCAACAGGTCTGGTTTGTTTTCACACTTCACTCACTTTTTTTCCCACACTTGCTCAGTTAGACAGTTAGATTATAGCTAAACGCTTCCTGTTGATGAGTTCAATGAGCCCGTTGCTCATCAAACCTTAGTCAAGGAGAGTTTCTCGATACTAAGCTTCAGACAACCAGTTCTTCTTTACCCGCTCTTGTGGCTGAGCAGCCTGGCAGACAGAGAAGGAAACAGCAGGTGGTGTAAATTCCCTTATATGTTTACTGATGAGAAGTCTGATGCAGTGTCATTGTGGGTGGCTTATTATGTTACAAAATGCGGAAGAGCACATTTTGAAAGCTACAGATCCAGTCCCCAACAGTTGATACCCCCTGAACAGAATGTATAAATCTGTATAACTCTTGGTTCTGTTGGTTTCCATCGTGCTCTAATTCGAGCTCAATCCTGAATCTGTAGATATATTTTTCCTGCTGGTCTCAGTCATAGAGAAGAACTAAATTTAGAAACGTTACAGTTAAAGCCAGATGGGACCAGTACTACTCCTGTTGTCTGGCTGCAGGTTGCATTGGTTTCTACAATAAATCTGCAGTGGTATGAATCCTTTGTGTCGTTTTCTGTAGGTAGAAAGCTCTGGTGCTCCTGTTTCATGAAGTAGAAGTTAGCTGGAGGAGAGGAGGGCAGAAACATTAGGAGTTCTACTCATCATTATTCATAATATGCAAACATCTCACCTATGATTGACTAACAGCAACTTTTCTGCTGGTTTTGTTTGCTTCTTTATCTAATGCTAACAGTTAGCTAGCTAATCGCTGACATATTAATCCATTTCCCTCTGGGATTAATAAAGTATTTTTGAATTGAATGTTGTGCTCTCTCCAAACCACTAAATCAACAGAGCCTTCCTGCAGTCTCAAGCCAAAGTGGGCGGGGCCACAAATGCAAATTTTCCCTGTGACGTAGAAGAGGACTGGGTTTTTCAAACCTAATCATTGTCCTATTTCCTTTCTGTGGCTAATGTAGGCGATGGGGGTGGGGGGGTGAGGGTGAAGAAGGTTTTCATGTTCGGTGTGCATGTGCTACTTAGAGTGACAGATCATATTACAGAAACACCAAATATTACACGATTTCTCAGTAAACGAGCCCTTTAAGGAAACCGCTCTTCTATTTATTGGGAGTTTATGACTTCACAATAATGCCAGCTGCGTCATCCACCTGTGTTTATGAGCCAAAACTGAAATTAAAATGGGGGCCACGAACACCAAAAAGCTTCTCCTCGAGCTGCAAATAGGACCCCTGAACACCCCCTACTTTAAGCAATCCCTCGTTGATTTTGTTTCATCTTAATAGCTAAATGCTGCCTGACTGCTGTGTTAGAGTGAACCAACTCATATTTGTGCAAGGGGTGGGAATGTTAAAAATTTAGACTATTTGTAGTCTGTATGTGAATAAATATAAGAACCGACAAACTGATTAGAGGTTTTATATTTCAGTTGAAAAGCAGAGAAGCTAGATATGACGTCTGCACCCCCAGTTTAAAAAATGGGGCTGCAGCTGCATCGTTTGCTTCATTGAAGATGCACTTTCAAATTTAATATTGGATATCAGACAAACTTCTGTTAATATTTTCACTGCATGAAAACGTTTGTCTTGTCCTTCACCGCTGGAAAAACACCATATTACCTGTAAGAAGAGAAATGGATGCAGAAACCACTGATTAGTGATAATCTGTTCGGAGTGATCAATGTTCTTTTCATGTGTTTTTATTGGTAGAAAAAAAATGAACGTATTCAGCATTTCTGTTTCTCCTTTGGTCATTTGCCTGGCAAATAGCTCTTCGTGTATCATTATTCACAGGCTGTGCTTTCAGGCTCCATATTTGTACTGGAGCGGTCCGTTTCCTTTTATAAAACGGCAGTGATGAAAGTTTGAGATCACTCTGAGGTGAAGCGAAAATATCTGACTTTCTAAACTTGGATGTTATGCATCCAATTAATTTGATCAGATAATTTTATGTGCAAAGATTTATGAAAACAGTAGTTAATAAAGACTTTCAAGTTATTTAGCTAAATTTTTTCATCAAAATGTAGTTTCTGCCCACTGGCGTACCAGCTGTTTGGTGCATTTAATGTGTTGCGTGTTTCATCTTTTCTCACAGCTAAGTGTTTTTATTTATTTATTTCGAATATTTATCATTCTGCTTTGGCATGTGTGCTTCCAGGAAGAGGCGGCAGTACCAGCGAGCGCCCACTCACAAGCTGTCAGCATAAAGCACCCAGAGGCGGATGCCCTCCCTGATAGGTCCTGCTCAGAAAACAACAGTAAGACTTTTTTCCCTCCTCTCTCGCTATTATTTTTCTCATACCTCTAATGTCAGCTGAATTGCAGCTCGACTAACCAAATAGTGAGTCATTTGCTGACTCACTTATTCTGCCAGTTTAGAGCAGAGAAGACTAAGTCCTGCTAAATAAAGATCAAACTCCATGTATGTAGTGTGTAGGAGTTTTAACTGAGCTGTTATGTCACGCTGTTGTCAAAATGTGTGATTGAATTATGACTTTTGACGCTCAGACCATCAGGCTTGCACTGGGAGTTTTAATCATAACAGGGATTGTTTTTCTGTATTAGCAGGTGGGGAGGTTAGTGAGACAGCGGAGTTTTGCGTCAGTCCTGAAACAACTCTGACGCCAGCGCCTGGACACGACCAAACCAGAACACCTGCTGACCCTCCTGCAGCAGCTAGTATGGTTTCTTCCAGTGGCAACTCGCCTAAGCCAGAGAAGACTCAAACCCAGAGGTGAATTAAATGGATATCAACTGTATTTTGTGGGTTTTACCACTAGAGGCCTCTAAAGTTTACATGTAGGAATGGAGGGTTAAACAGTTCTTTATACAGTGAAATCAAAATTTTATCGTGAACTACAAAAAATTTTAACTATATATCTTTTTACTGTTTTGCAAGTCAACAAATAAAGCAACGTTACCGTTTCCAAATGTACTAAAAAGACACAATTTGGCCAAAAATCTTTCTGAGCAGATTTTATTCATCGTTACAAGTTTGCAAAATATTTTGTAGCCAATTCCTCTAAAACCCTGACCCAACATAACGCTGGCTGAAGTGGCTGAGAATAAAATTAGGTGCTTGTTATTATGGCAGTGGTGTCTGATATTCCACACATGCTAGAGCTCTCTAAACCTAGTCCTAGGATCTCTAAATTTTCTTAGTCAACCATAGAATACACAGCCCAGCAGAAGTCAGAATATTCTGTTTCCTCAATTTCAGAAATCATGCACACAGATCTGGACATTAAGAAGCAGATTCCATCAAGTTGGACAGATAACTAAAGCTGCAGTGGCAAATCTACAGAGCAAGCAAGCTTAACCCTTACTGCACATTAAAGCATTTTTTGTGCTCAAATGACATTAACGTTAGAAAATTTAAACGTTGGGTAAGGGTTAAAACAATTTTCCATGCTTCTTAACAACTGTCTAACATCGTATAGCTATTAATCTATTGTAGAGATAAAAAACAACAACAATGGAGTGGGTTTGTTGCACTTGTTTAAAAACCTCCACCAATAGCACAACTTGAACTGAAAGCACCTATTAGGCCATTCAGTCTCACTGAACTGCTGCACTTCTGCATTTGCCTGGATCCTCCACTCATTACGCACGTATTTAGCAACAGAACACCACTGGTGTGAGAGGCTCGTGGCTCAATAATATCGAAGTAGAAACAGCTGGCTGCTACCACTTCATCTTTAGGACAAACCACCGGAGTCCCACAAAGAAACACACCATTTGAAGTCATAGACAACAAGACATTTGGACCTAGAGAACAGCAACTGGTGTTTAGCGCTATCTCGTTTCCTCTGACAATGTGGGTTTCCGGTTCCAGCAGACATGGCCCAGGGAAAATAGTCACGAGATAAACTAAAAAAAAAAATTAATAACTGCACCAATGTAAACCAACTGTAGTCTTCAAATACCTGCAGACACATGTAGACTACATACTAGGTGACCGTCTCTTTCTAAGTACTGTAGTAAAATCAGCATGAGGACACAGACTGTAGGATGTCAAAATACATAGTACCATACAGAAAGGTGTTTTTATAACAGAGGAAAACTTTTTTTTTTATTATATGGAGCCTGAAAGCACAGCCTGTTTTTTTTTTTAATGAGAGGCCTGCAACCTTAATGATTTTATTGCTGTTTTTGTTTGAATAATAAATGTAATAGTTTATGGCTTTACTTGTTTCTAAAAGAACAAATGTAGGTAGAACTGTTTTCTCTGTATGGTTCTGAAAATTTTGTGTTTTGGTAGAAAAGTTTTTGTTTTTGCCCAATATTTAGAAATAAACAGTAATCACATCAGAAAAAAACTCCTTATTTTAAGCATCACACTTGTTTTGCTGCCCTATACAAATTATGGTAAAATGTCTCTTGGCCATAAGGACTGTAGACCCCTGCCCTACCCTGAACAATCAATCATCATATTACCGTACCTTACTGTATGAGATTAAATCATATATTAACAGCACTGTATTCATATTTAATCATCAACCCTAAATAGGATGTAAGCAATGCTGCGTCATTTATAGTTTAATTTATTTGGCAGACGCTTTTATCTAAAGCGGCGTACAGTTGTTAACCTATAGGGCATGTTGTGATCTGTGGGGGAAACCAGAGTACCCGGAGGAATCCCATGCATGCATGGAGAGAACATGCAACTCGATGCAGAAAGACTGCAGCTGGGTTTCGAACCTGCAACCTTCTTGCTGCGAGGCAACAGTGCTAACAACTGCACCACCATACAGCCCAAATGAATGCATGCATTGTAGTGTCTGTGAAGGTTCTCAGTCATCCAGGTCATTGTAGTCTAAGGAGCTTTGAAAGAAAAGCATCTGGACTTCTTTGAGTTGCTTGAAGACGTTTCACCTCTCACCCGAGAGGCTTCTTCAGTTCTAAGGTCAAATGGTGGAGTGAAACTGGTTCACCCGAAAGACAAAACTCCTAAACACAAACTGAACAATGTGGTGTATGCTGTACAGTGCAGCGAGGAATGCCCAGGCCTCTACATCGGAGAAACCAAACAGCCACTTCACAAGCGCATGGCACAACATAGAAGAGCCACCTCCACGGGACAGGACTCAGCAGTTCATTTGCATCTAAAGGACAAAGGTCACTCTTTCGAGGATGCCAACGTTCACATTTTGGACAGAGAGGACAGATGGTTTGAAAGAGGAGTAAAGGACGCCATTTATGTCCACTGTGAGCAACCATCTTTGAACAGAGGCGGTGGTTTATGACACCAACTGTCTGCCATCTATAATCCAGTTTTGAGATCCCTTCCCAGATGCCTCAACGCCCACGCATATCCTGGGCCATCTGACCTCAGGAATTCACATGATAGGGTGGGGCCAGGCTTCAGAATGAGCTCACCCGAAACTCTGGCTGAATAGGACCCACACCCACCCTCACACCTTGGCTCATGTGTTTACGTAGATCATCAGGGGGTCTTTTGTTCCCTCTTCGGGGGGAAACTCCCACTGGGTTTGAATCTGGGACTCTCCACCATTTGACCTTAGAACTGAAGAAGCCTCTCGTATGAGAGGTGAAACGTCTTCAAGCAACTCAAAGAAGTCCAGACGCCTTTCTTTCAAAGCTCCTTAGACCATGCATTGTAGTGAATGCAAACTGTGTTGAAACAAAGCATATTAGCCAAGAGCTGCCAAGAGAAGTGTTACCTAAAAAAAGAGCATAGGCTGTCAGGCGGAATGAACAATGGTTCCATGGAACAAACGTAATTTGTTGTAGACATAGGTTAGTGATTCTGATGGTGGTGTTCTTTGAGTAGAGGCTTTTATCCAGAGTCACTTACAGGTTTCCTATGAGACGTTTGTTTAGTTTATGAGAGGAAACTGGAGCACTCTTAAGAAAACCCATGCATGCATTGGGAGCACATGCAAATGCCATGCAGAAAGGCTGTGACCAAAATTTGAACCTGCAACCTTCTCTCTGCAAGACAGAATGCTGCCCATTTGGTTCGTCATGTGTCTGTTTTGTAATGGTGTCAGTTGCCTAAAGATAAAATTAAATATTTTGTTGTTCCTGACTGGTCTAGGTGAGAACATGGTGTTTGAAATTGTGCATTCTCCTTTACATTTCAGCTCATGTTAATAGCAGGATATACGAGTCCTGCTAAACATGATGATGTCTAAAGTCATGCCAGTTTCATTGAGGTTGAGCATTTCCCTGTGACAGGCCATATTTGTTAGTCAAATGGGTGTTCTTCCCCCTGTGGGAGGCGCCCAGGGGCTAATCAGTCTCTGCGACCAAACTTTATAGTCACAGTCAACCTTCAACTCTATGAAGGCTTTCCATCACTGAACCCTTAACCACTGCCAGATCGCACACAATTTTTACTGTTTACCTAAAAATCAAGTTTTCTAAAATGGATTGTGTCTAAAAGTTTAACTTTGACTTTTCAACTGTGGCCAGCATCCAGCCGCCCTGTGAGAATTACAGCAGAGGAAACGAGAAAGACGTTGAAGCGGATTCAAGCGCAGCAGAGATGAGCCCACATAAGGTTAGTGGCAGGGAGGAAGTGCTTTAATGCACAAGGGAATACAATTTCCTCTGTTCTCTTCAGCACACACTCTCCACCACTTCCCCTTCCTCTTTTTGACCTGCTCAGTCTTATCTGGTAATTTTTGGTCTTTGTTCTGCTCCAGGTGTGTTTAGGGTGGTGGGTCTGCAGACTGGACGTAGACCAGCTGTAAAAACATAAAAAAATTAAATGCCTTTACTCAAAATTATAAAAATTTGGGAGGAACTGCTCAAGGAAAAGCTAAATAAGGGATTTATTATGTCATTTAAAGGACTGATAAAATCTAACTAAATTTATCCTTTAGCAATGTTTTCTACTTTTATGTTTTTATATCTTACATTATTTCTGTAAATCAAATGTGTTCTATCATTACCAATAATTTAAGTGAATTTATGTTGTTATTTTTGTATTTGACACATTAGGATTTTGTTGGTGTCATGCTTAGAGAAAATACCAAATTTGACCCATTATGTTACTGAAATATGTGATGTAAAATTTAATGTTGGTAAAAATCATCTGTAGGTAATTTGTCACAGGACTCTTTTAGTTTGTATTCAGAGAATAAGTGCATCTCGGGTTCTGAGCTCATGGCGGATGTTATGTACGACCGTTACACAAGAATCCATTGCGTTACTCTTGATTTCTCAGCTCTCCGTGGTGCATGTATGTTAAACAGTATTTTCAGCCTGTCCACCTACTCTATTATGTTATCCATGTTAACAGTTAACCTGATACCAGTTAGTTACACAAACACACTTGTAGAGCTGCAGAGGTCTCCACACACTCGACTCGCATCATGAGAGATCTATCTCTCCCACGCTCGGCTCAGATTAAATTTCCCTGCCATGGGACAGGTATGCATGTTTTGCATGCTGCGTTAAAGATATATTTTAAAGCTCCAAACTTCCTCCTTTGTTTGTTTTAGATCCAAATGCGGGACCAGACTGCAGATAAGCCAGCTGCTGAGGACAGGTGAGTGGTGAATTTCTGCTGTTTACAGATTGAAGCTGCCGTGCTAAGCTGTAGCGTTCGTACCTGCAGCACCAGCCTGTTGCCTGTGCTGGTGGAGGAAGAAGAGAGCGTACCGGACATTACAGCTGATCCTCCAACAGTTTCAGTCAGCCTGACAGGTTGGAGGAAACCTCTGAAACATTCAGCTTCTCATGATTGTTTACTCCTTCCTTCGATGAGCAGTTTTAACCGCCCGCTCTCTTAAATCTTATTTCAAGGGACAAACCAGTTCACCAGCAGTGGGCCAAACGCCTTTTCAGAGAGGAGCGTTGCTCAGTCAGGATCATCCATCATGCCCAACAGCCAATCAGGGAGCGGAATGAGCAACACAACCTCTGATCCCATCTGTCCAGAGCTTAGCGCGGACAAGACCGACCCCTCTCTTAGCAAAAACACAAAAACACAGGTAAGAGCGGCATCCCTCCTCTAAGTTTATCATATTTTGAAATGAATCTTTGAGATTAGTGCTGAAGTTGAATTTATTGAACATTTTATTTATTTTTGTGATATTTTCTTTTAAGACCAAAGTAGTAACAGGAAGCACTTTTCTTAAAACAGCTGAAGACACCAACATCATGTTGTGTGAAGATTTCTCAATCGTTATTACTTTTTATTTGTTTAATTTGCAATGAGACTGTGTGTTGGTGTGTTGAAATCTAAACATGACAGCATGCTGAAGAGAAATGTGGTTTTAGCAGCTCAGTGAGTGCGTGGCCATGTATATAAGACAGAGACACAGAAGCGATTCGTTTTGGCTCTCCGTCTGGGCTCTGTTCATCTTCGATTCTAAACTCTTCGTTATGTTAATAGTGGGGCAGATGTAAATGGTGATATGGATGCTAAGGAGAATGTATGGAGCAGAACAGAGGAGGCATCAGGAGAAGGAACCGGTTGAGGAAGAAACCGTCATGTTTGTGTGTTCTTTGCAGGACCTGATGCGCAACATGGAGCCCAGAGCTCAGGATGAAACCAGCGAGATCAGCGTGGCTTCCAGGAGGGAATGTACGTCTAATACATCAAACACAAATCTGTTCTTTTGTTCAGTTTATTAAAAATACGTTTCTTCATCTTTGACTTTCTCTAGCGGAGACTTCTGTGATTTCTGACAATGAAGATGTCTTCAGAGAAGACAGGATCAGGTGGGATGGTGAAATTTATCCTCATTCGTGTTTATGTATGAGAATGATTCTTACCAACTCTTAATTACTTTTTCTGCAGTTTGTCACCCAGTGACAAGGAGATAGAGGTATGTATTTTAACTGACCGTAAACCAATATCAAGTAGTCTAATAAATGCCCTGGTCATGTGAGACATGCAGAACTAAAAACAAGTTGTGCTTTATTTATGTATTTTTTTTTGGAATTTACTCACAAATAATTTATACTTCTTGTGTCGCCAACTCCTCTATAAGTTGTCTCACAATTCCTTCACTTTCTGACTCGCAAACTAAATTGACAAAGTGAAGTTGGTCAAGTTTCTGCCTACACAATCACTGAAACCCACTTTAAAATGAATAACCTGAAGTGTTAACTGTTTAGTGTTACTTTAAAGCAGATTTTAAATGTGAATGGAACTTATCTAGCTTAATATACTGAGGTTCTTCTAAAATCAGGGTTTTTATTGGAATGATAATAATGCATTGAACCTACAGTATATAGCGCTTTTCTCGACACCTAAAGATGCTTTCACACACTCACATTCACACACTGCTAGTGATGATAAGCTACTTGTAGCCACAGCCGCCCTGCGGAGGTCTAACAGAGGCGAGGCTGCCATTTGGCGCTGTCGGCCCCTCTGACCACCACTAACACAGGCAAGTTGGGTGAAGTGTTTTGCCCAAGGACACAACAGCAGGATACCCCTGGTGGGAGCTGGAATCGAACCCATGACCCTCCGATCATGAGGCAACCCGCTCTACCACCTGAGCTACTGCTGCCCCATGATGTCACTAAATATCTCAAGAGGTTGAGCAGCTTGTCCAGTAATCTGAGGGTTGCCTGTTTGATTCCATCTCGTTCCTATTTCTGCTGTTGTGTCTTTTGGCAAGGCACTTCTCCTTCCTAGCCTGTGTTGATGGTGGTCAGAGGGGCAGATCTCGCAATGGTCAGTCTAGCAGTGATGTTGGACTTGTTCTCATTCAGACGGAGTTCCAGCGTCTGGCTCTTGGGTTTAAATGTGATATGTTCACTCTGGAGAAGAGGCTCCGCCTGGAGGAGAGGTCACGTGACCTGGCTGAGGAAAACGTACGCAGGGAAGTGTCCAGCTGCCAGGGCCTGCTGCAGGTTTGTACGCAAATCACCAGCGTTCTGTGAATAGAGCATTTGTTTTTGTTTTCTGTGCTGCTGGGGGATCTGAGTTTTTATCTGGTAAAGACATTTAGACATCACTAGATAATTTGTAATACTTCTGTAAATAGTTTTTATGACTGCACCTGTAGCAAGACTTCTTTTGTTTTTGTAAGGTAATCCTGAGATTTAGTTCTCCAGAGATTAAAGTTTGTTCACATGAGCGATGACGGCTTTTCGGTTTTATTTATATAATAAAGATCCCGTTTCAGAGAAAATTTGATGCTAATACTACAAATTTATGAATTAATTTAGCAGAACAAGGCCTTAAGCTCACTTATGTACAAGTGTTGTTTCTCAAAAACAATAACTTGCTTTTAGTTGGACCTTGTTTGTTTTCTGCCTAAATGCTATCTGACAGGCATTAAGTAGAATTATTGAACCAATGAGAGGACTCCTTCAAATGTTTACTAAAACCAATGCCAGTGTCAGTATGGTTATTTAAATGCCAACGCAATCTAATGAAAGTCAGCAAATAAAATTCATCTACCACAGTTGATGGGGATCATGCGAAAGTAGTTGAGACTTTTTAACTCATGAGAGATGCTTCAGTTTTGTGGTCATGTTTCTTCCAGAATTATGTCGGTGCTGAAATCCTGTTTTGTGCCTTTCATCTGAGTTCTTTGGTCATTTTTGCATTTGCAGCTAAATGCATCTAAATGCCTTTGCAGCAGGGATGCTCCGTTGAGGTTTTTTGCTACTGATCACCGATATCGATCACATTGATCGGCCATAATTTAGTTATAGTAACAAACAATGTAGTTGAGTGCTACAGACAACATGAGCTGGGACGAAGGAACGATAACATCCCCTTAAATGGCCTTTATTATTTTAGACCATCACGTTTTTATATTTTCAATGGAAAAGACTTTCAACGCAATCAGTGTTTGGTGACCAATCAGTCAGAACATCCATACTTTGCAGCAGTTACCTGTTATACAGTAACATTAAAGATCTCCAAGATGCCTGTTGTGTCAACACTATATTGGTTAATTCTTTAGGTTAAGGAGCCTGGATATTTCATAGATGAATGACAAAACAGGCAAGATGTGAAAACATTTAGTTGCAAAGATGACTGGAAAAGATTTTCAAAAGCAGCCGATGCTTAAAGCACGAAAAGATTTGCTGGAGGAAATAAATGGTTAAGTCTGAGTTTTAGAAAATCTAGTCAAATGAGGGTTGTCCCTGGACTTGATGATTAATGTCGTCTGCCCTTATGAGGTTTTGGTTTGCAAACAGAGGCATGGTATTAATTTGGAGGATATGATATGCAAAATGTTTTGCAGCACTGACCGGAGGGCTTTGCATGGAAGCATATTGTGAATGGGCTGCTCTGTGGTCCTTCCAGTGACGCCAGAAATGTCAGATGAGCCTTATTGGTTTTTCAATAAGTGACTAAAAGCTTCCCTCTGTTTTTTTTTTATTATTATTGTAGAGTGTATTTAATTTTTCACTTTTCCTCCCAGGCTTTGATTCCTCTGTGTGATGATGATAGCCAGTCCATGGAGATCATCCAGAGGCTCCAGAAGAACCTGAATATTCTTATCCAGTCCATGACCAGGGTGTCCAGTCGCTCGGAAATGTTGGGAGCTATTCACCAGGTCAGCTGAATGCTAACATGGCAGTCTGCATCAATATTGTGTACACTCATTGGCAACTTTATTAGGTACTTTTGTATGACCTTCTTCACCTCTCTCTTTATTCTGCTCTCCCCACCTATTCCACCTTCCTCAGGATCCACTGATTTCCCTCTTTCCTATTCACTCTCTCTCTTTCTTAACATTTTTTAATCACAATTGTCTATTTTTGCTCATTTTAAATATATTTTTAAACATTTTCTAAATGCTTTTTTATATTTTTACATTTTTCGGGGCGACTGTGGCACAGGAATTAAGTGCTCGCCCCGCAATCGGAAGGTTGCAGGTTCAAGCCCCGCTCAGTCTGTCGTTGTGTCCTTGGGCAAGACACAACCCACCTTGCCTGCTGGTGGTGGTCGGAGGGACCGGTGGCGCCAGTGCTCGGCAGCCTCGCCTCTGTCAGTGTGCCCCAGGGCAGCTGTGGCTACATTGTAGCTCATCCCCACCAGTGTGTGAATGTGTGTGTGAATGGGTGAATGACTGATTGTGTTGTAAAGCGCCTTGGGGGTTCCAGGACTCTAGAAGTCGCTATATCAAATACAGGCCATTTACCATTTGTTTTTGTGAAGCGCCTCGTGATTTTTATCTTGAGAGGTGCTATAGAAAAGATATTTTCTTCTCCTTCACTTTGTTAGTCTTTAAAAAAAATAAGTGCTAGTACGTTTGTAAAATATGGGGGGGGGGGTGATCTGTTATGGTCTTAATGGGAAATTACACAATGAAATTAATGTAAATACAACTATGATTAGTGTGTGTGTGTGTGTGTGTGTGTGTGTGTGTGTGTGTGTGTGTGTGTGTGTGTGTGTGTGTGTGTGTGTGTGTGTGTGTGTGTGTGTGTGTGTGTGTGTGTGTGTGTGTGTGTGTGTGTGTGTGTGTGTGTGTGTGTGTGTGTGTGTGTAAGAAAGAAACATCTCTACATATTGGCCTAGGTCTGTCTTACAATAAACCTGTCTTCAAAGTGAAGTGAAGATCCTGTCCCACCAAAGGTTCTGGGCTAGACTGAGATCTGGTGACTCCAATGACCTCATCATGTGCTGGAAACCAGTTTAAAGTTATCTATTTTGTGACATGGTTCATTGTCCTGCTGGAAGTAACCATGGGTCCACTCAGCAAGTATATTATGTCTTGATGCACACATGCATTGAGTTGCTGCCATGTGATTGGCTGATTAGCTACTTGTCTACATGTTGTTGAACAGGCATATCTGATACAGTGGTCGGTGCTGAGAGATTATTCTCCCAGAATAAACTCATGAGGTAAAGAAGACTTAACCAGTAATGATGTTTTATATTTGGCAACAGGAGAATCGCATTGGTAAAGCAGTGGAGGTGATGATCCAGCATGTGGAGAACCTGAGGAGGACCTACACTAAGGAGCATTCTGAGCTGCTGGAGCTCAGAGAGGCGCTCATGCAGAGCGAGAGGTCCTTTGGATCGGAAAAAGGTTTGGAATTCTGTAATCAAACACATTTACCACACATATCCTTGTAGGCTGCTGTTTAACCTTTGTTGTTATTTTTTCTTTAAATTTGACAGATGGCAAAAATTCAAGAATGCCATACAAGGTCAGTTGTACAGGGTATAGGAAGCACCCTTTTGCTTAATTTTTCATTGGCTTCATTGAATGATGCATATGAACGTGTTACTGAAGGGCTTCTTTTCCCTCCACCCCATGTATGCCCTCATAGCAATCAACCAGGCGAGTCAGCATAGCAGCATTTCCCCGTGCAGGTGGCGGCAACATGCAGTTTGATATGGTGAGAATCACCATTTATCAAATTTCTCATGTTGTATCATTTAACAGCTCTTCCCCTCCCCTTTTACTAACAATTCATAAAGTTCCTGTTTGGTTTTTTTAATCAAAAAACAGTTTTCTGACATTTAAAAAGGCTCAGAACTTAAACAGCACTTGTAAACCTTGACTAACCAATCTGTTTGGGCTGGTGGCCTTTATCCAAGTCATCAGTAGAATTTGGCCAATTTCCTTTTACCCTGGAAGTAGGTGAAATTATGCCAGTACGTCTTAGCTTTCACACATCTTTCTTTAATGTGATGCAGTCTGACAAATTATAGTTTAACAGGCCACAAATAAGTAATAATAGCTTGATTTATAGTTTGTTTTTTTCCAACACAGACCAAAACACAGGATGTCTCAGAAGCTGAAGCAGAGAGGCTGACCAGGCGATCCCCCTGGTAGGTGCTCAAAAGCGCTGCTGTCAGTGCCATCATGTAAAGCTTAAAAGTGTTTGAAATGAGATTGCATAATGTGGGCTGTTGTTTTTATTTCATGCCACTCAAAGCTTTGTGTATTATTATTATTATTATTATTATTATTATTATGTGAGGGTTGTTGTTTTTGTTATGCCCCATGTGATAACGGTGGTTTTCAGGAGTGTGGCGGGGAAGAGCATGATGCGTCCCCCACTAAAACGGTTTGTTAGCTCTGCGGCCTGGGTTGACACTGAAGAGCCCTCTGTCACCATGAAGGGGTAAGCCATGTTAAAGACATGGATACCACACTGGCTGCCTCACACAGGTCCTTTTTACAGAAAGTTCATATGCAAAAAAGATGGCAACAGTGAGAATCTCACACCAGAAACAGGAAATTAAATCAGCGGTAACTTTTAGTCACAGTTAGGAATTTAACAGCTCCAACTCTAATTGAAACTGTGACATTCTATCACATTTAGTTCCTGTTAAAGATGGTATAAACAATAAAATTAGGGATGTGGCAGTAAAACAGACACGTGAATGAAATATTTAGATTTTGTTTTATACAATTACATTTTATTCTGTTTTTCTAACATAGCTGTTTTTTAATGCATCACTTAATAAATGATGCTCTAATGCCACAAAATGGGGTTTGTTTGAATGGGATTTTGATTTAGCATTACATTACATATCATTCCAGAGGAGCAAGTTAACATGTTTCTGCTAAACTGAGTTGATTATTTTGTTGTGCATCAGAACAAACTTACTGAGCTCTTTAGGATAAAAAAACACATCAAGTTCAATAAAACCTAAATAAGGAAAAAGCAGAAATGTCACCAAACCGCTTAGCAGCTGTCTTTTATGCATTTGATCCATCCATGCTTGCATGGGGAAGTGTATTAAGTTCTATTCCCATTTGTTTTAATGTCTCGTTGCTTTTAACCCGTTAGGACCTGCGCAAGTGTACCACAGTTGACTGGTATACTGCACTTGTGCGGGTCCTAATTGGTGAAATTATTTTAAATGTTTAGAAAACAAACATGAAGTAGCTTCTTGGCATCTGGTATTTGTAACATATGGCTGATTTTCCACCTCTGCCTGTTATATTTATTTGACTGCTCAGTGCTCATGCATGATTTTTGTGTTCACCGATGCATTTGTGTGTGCTCACAAAACACTGGGGTTAGGAAGGTGTGTGTGTCCGTCTGTCTGTGAACAAACAAGTGATCAGTGTTTGTGAACAAGTGACCATGCATGCCCACAGGCCAACCGGCACCAACTCAGACGGCCAGTCGGAGGACGAGCAGAAGGAGGATGCACAGGCAGAGAGAAGGAGGTCCAGTCTCAGTGAGCTGGGCAGCAAACTCACCTCTCTCATTCTGCCGCTGAAGACGTTAGTCCAACAAAAGTCCGATTCTAGCTGCTGCAGCACCGCTGTCTTCCAGCAGAACGGTCAGGCTGACTGCATGGTGAAGGAGTCGGATCATTTAGCTGCTCTGGGGTTCCATACATGTAACCTGGACAGTTTCTGTATTTTATTTACATCACTGATGTAAACTTGGCCAACTGTCTGGTTTATGATCAGAATCAGAGATAAAAAATGTTAAAATGTTTGTTCCTTAGTTTTAAGGTTTGAGTGAACCTGTGGAACCTCCTAGATGATGAACCTCCTTCATTATGTCAGATCTCTGTTTGACGTTTTACTCGGTGCTCAGTGGTTTCAGATCATGTTTTCACTGCAGACGTGTAATATTTTCCTTCAGCCTTTCACTGGCTTGAGATCAGCGTGACTCATGATTCTGCGCTTCCTGCATGGACATCATTGAAAATCATCTTTACCAACTTTATTCTGTCGTTTACTAACATGTTCAGCTGCCTAACCTGGATGCACTTGAGGTGCAGCATTGTGATGTTCTTCAGCAGATAATGCTGCATTCTGAACTGTCCTTTCCTCTCCTGCTTCCACATAACTCAGGAGTCAGGATGAGCTGTTTGTAATGCTGTAAGTCAAGTGGAAGTGGTTGTGTTCACGTCTTAGCCTAACCAATCTAATCCACCTTCATGCCACCTGCTCAACTGCTGCTGACACCTCATGTTATGTTCATGGTTTTCCATCTTTGTTGTGAGACTGGTCACTAAAACCGCTTTGAGATTTCAGCTAAACCACATCTGATTTATTGCTTGCTGACATTTGATAAGTTACCACAAATGAGTATTGCTATACTGTTCTGCGGTGACTAACCACCGTTACCACTCATTTATGGTAACTTTGCCCTGAGGCTTTGTCATGACATGCTTCCTGTCATATTTTCTGTTGATAGTGAAGTAACATTTTTCTTATTTCTTTCAGTCCTAGTCCTTTATCCACGCCGCCATCCACAGATCCAGGACCGTCTCCGTCTCTGCCCCACAGCCAGGCCAGTTCTCGAGCAGCTGCTGCTGCAGTAGCCAGAGGAGGCAGGGGGATCTGGATGTGGTTGGCCATGGTGATGATGTTAGTAGGTAAGGTAGTCCTAGCATTTATCAAATACATTTGGTATGTTTATATGTTTTAACAAAATATACTTTTAAGTGGAACTATCCAAGCTAATAAAATGTGTGGGTTATCCCATCATTACCACAATAACAAGGCCAAAATGGTAAAATAAGCAACGGGAAAACTAGCTACATAAAATAGCAAAACCCAGCAAACTAGAGATATTGGTTGAAATGTAAATGAAGGATGCAACTTTTATTAAATAACATCACTCACCAGAATTGTTCCCTTGTCGTCTTCCTCCACTTATCTGGGTGGCGGGGGAAGCATCCCAACTAGGGAGCTCCAGACCGTCCTCTCCCCAGCCTTCTCCACCAGTTCCTCCGGCAGGACCCCAAGGCGTTCCCGGACCAGATTGGAGATGTAACCTCTCCAGCGTGTCCTGGGTCGACCCGGGGGCCTCCTGCCGGCAGGACATGCCCGAAACACCTCCCCGGGGAGGCGTCCAGGAGGCATCCTCACCAGATGCCCAGACCACCTCAACAGATTCCTTTCGATCTGGAGGAGCAGTGGTTCTACTCAGAGTCCCTCCCGAATGTCCGAGCTCCTCACCCTATCTCTAAGGCTGAGCCCGGCCACCCTACGGAGGAAACTCATTTCGGCCGCTTGTATTCGCAATCTCGTTCTTTCGGTCATTACCCAAAGCTCATGACCATACAGTAGGTGAGGATTGGGATGTAGATCGACTGGTAAATCGAGAGCCTGGCTTTCTGGCTCAGCTCCCTCTTCACCACGACAGATCGGCTCAGCGTCCGCATCACTGCAGACGCCAAACCAATCCACCTCCCGATCCCTCCTACCCTCACTCGTGAACAAGACCCCGAGATACTTAAACTCCTCCGCTTGAGGTAGGACCTCTCTCCCGACCCGGAGTTGGCAAGCCACCCTTTCCTGGTTGAGAACCATGGTCTCAGATTTGGAGGTGCCGATCCTCATCCCAGCCACTTCACACTCGGCCGTGGAACTTCCCAGCAAGAACTGAAGGTCAGAGCTGGATGAAGCTAGGAGGACCACATCATCCGCAAAAAGCAGAGACGAGATTCTCCTGCCACCAAACTCGACACACTCCACACCACGGCTGCGCCTAGACATTCTGTCCATAAAGGCTATGAACAGAACCGGTGAGAAAGGGCAGCCCTGGTGGAGTCCAGCCCTCACCGGGAACAGGTCAGACTTACTACCGGCTATGCGGACCAAACTCACGCTCCTCTGGTAAAGAGACTGAATGGCCCTTAACAAAAGGCCGTCCACCCCATACTCCTGGAGCGTCCCCCACAGGGTGTCCCTGGGGACACGGTCATAAACCTTCTCCAAATCCACAAAACACATGTGGATTGGTTGGGCAAACTCCCATGACCCCCTCCATCACCCTTGCAAGGATGTAGAGCTAGTCCACAGTTCCACGGCCAGGATGAAAACCACATAGCTCCTCCTCAATCTGAGATTCAACTATCGATCGGACGCTCCTCTCCAGTACCTTGGAATAGACCTTTCTAGGGAGGCTGAGGAGTGTGATCCCCCTATAGTTGGAACACACCCTCCGGTCACCCTTTTTAAAGATGGGGACCACCACCCCGGTCTGCCACTCCCTAGGAACTGCCCCCGATGACCACGCAATGTTGCAGAGACGTGTCAACCACGACAGCCCTACCACATCCATAGCCTTGAGAAACCCAGGACAAATCTTATCCACCCCCGGGGCTCCGCCGCTGTGTACTTGTTTGACTACCTCAGCAACTTCTGCCCCAGAGATTGGACAGTCCATCCACAGGTCTCCCGGCTCTGGCTCCTCCTCGGAATGCGCGTAGGTGGGGTTGGGGAGCTCCTAAAAGTATTCCTTCCACCGCCCGACTATAGCCCCAGTCGACGTCAGCAGCTCCCCATCCCCACTGTAAACAGTGTGAGCGAGTTTCTGCCTCCCTCTCCAGAGGCGCCGGACAGTTTGCCAGAACCTCTTTGGCGCAGATCGATCGTCTTTCTCCATGGCCTCACCAAACTTCTCCCGCACCTGAGATTTTGCCTCGGCAACTACCACTGCTGCATTCCGCTTGGCTATCCGGTACCCGTCTGCTGCCTCCGGAGACCCACAGACCAGCCACGCCCTGTAGGCCTCCTTCTTCAGCATGACGACTCCCCGAACCTCTGGTGTCCACCAGCGGGTACGGGGGTTGCCACGACTGGCACCGGCCACCTTGCGACCACAGCTAGCAACAGCCGCCGCAACAGTCGCAGAGTGGAACAAGGCCCACTTGGAGTCGATGTCCCCCACTGCTCTCGGGATGCGGTCAAAGCTCTGCCGGAGGTAGGAGTTGAAGACCGTCTTGACAGGTTCTTCTGTCAAGCGTTCCCAGCAGACCCTCACTATAGGTTTTGGGTCTGCCAGGTCTACGCGTAGGGCTGGGCGATATGACGATTTTAGACCGTTTTACGATCTACACATCTGACGGTCTGTCATTTTTGAGAGACACTTTTTATCACGATTCACATCTCTGCTGTTGAATTTCTGCCTCTGAATGAAAAGGGAACTTACCTCAGGCGAATGACACGCCTTTGTTTGACCCTTAACCAATCAGAGTGAGTCATAGTAATATATTAGTGCCCCGCTTGTTTTCACCTGTGTGTGAACAAACATGGCTTCGGCCGCGGCTGAGCGACAAAGAGGTTTTCGTTCCGAAGAGGAACGCAGGGTTTCCTTAGCGCGCGGCGCTAACAACTTAGCGACGTGACATGTCTCGGAGAAAGCGTAAAAACACGTTGGACGCTTCTTCTGAAGCAGGAAAATAACACTTCTTCTTAAGCAGAGCACAACGTCGCCTCGGCTTGTTCACCCTCTGCCGAGCCGGACTGAGCTCGGTCACTGGGTCGCTGGAGCTGCCCCGTGACTGCCTGATGGAAAACCAGCGGGTTTCATCAGACTCGTAGTTTCTTGTTTTTGGTGGGGACCCCCTGTATTTTACCGCTCCCTCCTGCAGTCTTCCCCTATTACAATTTAAAATGATTCTGTAAACTCTGTGTATCAATAGAAACAATCTCTGCCTCTGTCAGCTGCAGTAAATGTAGTTTCCAAATAATAAGAGGTGCATTCATCCGTGTATCTCCTTTGATCCGCATTAGTGATATTTTCAGCACCAGAACAGTGAAGCAAAGAAACAGATTCCTGAGTTTGTTAGTAATTTTATTTATTAGGTGCATCTAACCTGTTCTATTTTTCTCTGAAATGAGATCAAATCAGTGCTTCTATGGGTTGTCTCCAATCTGCACTGGAAAATTTTACTTTATTTAGAGACTTGTTGCAGAAAATATTCAGAATGCGCAGTTATTTGCTACCACAAGCGATCTCTGGTCCAGCCGCACATAAGAGCCGTATTTGAGCTCAACTATCCACTATGAGCAACTGGGAGCTACATAGTATTTTGAACAAGTTAATGTTTGCACAATACGTTTGCAATTGACATGTTTGCACTTCAAATATGTTTACGATTTTAATTTATGTTAAGTTACTTGAAAAATGAGAAAAACTGATTTTTGTAATTGTTTCTCTCAGGGCTTTTATCATCTCTGGTGTGAGTTTAAAATATAAGTGTGTTAGCACTGTGCTGATTATCCCTAATATGAATAAATGTTTATTTATTCAATGTTTCTCTTCTTTAATACGCAATTGAAGTTATGCTATTCATGGATAAAAAATCGTGATAAAATCGAAATCGTGATAAAATATTGGAAAAATCGTGATATTCTATTTTTGCCATATCGCCCAGCCCTATCTACGCGGCATCTTCCCCTGCCATCTGATCCAACTCACCACCAGGTGGTGATCAATTGACAGCTCCGCTCCTCTCTTCGCTCGGGTGTCCAAAACATACGGCCGTAGGTCAGATGATATGACTACAAAGTCTATCATTGACCTGCGACCTAGGCTGCCCTGATACCAAGTGTACCGATGGGCATCCTTATGTTCGAACATGTTGTTCGTTATGGCCAAACTGTGGCTTGCACAGAAGTCCAATAAGGCCGTTCCTCCCAATCACACCCCTCCAGGTCATGCTGCCATTGCCCACGTGAGCATTGAAGTCTCCCAGCAGGACAATGGTGTCCCCTGATGGAGCACTATCTAGCACTCGTCCTAGGGACTCCAAAAAGGATGGGTAATCTGAACTGATATTTGGCGCATAAGCACAAACGACAGTCAGGACCCATTCCCTGACCTGAAGGCATAGGGAAGCTACCCTCTTGTCCCCCAAGGTAAACCCCAACACACAGGCAGAGAGTCTTGGGGCTAACAAAAAGCCAACCCCAGCCCTCCGCCTTTCACCCAGAGCAACTCCAGCAAAAGAGTGTCCAACCCCTTGTTGTTCACTTGTTGAACAGAAATGTTCATCTCAAAAACTCAACATCCAATAATCCTTAAAGTTTAAACAACTGGTCACCTCATTCCTGGACCCGGTCAAGGTACCACCACCCTAAGTCCGACCACCACCGCCTCCATGTCACTATATTGAACACATGCCAATGTTTCCCTCTGATAATATTAACAGCTTCTTGTTTAATCTCCCATTTTTGTTCTACAGGTAAAGTGTTCCTTATTTTTGCCTTGTTAGCTAAGCAGGATAGCCAGCATGGCTGTCCCACATAACATAAACATCAGGAACTCCTAGAACCTCTGTTAAATATTTAGAAATGTTAGTTTTCCCCAACAGTTTAAGGGCAGCAGTAGCTCATAAGGTTGAGTGGGTTGTCCAATAATCGGAAGGTTGCAGGTTCGATCCCAGCTCCGTACAGAGAATTCTGCTGTTGTGTCCTTGGGCAAGGCACTTAACCCACCTTGCCTTGTTGTCGGAGGGACTGGTGGCGCTTGTGCTCGGCAGCCTCGCCTCTATCAGTGTGCCCCAGGGTAGCTGCGGCTGCATCGTAGCTCATCACCATCAGTTTGTGAATGTGTGTGTGAATGGGTGAATGATACACTGTAGTGTAAAACGCTTTGGAGTCCTTACTCTGAGAGGCGCTATACAAGTGCGGGTCATTTATCATTTAACATAAAAGCCTTGCTGTCTGCACTGAAACCACACACCTTTTTAATATAAGCCCAACAAAATTTAGTTAATTGGTTTAAGGAAAACCAGACGGTACAACAAAGTGCTTCAATGAAAAAATAAGTTTCATGTTGAGTTTTTTGAGGCTGACATCAAGTCTGCGTGGGTTCATCTTTTTTTTCTCCAATTGATTTGCTCCACTAAGGTCTGTTGGCTCTTCTGGCCAGCCTGGTGATGCAGCCAGCAGTGGACGCTGCTCCGGTGGGGACAGGAGACTCCTGGGTGACCATCCAGCAGCTGCTGTGGCCTTACACGGGGCTCCGGCACAACGGACAACCCCCAGTCTAACCCAAGTCCAGCAAGAGGATGCTCCTATGGCCCAACGGTTCTTTGCAGATGGCGTTTATGTGCACTGGAGATGAACGCATCACTCTTGACTCTGAGCAAAGGCTGATGGGATAATTACTGGTGCCTAAATATTTCCAAAACAGGACTTGTCTTCGTTTCCAGAACAAGGCTGGTGGACAGGCTGTGGTGACTAGCTTGTGCAGAACTCAAAATGTTGTTGGTGCTGGTAACTGTCCACAAGCCCTCACTACGGGTTTTACATCATGCCAAGTTAGTTGATACAACACTGACCAATTATGTCACATGGATTAGGGTAATTCAGAGCCACTTTGACAGAACCACATGTGCTGGAGGAGGAAGGACTCTGAGATTTTAACAGTTTTACATTTATTGTTGCTTTCACAGGAAATGCAAAACAACTCAATTATATCTAAAGAAAGAACACTTTTAATATCCTTATTTTATGTGTTCGCATATGAATTTTACGAGATTATTAGTTCAGAGTGTTTATTCTTAAGCCACAGTCCCAGTTTGGACACATCCGAATGGGAATGTGTCTAAATTCTTGGCTGGTATTTTATTTCTACTTGTTACAGTTTTAACACCAAAGTTTTTTTTTCTGTGGTTCTCACAGTTTTGTACTTGCATACACTTTTTGTATGTTCCAAAGAAGATGCGTGGATCTTTGCACAAATAAAGTAGCCTATTCTACAACAGAGCATGTGGTCTTGCATACGTTCCACTGGATATTTAAATGGTTTCTGAATAAACCAGCGGTCTGGTAGAATGGAGCAGGCTCTGTATGGTGTCAATAAACATGCAGTAGGATGTTTTGGTTCGGTCCAACCCATCAGGACTCAGGCTGTCCTGCAGTAAGTGGATGAATGTTGAGTGAAACTCGCTGTTGGGATGATGCTCTGATGAGAAGGCTTCACTGTCCTCTGTCATCTCCAGTTTCTTACTCCTTTGAGCCCCCAGCAGGTACAAACTCCAAGAGCTTTTGGGTACAGGGCTAGGGTCATGGTGCTCACACACCTGGCATAGGAGAAAAAATATGAGGTCTGTTTGCCATCTGCTCTTTAGGACTACTTTCTAACTACGAACTTGTAGCTAAAGCTCATGTTTGCTGCCTTAACCTTTTGACAGTTAAACACTTCCTACTTTTGAAGAGATGAAATCTGTAAAGTGTTGTGCTGATGGCTAACTGTGCCAATGCAGAAGTTTGAACAACAAGGTAATGCTGGGGCTAAACTTTTAGAGGAGTGGCTGTGTAATCTGTTTGTGCAGATTAACCCATGCATCTTTTAAAGATGTGTCTAATACCTGCAGGACCACATGTTCAGCTCCACATTTAGCATTCCACTTGCTCCGTGAGAAAGCACAAGCAGAGGCAAAAAGAGCCATTTGGTTGTAGGCGGCATGCTCTGCAAGTGGGTCCTGGAAAGGGGTCAAAATAGTATAGCTGTGAAAATGACTTGTGTTGGCTGTGAGTGAGTCGTGAGCTCTAGTTTTAGTTTTACAGATGTGTAGGTTTTTGTTGCAGAACAGGAATATGTTTGCCAACTTATTGAGAGAATTGTTCTGGCAGCATATACTTGTTTTTCAGCCATACTCGTCAACTGATGCAGAAACTGTTTACCATCAGATAAATGATGCCGACCTTGTTGCAGCTGCTGACATAGTTTTCTGTGTATTCATCAACAAAGATGTTGACTCCTGCATCGAGCATGGCTTTCTTCAGGGCAGGTGTGCTCATCCACTTTCCCACCAGATGGGAGAGACCTCTCTCCTGCTCCAGCTGCAGCATACACTGATTACCCTGCTCAGTAATATGGAAACCAAATCAGTGATGACAAAACTTGACAGAACACCAGCAGTCAGGGTCTCCCACCTGAATTGTGATGCTGAGGTTAAAGAGCGCTCCCTCTATGGTGAAGAGAGCCGAGCTTCTGCCCAGAGGCCGGAGCTCCCAGCTTTGAAAGGGAAGGTTGAGGTAAGTTTTCTGCATCAGCACAAATGGCTGGAATGTTTCCATACTGAAGGAGAGTTTGGCTTCAGCCTCCTCATAGGCGATATCACTGATACCGTCCATTCTCCACTGCTCACCTGGATGAGAGAAAATGTTTATATCTTGATGTGTACTTTAAATTATACTCAAATTGATCAATTGAAAGAACTAAGTACATGTGGCATCCCAGCGGGCCACATGAGGGGGTTCAAAGAAGACCACGCGGTCAGGCAGAGTCACAGACACCCCAACCGGGGGACAGGTAGAATCCTCATTGTCCCTAAAGCTGGACGTCTCAGTGGGGTGTAAGAAAACTTGAAGCCCTTTGTCCGAAATCTGCAAAAGCCAAGCTTATGAAACTAAGCATGAGTGAAATGAGCATAAGATGAAAAACTGTCCCTGTCCTCTCACTTGCCTGTTGCATTACATATTGTCCCACAGTGTAAGCCTGATGAGGAAGGTGAAACATTTCATAGTAGAAAACACCACCCAGGGGAGTGTATTCCATCAGGTCTACCACTGGACTCGCGTGGCGCGTTATTGGCTGGGGAATGACATGTGATTCAGCTGAGAAGAGAAAAACGTGCATCAGTTAACGATCAAGTTGTAATTTAGTCTGAACATGGGGTCTAAAAGAAGTTTGACTAGACATTTATCTAGGTGAAGAAACTACCAACTGCAAAACCTGAGCCACCTGGGTTGGAAAATATGTCTGCTTTTGAAATTCTGTTTTTCATCAACTCGTCCTGCAGTTGTCATTCCTTGTAGATGTTTTTTATAACATTATACAACTATATGCAAATGCATGTCAAACTTATATACACGAGACACAAACACATGAAGTATACAATTTCCGGTATCTGAAAGGTAGTAAGAAGAAGAAAACTTATTATATCCTACCCCTTATTTTTTCTCTGCTTCACTGCGTAATCTTGTGCAAATGGTCTTTTTTCCTCTTAATATAAATTAAAATATAATTTATATTCTTAACACAAGTTCAATCTTCATACAACTATAATGTAACAGTAATGCATCATAATTATCACATTTTGTCACATTGTATGTACCTTAAATATGAACAAATATGCCAATACCAATGATGGTAACAACAGCTCAAGGAAATAATGGTCATAACAAAATGTCCAACAATGTAAATGAGATAATGGTTTATACTCAGTTATATACTATATACTCAGTTACTGTGTATACTTAAACTAGGGGAAAATTATGTCCCAATACTTATATACTCTGACAGGACCTGCTGTTTATATATCTCCTTAAATTGCTGAATATTTTTGCATTGTTTACAGTGTATATCCTTGATCTTAAAAAGGCCAAATGACCTGACGGTTGGTAGCAACACTAGATCTGTTTTTGTGTTGCTTCAACTTGTGATGCAGTTACGACTAAGAGGGCTCTGACTTTAGGAACTCTGAAGATTCTGTCCACCTGTGGGAAAACAACATAATACATCTGAGGAGTGTCTAGAAATGCTCATTAGACTTTGTGCCTTTGAGTGCCTCCATCTGTGTGAAGATCTGGCTTCCTCTACCACCAGGATTAGGATCCTTTGTCTTGCCCTCCTCTTGGATGGACAGCACCTTTTTGGATTTCTGCTCCGGGATACCATCATCGTCCTCCCCCTTCTGCACAGACGAGTCTCTCAGAATTTGATCACTACTCACAGAAGACCTGCAGCCAGACGGGTAAGAAGACCAGTCAGTAAAATGATCTCTAAACTGTATTCGTGCAGGGGATGGAATGCTGTTAAACCTGCGACTGGTCGTGTGGGCTCTCGGGTGAGTGATCCTGGATATCATCGACAGGTGGTCGTAGCGTGTGTGGATTACCCGTACAGCGATATTACTCTTAGCCAGCGGTTTGGAAAGCTTGAAGCCCAAACCAACCTCCTCAAAATTAAACAACTTTAAGCTGCAAGGAAGAAAAAACCCAGAGACTCAGCAGAGTGAGAAGATGGGATGGCTACAGCCTCACCTCTTAGACCTTTAGACACTGACCTTGGATTCTTACAGAGGTTGGCCCAGAGGCACATGGTTATATTCTCATCTTTAATCACAGTTTGGAAGTTCCTTGTCTTGATATCAATGTTCTTGTTTGCGCTCTGTGACAAAGTTGCAGACAGACTCAAAAACAGATCCTTGTTATGATTCAAACTGCTGTGTGTTTTTCTTTTTTGTACCTTGAGGATCTCCTCACTTGTGAGATTGTGTTTGAAGTAGATTAGCTCCTGTAAACTCCGAAGACTCTCCTGGTACGTCTGAATCTTTTGGGGACTTGTAGCCTTTTTGAGAAGATCTTCAATCTCCTCAACCAGCTAAAAAACATTTTGTTAAATGGTTTAGTTCCTGCACATACTAGCACGATTTACAACCATATGCAAAAGTTCGTAGAATGACGGCTATTGGTTTTCACAAAGTCTGCTGCTTCACTGATTTTAGATTATTGTGTCAGATGTTTCTATGGTAGATTGAGGTATGATTACTAGCACTGTAAATATTTAAAGACTTTTTTATGTGTATGCTGACATAAGGAGATGTTTTTGGCAGAGATGGGAAATGGTGGTATCAACAAGTCATCTCCATGTGGTGTTTTTGTTCTTCTCAGCAACAAAACCAGGTTCATTCTCTGTGCTGATTGAAATCACCTGGTTTTGTTGCTGAGCAGAATAAAAACACCACATGGAGATGACTTGTTGATGCCACAATTTCACATCTCTGGTTTTTGGTGATGGTTTTAACCTCTGCACTCTCCCTGGACCAAATCTTGAATGATGACAGTTCAGTCTTACGCAATAAGTATTTCGTGTTTATGTGGGTTTGGGTTTGCACACCCACCTCTTGACGATTGACCGCAAGTTCAAAAATGGTACAAAAGTGATATTTTGTCTTCTGAGCCACTTAATGCTGGCAAAGACATTGTCATTCACAAAAAGGACTTAAGACAATTATCTACGTTTTTTCTTGGCGAGCCCTTCACAAGTCTTCTTCAACCCTACAGCTGGACCAGCTTTAGGAGGCTGTCCTGATAGAGCAGGGATATTTAATTACAGACGTGGGTGGCCGGCGTCCAGCATGTTTTACTGGTTTCTCTGCTGCAACACACTAGATTCAGTGGTTGAAGCACATGTGCAGCACACCAGGCTTTGCAGAAGCCTGTTAATCACCTGCTGATTGAAATCAGGTGTGTTGAAACAGAGTTAAAACTAAAAACGTGCTGGACACCGGCCCTGCAGGCCCACAATTGAGTACCGTTCTCATAGAGCTTTCTCAAAATCAGTGGAAATTGTATTTTCGTGTCACTTTTGTAATCACAGTTCATCTGATCACCATATTCTGGCATTTATATTAATCTGTGCCAACACAGATGGACTGATACAGACCCTCACAGCGATGTGGCATTGCTTTAACACCTCTGTGGTTTTGAGCTCTGTGTCATCCCTCCAAAAGGTGATGAATGAGTTGACCTTCCTCTGATCTTCTGGGTCTGGTTGAACATCACAGCGCAAGTATCTCTCCCACTAAAGACCAAAAGTGTGTGTGGGAATGTTATCAGCTACCAGACATTTTCAAGTGATGGTTAGGGTAGTTAAAAATTCAGTCTGACAATAATGCATAGTTCTGCACTAATTTAGTTTCTGGTCGCAGGACATTTGCAAACATAGAACAGCAAACCTGAACGTTCTCCTCTGCATCACGTTTCAATTCTGTGACTGCTATTTGGTTCTTCTCCAGTAGATAGCGCAGTTCTTCCAGCTCATTGTCTCTACGCTCAAGATCCTGTTAAGCAGTTCTGTACATGATTCATGAAGCTTTTAAATGTTTTTATATACAAGTGACTAAATTAAATATGAAATACCCATTTTTAAAAGAAACATGCAAACATCTAGAAATTCCCCAACATTTCATGCCTTTCACACCAGTATACAGCACCTGAGTTTGGTGTCTCTTTACCTTTAGCTCAAGTCTTTCTATTTCCCTCTGCTTTATCTCTCTCTCTGCTTGCAGTGCTTCCTCTGTAAAACAACAGGATGCAGGATCACGCACACTCCCACTTCAAAGTGCATCATGAGTTTAATTCAACAACACATTAGCATAAACATGTTTTGACTTTTGCACCTGACTTACCTTCCTCTATCTGCCTCCGCTCCTCCTCTTCTCTCTGCTTCTTAAGCTTCTGATTTTTTGTGTGCTAATGTTGACATTCAGACATCAGAACAGTACAAAGTAAAATATATCACCGCCATAGTTTCTTAGATGAGTTGGTAAATTATACATTTATTGTGCGACTGACTCTCAGCCCCCACCCACCCACCCCAGCCTGAAGCTCACTATGTAAACTGGATGAGTTTTGGATGATTTTGCGTTTTCTAGATGTGATTATCATCAATCAGGTCTGCTTCATAAGTTAATCATTTTGGCTGAACGTATAATTTGGTACTGGTAAATTAATAATGGAAAAATCTCCTTCTGAAGCACAAATGGTGATGGATTCTCTTTGACTGATGTCAAAAACAAATCTGAAGAGTGCAGATGGCCTTAAGCTCGTACCTTTTGTTTCTTGGGTGGCTATGATTCATAGGGAAAGAAAAAAGAAAAGGTAGAAAGTTATAGAAACATGCTTGAAAATATCAACATTTAAAGATATAAATTCAGGAAAGAAAGAACTCTAATAACGGTCAAGTAGCATAAATGTCATGTCAGGGAAACAAAAAGTAAAACAAGGACCAAAAAGAAAAAAGTATGAATATTTCCAGAAAGCTGAACTAGTTACAGAAAGGAGCTAAAAGTTTCCATTTTAGTTCTTTTTAAAACACAGAAAAGACCTGCAACGCAGCCGCAAAGATGTTTGCAGCCGCACACGAAACGTTGCAGGTAAATGAACCTTTTCTGTGTTTTAAAAAGAACTGAAAGATGGAATTTGAAACTCAACACAGCAAGTACACACCAAAGAAGCTAAAAGTTAATTATGTCCAGAATAGCGTGTTGAAATAAACCCGATTGTAATGTCTTGTTGATTGTATTTGTTCCTTTTTTTTATTGTTACATTAACTGATGGCTTTTCGTGTCCTTCATAATAAAAGTTTCGAGCATTTTCACATACAGCTAAACGCCTGAAGCAAGCACAATTGTATATTGATACTGTTCTACAATCAAATTCAAACAGCAATGTATTAAATAACTATATTAAAATCTTCTTGTGTTGTGAGTGAGTGTTTTAGACTCTTATTGTGAAGGAGAACGCAGCTAAGGAAGTAAAGCTGGTATCTCGTGTAAAAGAATGCATATTTATGGTTGACTCCATAAAACCCACACAGAACAGAACCCTTGGATGAAATAAAATTAATAAACAGCATAAATACATTTGACTTCAGAAGCATAGTTGTTTGTTTTTTGCCCTCTGTTGCTTTTTTAGTCTCAACCGAAGCGATTTAACATTCATTCTAAAACATTTCCACTTTCTCTTTAATTACTAAGTATTTATTTGTTCGCATAGCACGAGTCCGCTGTAATTTATTTTATTTTTTTTACAAGGAAATCGTATTAAAAACTCACCATGTCGACTGCTTTAAACACTAGCGCTGTCTGGTAACCATAGAAACTCATGCGCCTGCGTACTACTTTATTTAGTTATTTACGACACTGAACCACGTCGTACGGCAGCGCATACGGCTAACAAAGCTTTTGTTGACATTGTGGGTCAGCTGGAGTATTTACAAGTAAAACTGGATTTACTGTACTGTAGATTACTGAGGCTTTTGATGAACGCAGCGTTTGAAATGCTAACTAACTTTTGCCCACTCCCGTCTTTCCCTGTTTCAGGTTATTTTCGTTCCTGACATGGCTAACCCTTTACGGGGTGAGGTGATCAGGCTGTACAAGAATGTACGTAAAATACAAAAATACCAACAGCAGTCTGACTTGTGTTTCATCAGCTTTTGTCTCCTCCTAGCTGCTGTATCTCGGCCGTGAGTACCCTAAAGGAGCAGCTTATTTTAGGGAGCGTTTAAAGTCTGCTTTCATGAAGAACAAGGACGAGACCGACCCACAGAAGATCCAGCAGCTGGTGGCCAGAGGAGATCATGTCATCAAGGAACTGGAGGCTCTTTACTTCCTCAGAAAATACAGGACCATGAAGAAACGCTACTATGATTCCGAAAAGTAAATCCAACAACTTTTATCAATTTAAGGACACATGGGAATGTGCATATTTACATTTTTAATTCATCAAACCAGTCTCCTTCATGTTTATTTAAACATCCTCTTAGATTTATGTTAAAACAAACAAGAAAAACTGCCATTTGCCTGAAAATGTAATTTATTGCTCCATCTGAGTGTTTGATTGTGTCACAATGAATATTTTTTAACAGACCATCTTCTTTTATGTCAGTATTTATATCAGAAAAACAAGAAATTAGCTCAGGTGGTAACAGGTGGTTAGGATTTACTCTGTGGTCATGTGGACAAAATCATGCAAATCCATAAATATGGATTTATGTACATATTTGCATGTTAACTATCAAACTGATAAAGGGGGGTGTGAATTTGCTATTTGGCAACAATAATAAATCTGACAAAATACCATGCTTTTCTTCCAAGAGAGGATTACCACAAAACAATCTGCAGGCTTTCAAAACTTCTAAAATTTTGTGATCTCTTACAGAGCTTTTCCGTTGAGGCTTTCTTGTCATATTTAGGAAGTCAATTTCATTTAAAAAGCACTTATCACAGACATGGAATCACAAAGTGCTTCACATAGATCAAAACAAAATAAAGTCATATAATCATAATGATCTCAAAACAAATTGATTAACATCAGAAAAAAATAAAGTCATAAATTTGTAACATTTCATAAACAGATGAAAGATTAAAAATTTGAGTTAAAAATAAGAAAAATGATTTGGGTAAAAGCAGCTTTGAATAAAAGGGTCTTTAGCTGTTTTTTAAAAGTGTCCAGACCGAAAGGAAGATCATTTCAAAGTCGGGGTGAAACAGTCTGGAAGGAGCGATCACCTCGACTTTTATATCTGGTCTTTGGAACTTCTAGAAGGTTCTGGTGTGTGGACCTGAGGGCTTGAGTTGGAGAATAAGGCAGATGTCCACTGTGCTGAGGGGGCTGAATTATGTAAAACAATTTAAATTATTCTTGTGTTAAAAGTCTGATGTTCTATCTACTGGTTTTATGGTTTGAAAAAACTGACCCTATGAAATCCAATTCATTCTTCTGCACTTCTCAAAGCTTGGTTAATATTTGTTACGTTGAGAGTCCGAATGATCATGTCAGCAATTATTTTAGACTTTAATTCTAATATAAAAAAGACAAGTCAGGATAACTTAGGGTCCGTATCTGATTTGTAATCCCCCCCAAGTCACAGAAATCAGGGTTTGCGTTTCCACTTCCTGGTGCCTCTGTCAGATCAAGTTCTTCTGCTCCTACCATGACCTGCAGAAAGACAACACCAACATCAACAGCTGTTTAATCTGCTAAAACCTCTCCTGTGCTGTCAAATCCTCCTTAGCTTTGGCGAGGCTAAATAGGTGACATAAAGTTGTGTCTTCTTTTTGTAACAAAAGCTTCGGATCCACCTTCTTCTTGCGGCCCCCTAAAATGTTCAAGAGGAGCGTGAAAATGAAATTATGCAACATTTCAGTCTGATTCCCAAACCTGATGTGGTAAATTTAAATAAAAATCAAAGTTTTACCTGTCAACAGGCTGACTATCACTCCCACAGTCAGAGCTGTTACAGCTCCAATGAGACAAAAGTAAAGGTAAGAGGGAGAGTGCCATTTTTCTGATGGAGGACACCTGGTGGTGAAAGAAAGTACTGCACATTATCACACTTAGTGGGTATAGTGTCAAAATCATAGACTTCATTTTCACTTTAGAAGTGTGTGTGTGTGTGTGTGTGTGTGGGGGGGGGGGGGGGTTCTTTACAGTATGTTCTAATGGGAAACCGGCTTCAACACAAACGGTTGTTTTCTGCATGGTCCTAGAGCTCAACCAGTGTCAATTTAATATAGCGTAATATTGTTTTTGGATGGTAAAAGTGCAGGGGTCAAAACTTGACTTTGGAAAAAGTGTGTGTGTGTGTGTGTGTGGTGGGGGGGGGGTGCATGCCCCCCCCCCCAAAAAATTACGTCCATGGTAAAAATGATCTCAAATATCTGACCATGTGTGCGGCTTATTGTGTGTCCTAAATTACTAAAATACATGAAGAACATTTCATATTTTGATATTATTTAACAAAAGCCAACTGGTTGTCAATGGGTCTAGGAACCTCTATAAAAGCTTGTGGGAAAGCCCAACAACTAGGGGTGCACTGATTGCAGTTGTTGGCCAATCACCGATCTTGAGAAAAACCTGACTTGCCGATACCGATTTTGTTTTAACTAAAAGCAGATTACATCAATGTTTCAATTTCCTTTTATCGAGAAAACCAATTTGAATACTCATGAAACGATACCAGTTTCAACTGGACATGAGGTAATGTTCTCAAATATAAACATATTTAGCATTGCAACTTGATCTACAAAATCATATTTGTTCCTTTAGTCTTTCATTTTTCTAATTTTGAAAACAAAACTTTTGTAATTGTTTTGACACACTTGTCCCCAAAAATTATTCTATAGAAATTATTTACTTTTACATTAATTAGGGGTGCACCGTTTGCAGTTTTTGGCCGATCACTGATCATGGAAAAAAAAAAAGCGAGATCGGAGCCGATAGATTGCACCCCTACTAGCAAGCCTTGCTATTCTGGAGCGTAAACACAATAATTTGGAGGAAATACTTTAGTTTTTAATTTAGAAAAGCGACTAAGTCTATTTAATTTGTGAAAAATGGGAATTTTGTTGTATTTCCTTTTCATCTTTTATCTGTGTTCGACATGATTGTATAATTTTTAGCTGGTTTAATTAGCTAACATTTTTAGTGTACAGCGCCTTGTTTGGTTGTAATGCCTTATTGAATGTGCTTTATAAATAAAATTGGATTGGATTGGAAAAAGATAATTTACAAATGAACAATACAAGCTATTTGTCATTCTTCCCAGTAGGAAATTTTAACGATAGATGGAATGGAAATTCAAAGAGTATTTTATAAATTTTGAATGAAATAAGAGAAAAAAAAATTAACAAAAATATCAGATCGTATGCTCTAAAACAAAATAAAAAACCAAGAAATCTATCTCAAGGTCTGGTTTGGCTTTTTAAATGTTTACAAGATAAAGCTGAACAGGAATTGCTCATTTTGAAGTCTAGATCACTGTTTGGAGTAAACAAGCTGTTAGCACAGAGGCTGATAGTTTGGGCACCTTGGTCACTGAGTCCAATATGAACTCCTGTGAAGACCACAGTGTTCTAGAGGGAAATGTGAGACATCTCTTGGGCCATTCCCATCTGTGCTGGGTAGCCCCAGTCGGCCCCAGCCTGGCCCGGTTGATTCCACACATCCTTGCCTTAAGCCCATGTGGGCTGATTCTACCCACCAATCAGATGCTTGCTCTAATGGAAGGTGTGAATTTGCTGTCAGCAGTGGGTGTGTTGGCCCTGGTCTGCCTGAAGCAGACCCCCTCGAGAAGAGGGCTGAGAATGAGCCTTGGTGGTTGGCCCGGAAAAATACCAGGCCACCCAGATATGTAAATAAACTACGCTACCCGGCCCGGGCCGACCCGGTACAGATGGGAATGGCCCATCTGACAGTTGAAGCATGGACCAATGATCTAAACACAGCAGCAGATCCACAAGACAAGTGAAAAGTTAAAGAATTGAAGAGTTGAAATAGGGAGTTAGGAGAATCTTATGTAAACATGCTGTAAAGTCAGTTCTTACTGTTAATCAGATTGAGCCAAAATTCTTTCTTTATAATGTGAGATTGATAAAGTTTTAAAGAAGATGATTTAGTGAAGCTGGTTGATTTTCTTTTTTTTTTTTTTCAAGCGCTGGTTTAGGATTTTGGTTTGGCATTTGTTAAAAATAACACAGTTGAACACAAAGAGGGTTATTGTTCATCTGAGATTGGAATGACCTCATTTGAAACCCCATCATTTGTTTTCCTCCAAAAGAGGCCCTAATTCTGCAATCGTGCACAGTCTACTAAGATGATTGGTATCCATAGAAGTGGTTTTTAACAGTTACTATTGTTTTGACCTAGGCTTTGCTTTTGGGGGAGCAATGCAGCGTCTGCGCGGTCTACATGCCAAAAACATGATAAAAATGGTTGAGCTATTTTTAAAACTGTTTTAATTTTGAACACTCACATGTCTTCTCTGATTGGCTGAGGGCTTGTGGTAACTAAGCTTGAATTTACGGGGGGTACAGTCGAAGTCCAGTTATGGTGTCCAGCTGAGGTGAAGTTACAACCCGTTGTGGTCAGGGACAATGGTCGGGTCATCTCAGATGGAGAAGGAGATAGTATGTCTCCGATGCTTACGCACAAGGTTGCAACAAACCCCAAAACAAGACCTGACAACCCCCCCTGTAAAAGACAAACATTACCACTCATTTTCAAACCTAACATGCTGTTTCTGAATTGTGGAGTAGCACCACAGTCCCAGGATGTTCTTATACTGGCTATTTTTAAGGTAAAGAATAATTCTACTGCAGATCTATTTTATGAAGACTTACTTTGGAGTTGGCAAATGGACAAAGCATACCCAAGGAGAACAGGCCCAACAACGGACCTCCAGTAACACTACCAATGACAGCAACTGACTGTTTCATGAAGAAACACACAAAACACAGATGTTAGAGGAAAGTTGAGTAAGCTCAGGCATGAACTTATTTACATATGTACACATTACCTGCATCATCCCTCCTCCCATTAACGCTGTCATTCCAGTCATGGAAGTGCAGACAACCCCGTAAAATAAATCTGCAAATCAAACACTGAGACTTAAACCCTCAACAAGAGATCCTTCTCAGCTTCTGTCACATATCAGTTGGATAAACTAAATGTTGTGTATTTCGTACAGAATGGCATACATACTCAGGCCTTTGGAGATGATGAGATGATGTTTCTTAGATACGTTGGTATAAGGTTTGATCAAGTCCTCCAGGGTCACTGCAGCTAGTGCATTGATGCAGGATGAAACTGTGCTATAAGAAAGAAAAAGTTGGAAAATTTCCATAAACCAGTGTCTGCCTTTTTTATGTGTAGTTTTTATAAGGGCTTCTCAATTATCAAAGTTGGAATATTTTAACGTGCATTACAATATTATCAGGCTAGAAAGAAGGTGCAACTGAGTCATCAGAGTTTACCTGTAACTTCTTGAGGTAATTTACTGCAAGTGGGAAGGTTTTCAGTTCCAGAGTAGATGATTTAAACAAGTTTGATCAGTTCTGAGTATCTTTACCCTGATTTAAGTTTGTGCACAAGCATAATGAAATAACAATTTTAAACACTAAAGCAACATTTTTTTATTTACTTTAATTTACTTTTCATTTTGATCAATAGCAAACTATGAGCCCACTGTTTTTCATCCTTCTCATCAATATCTCTCTTTAATGCCTTAGAATGAAAAAATTTAAAAGAAAGGAATATATACAGTATATATATATATTTGATGCCTTAAAATAAAAAAGAAATATATATACACACGGTCTGCAATAAAACGAATGTTAAAATTAATGTAAAAATTTCCTCTTTTTTTTCTTTGTTTTTGCTTTTTCGATTTATTGTGCCTTGTGTAAATTAACCTTAAAGAGCCGCTGTACACAGCTGCTAGGAAAAGTCCTGGAACTCCAGGGTTGCTTGCAAAGATTTCCATCACCAAATGTGGCATCAGCTGTAAAAGAAAGAAAATATAATAAAAAATTAATAATAAGTAGGGCCTGACCACATCCACTGAGCATTTTAAGGTGTGCATGTGTGTGTGTCTTGTCAAGAAACTAATAATGCAGTTTTTTATTTTCCTTTTGTTTGTTGCACCTGATCTGGAGATGAAACCAGGCCGGCTGTCCACGGGTCACAGTTCTTATAGACCGAATATAGACACAGTCCAGAAAAGAGTGTCGATATCAAACAGGCATAAAGACCCAGCAGGTTGAAATACACGGCTCTGAGAATAAACACACACTTGTAAAAAACAAGCAAGTAAATGTTATTACTAAACAACTTTACCATTTAACATGGCAGATGACCAAAGTTCTGTACAAAACAAATAAAAGAGTAAAGATTTGTAAAGGAGAACAGATAAATGGGGGGGGGGGGGGGGGGGGGGGGGGGGGGGGGGGGGGGGGGGGGGGGGGCTTCGGCAGTACAGTATTGAGTAATACATAAATAATGTCACAGCTAAGAGCTCAACATGTCAGAACATTAAAAGCTAACAGTTAAAATCAAAAAGTTAGCCTTTAGTTGTGATATAAAACGAGCAATAGAGGGAGACTGTCTCATCACAATAGGAAGCTCATTCCAAAAATGTGTTGCTGCATTTTGGACCTTCTGAAGACGGTCTAGCAACAACATTTGCATAATCAAGTCTGGAAGTTTTAAAAGCATGGATTACGGATTCTAGGTGGGATCTTTTGAGAATGTGTTTAAGTCGGGTTATGAGACAAAGTTGGAAAGAAAAAACAAGAATTATTGGTTGTCTTAACTTGAGGGGACATGGAAAGTTCAGAATCAAGCTTAATGCCCAGACTAGTCACACAGGTTTTGAGAGTGGTGTAAGATCCGGATAAGTTGTGATGTGGTTTTTAGGAGAAAAAATAATCGCTTTAGTTTTCCTTCATTCAGAAAGAGGGGATTTGATGCCAGCTAGTTTTCAACCTCTGAGAGACAGTCCAGAAAAGAGAGAATGGATGCCTCAGGATTTATGCTGAGGTAGATTTGACATTCATCAGCATAGATGTGATAATTTACTGCATGTTTTTTTCAGAATAAAGCACTAGGGGAGGATGTAGAATGAATAAAGGAAGGGTCCCAGAATTGAACCCTGACGAACCCCACAAAAAAGAGAAATGGGCGCCTATAGGAAATATTATTGATGCAGACACTGAAGCTTCTATCTGCTAGATATGACTTAAACCAATCCAATGCTGACCCTTTGAGCCTAGCTCATGATTTTGAATCGGGGTGGAGTGATGAACAGTGTCAAATGCAGCTGAGAGGTAAAGGCTAAGAAATAAAACATGAGCTGTCAGAAAGTCATTTAGTACAGGAATATGTGTGGATTCTGTAGACAGGCCCGAAACCAGACTGAAAGATGTTGCGTTAATTATTCTTACATGACTTTTTTCCATGACCTTTGACAGGAATGGAAGTTTTGAAATGTGGCAGAAATGAGAGATTGTCAATTTCTAAACCCGGTTTCTTCAGTAGCAGCTGAACAACTGCAGTTTTAAAGACAAATGGAACTACACCTGAGAGTAGGCTGGAATTAATAAAGTTATGGATGAGGGGACCAATGACAGGAAATTCCTCAGTCAACACTCCGGGAGGAATGGGGTCCTCTGGGGAACCCGAAGGATTCATTCCTGTTTTTTATCTTTTCCAAGGCAGAGAGTGAGATGTCATAAAAACCAGAAAGAGAACTTGTGTGAGGGGGCTCCAAATGAGCTTTGACCCCTGAGGACGTGATCACGGACCTAATGTCTTGAATTTTCTGGAAAAAAAAAAAGATTTCTGGAACAAACCTGAAATACTGAGCACCCTGAGCAATATACTTTTGTCTTACACTCTGGCATGAAGGATGCTCTTGCAGGAGATGTATCTCTGCACGGCTGCTGGGTGGATCCCATAAACCGAGCTCCAGACAAACGTGCCTCCAACAACAAGGGTCCAAAAGGTATTTCTCCTTAGGGGGTTTATGTCAAAGCTAGGCACATACAAAAACAAAATCTTCACTCAGCTGTCTGCTAAACCTCAGCCTTGTGCGTTTATTAAAGATTCTTAATCTGAATACTCACTCCCAAAAGTTGAGTCTTCCTCCTTGTTGTGAATCCGAAACAATGATGGAGATTCCTCCTTGAACCATCACAGATTTGGTGATAACAGCAAAGTATCCTGAGAGCATTATTCCAATCTATAATCCCAAGAAGCACCTTTGGTTTAGTGTTTGTTCTGTTTCATGGTCTAATTTTCTAGTAACTAGCATTTTTACATGTAAATGGCACTGAATCAAACACAGTTAACGTTTGGGTAAAATATAACAGCTTTAGTGTAAAGTAAAGAAATATTTGTGTCAAGTGGGGTTTTGTGGAATAATTATTAGTGGTCTGCAAGTTATCAGCTGTAGACAGCGGCTAGAGTGAGTTCAGTTTGGAGAGTTGAGAAGATGATAGCATCATAATTATTCAGACATGATGTCATGTTCTGTGTCCTTTTGGTCCCCAGCCCCCGCAGGTCTTCCTCCAGGTTTCTCTTCAGGTTTCCCTCATGTGTCCCCTAATCTTCTGTGCCCCTTTGGTCCCCACCTCCCTCCTCGTCTCTTTGGTTTCCCAAGTTAAATGTTTAGTGTTTCTTGTTTGTTCTGGTGTCTCTAGTTTCAGGTTTATTAGTTCACTTATCTTTAGTTCTCTGTATATTTATATTATCTAGTCAGTATCTCCCTTTAGTACAATGTGTTCCTCCCCATTTAGTAGGGCTGTCTCGGTAACCGCAAAAATGAAATATCGCAATATGAAGAAGCCCACCGCGCTGCATCATGGGCCACCGCGATTACTGAACTTGGTTCAACTCAATGATGCATGTTTAGAAGGATGGCTGCACTGGTATCAAAACGAAACGCTACTTCGATCCTTTGGGAGCACTTTGGTTTTCAGTACGTCAGCTGCTGCGCAGCCAGAGTCCTTGGCCGAGACAGAGCTGCCACCAGTGGCAAAAAAAAAATAATAAACTCTCGGAGACCTGCTGAAGTCCCGGACAAGCACTGCTTCTGCAACCGTCTCGAAGAGAGTTTGAGCCGAGCTGGAGCTCACTCGCTATCTGCAGGAGGAATGCATCCACCCTAAAGAAACCCCCCTGACATGGTGGAGCAACAACCGGGAGAGATTCCCTTTGCTCGCCAGTCGCACGCAAGTACGTATGTGTAGTGCAACGAGCGCACCATCCGAGAGGGTTTTCAGTGTTGCTGGAAATATTGCCACCCCTCTCAGATCCTCTCTCAAACCGTATATGGTTAACATGCTGTTTTTCCTTGTGGGTAACAAGGACGTGACCGAGCTATAAATCACCGTCATTCGTGTGTGTGAAAGTGAAATGATAGTGCGCCCGCCCCCCGGCACGCGCGCGCCCGGTACATGTAATTTTTAATGCTTGATTTTAAACAACTAAACAAAATGGGGACTTGTTTCTTATTTGTTAGATGCTGCAGCCAAATTTGCATTTAAAAGTTTAACCTCCTGAATTTTGTTGTTTTTAAGTTCAGTCGGACTCCGACTGTCGGAGAAACTAACGTTACTGCGATCTGTGTTGTTACTGCCCTTTGATCTGCATTCAGTAAAGTGTTATAAAAGAAGGCACGGCAATTTTTAACCTTTTTTAAATGTGTAAACATTATGTTTAGATAGTACTGCAATAAAAAAAGGGCTGCAATAATATCGCACACCTCAATATTAAGCCACCCTGAATCACCGCAGGAGGAATTCCTCAACCGCGACAGCCCTACCATTTAGTTAATTAGTCTCTGATCCCTTCAGCTCACACTCCCCACACACCTGCTACCGGTTTCCCTAATTGCTTCCCTCTGTGTGTTGGTCCATTGTCTTTGTCAGCGTTGTTTTGTTCCCCTCTAGAAACTCTAGGATCTTGCTCATAAGTGAGCTTTGCTTTTGGTCATTCAGTGTTTTAGATTTTAGGCTTAGAGTCCTGCACTTTTGGATTTCGCTCATCATCCTGAATAAAATTAATTTTATTTATGCAACCGCCTGAGTAGTTCTGGTGTTCTGCATTTTGGGTCCAATCCTCCTGCGTTCTCAACGTGACAATGAATCTCATTACTGACTGACGACTATGGGTGCCAAATGTTAAGGCTTGGTTAAAAATAGAGCTTACAGATTTTGTGTGGGGTGTGCTGGTGGTTCGGGGCCTACAAAGAGGGCCTCCTAGAGTATCACTGACCTAGAGAGTACATCTATTACTTGGACAAAAAATTGCTTTAGACGGATTTAATTATAAATGGGTGAAAGGTGACTCAAACATAAATGATTTTTTTCATCCAAAATTGAACTTTAATCTGTTGACATATTTCCCAGAGTTAGATAGATTGATCTCCTGGTGTGGCTCTTTAGCTGTAGCTTAGCATCAAACACAGTAAGTAAATAGATCCAACTAGCATTGTGAGTTGAAAAAGTCCTTAAAATCATCCAGTAGTGATCCCAGTTCAGCTTGCTGACCAAAATAATCATACTGACAACAAGTGAAAATAATAAGCATCATAAAGGAATCACAGGTGCCGTTTTAGACTTGGGACCACTCCATGACAAAGCCTCCATCTAAAGGTGCAAGGCAGCCCCAAAGACACCTACTTCTGATAACAGATGCACACGTCGTTCGCGAACCAGAATAAAAAACCCACACGATTTTTAAAAATAGCTTTTTAACATGTGGCATTGATTATGATTATTATTATTGTTGTTGTTATTATTAGAATAGAATAGAATAGAATAATCCTTTAATAGTCCCACAAGGGGAAATTTGGTTGTGTCAGCAGCAACATCACACATATACAAACAATGCAGGACACAGAACAGAAGCACAGTTATTACCTATTTACATCATGGACAATAGTTACCAGAGCAGAGTACAATACAGTTGTTTATATAGGCGCACACATATTGTGTAAGCATAGCAGGATACTGAAGATGTTAAAATAGTTTTAAAAGTTTAAGATGATTAAAAGAGTGCAGATTGTTTATTTTTTACCCATTCATTAAAAAGTAGACATGTAGCCTTCAATAAATTATTGCATGTATAAGCTGAGAAAAAGTAATGTGTAAGTTATAATTGTAGAAGTTATTACAGCACTGATGCCGACAACTGTTTTGTTTGGGAGCAGTTCTGATTGTACAGTCTAACAGCTGCAGGGAGGAAGGACCTTCGGAAACGCTCCTTCATGCATCTAGGATGCAGCAGTCTGTCACTAAAGGAGCTCTGCAGTTCAGCAACATTTACATGCATGGGGTGGGAGACTCTGTCCATCAGAGATGTTATTTTGGCCAGAGACCTTCTGTCTCCCACCACCTGCACTGGGTCTAGGGTGCATCCTAGAACAGAGCTGGCCTTCCTGATGAGTTTATCCAACCTCTTCCTCTCAGCTGCCAATAAACTGCTGCTCCAACATACCACACTGTAAAAAATGACAGATGCTACCACAGAGTCATAGAAGCTCTTTAAAAGCGCTCCCTGTACCCCAAATGACCTCAGCCGCCTCAGCAGGTAGAGTCTGCTCTACCTGCTGCTATTGTTGTTGCTGTTGTTATTCAAGTCCTTTATTTTCCATTTGTGCACAAATCAACAGCCCCTGCACATTGGAATTCTTGTGCCGAGCTTTCCAGGTCAGGTAAAACAAAAAAATTAAGTAAATATATAAATAGATAGATTAAAATATAGATGTTAAAAAAATATACATATATGTATATATATATATATATATATATATATATATATATATATATATATATATATATATATATATATATATATATATATATATATATGTATATGTATATATATATATATATATATATATATATATATATATATATATATATATATATATATATATATATATATATGTATATATGTATACACACACACACACACACACACACACATATGTATGATATAACCATATAATAAATTCACTTATAAGTTGTAAAGCCTTTTATTCAGAGTGAGGAGTCCAGCAGTCTGGAGCAGAGAGAGAAGGGCTGAAAGCTGTTTATTTACTTTTGCTTTAGAAACCTACCTGGAACACATCAGTCCACACAACTGCCTTAAACCCACCCTGCAAAAATGAACATGAAGTCAGATTATTCAGACCTAACATCCAGCATTAGACCCAACAAAAAATATTTTAGCTTAAAAAAACTTTTTTACACTTAGCATTATTTCTGCAAACAGACATAACTGACTTAAGGTGTCTAAAGATTATGATTAATATTTTCATCACAAATCTGCCATATTCAGTCCTATACCTACTGCCCTCTGGTGGAAGATCTACAGGTACAGCCCTAAGTGTATTTCTTCATTTCTGTCATATTGTTAGATTTCATCATGAGCTAAAACAGATTATTACATAGTTCTTTATTAGTACTAGACAAAAGGTTCATTTTAAAAACAAGATTTTTTTCATCATCATTTCATATTTCAGGCCTTAAACGTGACAAGCAGGAGCTTGTGGCAGAGGTTGAGCGGTACCGGCTAGATATAGTCGGACTCACCTCGACACATAGCATTTGCTCTGGAACCCATGTCCTTGAGAGGGGTTGGACACTCCTTTGCTGGAGTTGCTCCGGGTGAGGGGCGGAGGGCTGGGGTTGGATTTCTGTTAGCCACAAGACTCTTTGCCTGTGTGTTGGGGTTTACCCCGGGGGACGAGAGGGTAGCTTCCCTGCGCCTTCGGGTCGGGGAACGGGTCCTGACTGTTTGTGCTTTTGCGCCAAATATCAGTTCAGATTACCCACCCTTTTTGGAGTCCCTGGGACGAGTGCTAGATAGTGCTCCATCAGGGGACTCCATTGTCCTGCTGGGGGACTTCAATGCTCATGTGGGCAATGACAGCTTGACCTGGAGGGGTGTGATTGGGAGGAACGGCCCGCCTGATCTGAACTCGAGTGGTGTTTCGTTACTGGACTTCTGTGCAAGCCGCAGTTTGGCCATAACGAACACCATGTTCGAACATAAGGATGCCCATCGGTACACTTGGTACCAGGTCAGTCTAGGTCACAGGTCGATGATAGACTTTGTAGTTGTATAATCTGACCTGCAGCCGTATGTTTTAGACACCTGAGTGAAGAGAGGAGCAGAGCTGTCAACTGACCACCACCTGGTGGTGAGTTGGATCAGATGGCAGGTGAAGATGCCGCGTAGACCTGGCAAACCTAAATGCATAGTGAGGGTCTGCTGGGAACGCTTGGCAGAAGAACCTGTCAAGACGGTCTTCAACTCCCACCTCCGACAGAGTTTTGACCGCGTCCCGAGAGCAGTGGGGGACATTGACTCCGAGTAGGCCTTGTTCAACTCTGCGATTGTTGAGGTGGCTGTTCCTAGCTGTGGTCGGAAGGTGGCCGGTGCCAGTCGTGGTGGCAATCCCCGTACCCACTGGTGGACACCAGAGGTTCGGGGAGCTGTCAGGCTGAAGAAGGAGGCCTACAGGGCGTGGCTGGTCTGTGGGTCACCGGAGGCAGCAGACGGGTACCGGATAGCCAAGCGGGGTGCAGCAGTGGCAGTTGCCGAGGCAAAATCTCGGGCGTGGGATGAGTTTGGGGAGGTTCTGGCAAACTGCCCGGCACCTCAGGAGAGGGAGGCAGCAACTTGCTCAAACTGTTCACAGTGGGGATGGGGGGCTGTCGACGTCAACTGGGGCTATAGTCAGGCGGTGGAAGGCATACATTGAGGAGCTCCTCAATCCCACCTACGCTCATTCTGAGGAGGAGCCAGAGCTGGGAAACCTGGGGATGGACTGTCCAATCTCTGAGGCAGAAGTTGCTGAGGTAGTGAAACAACTACACAGCGGTGGAGCCCCGGGGGTGGATGAGATTCGTCCTGGGTATCTCAAGGCTATGGATGTGGTAGAGCTGTCGTGGTTGACATGTCTCTGCAACATTGCGTGTTCATCGGGGGCAGTTCCTGTGGAGTGGCAGACCGGGGTGGTGGTCCCCATCTTTAAAAAAGGTGACCGGAGGGTGTGTTCCAAATATAGGGGGATCACACTCCTCAGCCTCCCTGGAAAGGTCTACTCCAAGGTACTGGAGAGGAGCGTCTGATCGATAGTTGAATCTCAGATTGAGGAGGAGCAATGTGGTTTTCATCCTGGCCGTGGAACTGTGGACCAGCTCTGTACCCTTGCTAGGGTGATGGAGGGGGCATGGGAGTTTGCCCAACCAATCCACATGTGTTTTGTGGATTTGGAGAAGGCTTATGACCGTGTCCCCAGGGGCACCCTGTGGGGGACGCTCCAGGAGTATGGGGTGGGTGGCCTTTTGCTTAGGGCCATTCAGTCCCTTTACCAGAGGAGCGTGAGTTTGGTCCGCATAGCCGGTAGTAAGTCGGACCTGTTCCTGGTGAGGGTTGGACTCCACCAGGGCTGCCCTTTGTCACCGGTTCTTTTCATAACCTTTATGGACAGAATTTCTAGGCGCAGCCGTGGTGTGGAGTGGAGTGTGTCAAGTTTGGTGGCAGAAGAATCTCGTCTCTGCTTTTTGCGGATGATGTGGTCCTCCTAGCTTCATCCAGCTCTGACCTTCAGCTCTTGCTGGGTAGGTTCACGACCGAGTGTGAAGCAGCTGGGATGAGGATCAGCACCTCAACATCTGAGACCATGGTTCTCGACCGGGAAAGGGTGGCTTGCCAACTCCGGGTCGGGAGAGAGGTCCTATCTCAAGTGGAGGAGTTTAAATATCTTGGGGTCTTGTTCACGAGTGAGGGTAGGAGGGATCGGGAGATTGACAGGCGGATTGGGGCAGCGTCTGCAGTGATGCGGACACTGAGCCGATCTGTCGTGGTGAAGAGGGAGCTGAGCCAGAAAGCCAGGCTTTCGATTTACCAGTCGATCTACGTCCCAATCCTCACCTATGATCATGAGCTTTGAGTAATGACCGAAAGAACGAGATCGCGGATACAAGCAGCCAAAATGAGTTTCCTTTGTAGGGTGGCCGGGCTCAGCCTTAGAGATAGGGTGAGGAGCTCGGACATTTGGGAGGGACTCGGAGTAGAACCGCTGCTCCTCCGGATTGAAAGGAGTCTGTTGAGGTGGTCTGGGCATCTGGTCAGGATGCCTCCTGGACACCTTCCTGGGGAGGTATTTCAGGCATGTCCTGCCGGCAGGAGGCCTCCAGGTCGACCCAGGACACAATGGAGAGGTTACATCTCCAATCTGGTCCGTGAACGCCTTGGGGTATTGCCAGAGGAACTGGTGGAGGTGGCTGGGGAGAGGACGGTCTGGAGCTCCCCAGTTGGGATGCTTTCCCCGCGACCCAGACCCGGATAAGTGGAGGAAGACAACGACGACGACGACGACGAGGCCTTAAAGGGAAAGTGCTAAATCAATGGAGAATTTAATGAGTTTACTTACAAAAGTGCAGTAAAAAGTACAAACAATGGCTGTAGAAGTAATTCCAATCCATAGATTCATATCAATAACTACAGAAAAATAAAGACATTATAAGATTAAGGTAAAGATTAGATTAAGTGATGATGAGAAAAAATGTCAAAAACTTTCAAAATAAAATACCTCTGTTTAAAGCCAGAGCTGGGCCATAAGCCATAACTCCTGCATAAAGGCACTATGACAGAGAAAGACAACGGGGTAAAGTTTTAACTGGACCCATTAAAGACTTATCAGTAATAAACTTTACTTACTGTCTGAATAATAAAAGTCACCGTCCCAAAGAGACGTGCTGCTTTATTAAAACGCTGCTCCAGATACTTGACATAGAAGGAAAGATTTTAAACACAATTTTCACAGTACAACAAACTAAATCAATGGTTACAGCGCAAATAATCAGTCAAACACACCTCATAGATGCTTGTGATGCCCAGCCTGTAGAAGACAGGTAGAAAGATCTCAGAAGTGATGACAATCGATAGTGTGTAGGCGATACCAATAAGACCAAAAATCGCTCCATACTGGTACACCTGCAGAGGAGGCATCTCGAAATAAATTACAAAACAAAATTCTGATGCAACTTTTGTCCTGATGTCAATAACTGTAAATCTTTTTAATTGTTTGCACAAACTGCTTTGGCACATTTGTCATTTAGTGTTCTGCTTGTAACTGGTCCCACTCTGGTCCCTGCTAATCTCTGTTTCTCCAGTCTGAGGCCTTTCAGGGACTTCATCACAATAGGGACTAAATCATTTAGTTTTTATTCTTTAAACAAATACAACAAAGACCTGAAATGTTCTTTAATTTTGACCGACTACCTAAACAGTCCAAATGAATGAAGAAAGAAATCCAAGATTAAATAAAAATATTCACAGATTTCTCTCACTATACTACCACAAACTATTAATTCATTTCACAAATTATTAAAGTTTATTTAAAAAGTGGTGAAACCTCCTAATAAATGTGCTTTCCTCAAATATTTTTGAGCAGCATTTTGTCAGAGAAAACAACAAAAATCAATTACTTGTTTCAGATCGAATAAATGTTAAACTAATTTACAAAGATCAGCCATCAGTAATAAAAGAAACCACAGAGTATTAGAAAAATAAACTGCTGCTATTGAATATTACCATGGTGCCTTTTAACTATCCACCCTTTTCTCTCCACCTGTCATTAAGTCTTTACTACATGTTTTATGTTTTTTATGTACATATGTACAGGATTTATACAGATTTGTTACAGGTTTTAAAAGAAATTCCAATTTGGAAAAAAGATATAATACTAATTATGGACTGGATTTATTTTGTGCTTTAGGAACTCAAAACGCTTCATGGAGAATCCACCATTCACTCACGCTGCTGCTTTTCTTGTTGGTTGTATTTTTGGCAGAGTTTGGGAAAAGTTAAACATTTCAAATCCAAGATAATTACAGAGAATGCATTTGAGATCCGTAAAAATTGATTCCATATCAGCAAAGTTTATTGTAATTATGAATTATTTTCCTCAAGAATGTGTTTAGTTTGCCAAAGAAATATCAAAGTATTGAGGAAGAAGGTAGCTGGGGAAACTCTGGTTTCCAGTCCGGGTCCTGTCCTGTCCCATCTTGTCGCTCTTACCTCAGCCGGGTTGGACATCAGAGTGACAGATGACATAATGCTGGCGGTGAGGGACATGGACACAGGCAGAGCCGTGAGAGTCCGGCCCCCCGTTAAGAATTCCCCAGAGCTTCTGTCCATCCAGGCGTAGTAAACTCCTATACCAGCAGACACCACCAGCATGAGCACAAACACTGCATAGTCTGCAATGCCAAAGGAGCCAGCTCCCTGAGAAGAACCTGACATTTTGATGGAAATGATTCAGCCTGAACTGTTCTCTAACTTCACTAGAAGTTCTTGTAGCATCGATAATCTGCTTTGATCTGAACTAAAGATGTAACAAGCTGCTCTTTTGTATGCTGTCTAAGCATTCCAGTCAGGTACTGTGTAAATATGCAAAGTAGGAGCGCTCTCTCTCTCTCTCTCTCTCTCTCTCTCTCTCTCTCTCTCTCTCTCTCTCTCTCTCTCTCTCTCTCTCTCTCTCTCTCTCTCTCTCTCTCTCTCTCTCTCTCTCTCTCACACACACACACACACACACACACACACACACACACACACACACACACACACACACACACACACGAACACTTGTTATCTTAGCTGTAACTCTAAGATCAATAATTAAAAAGTTTTTGTACAAGATGCAGAAACAGTCTCAGAACGCTTTAAGCTTAAATACATCAAAGATGATTTAATTCATGCAGAGCCCTGTAAAACAGGATGGTATCCTTTTGTCAGACCTTGTGTTGGTCTGTTCCACTAGTGTTGGTTTGTTGGGCTGAAAAGACTGAATAACAATTGGAAATAAATTACATTCATGTATATTTCTGGTGTGATTTACACGAAGGTATGTTTAAATGATACAGTACCGATATTGCAGCCTTCAGTACTGACCGATACCGATATCAATCCGATACGATATCAGCACAAATCATACGTACTTTTACCTATTTTGTAGTGTGGAATGTATAAAATGCTTGATTAAGTGATATTATTCAATCAGAGAACAAGAGCCAATAACAGGAAAAAAGTGACCATTTTTTCGTAACCATTGGTTGCAAAAATGTGAACCTTAATGGGCCATCCGATATAATCCGATACAATGTTTTTGGGCCGTTACTGAATCACTTCCAATTTCGATATCAGAACGGGACATCCCTAATGTTGAGTGTCTGAATGAAAGTGCATTTAAATTTCACTCATGTTAAACTTCAACATAGGGTTAGGACTATTTGAGATTGTGGTTCCTTTAGTTTGTATTCTAAGAGATTATAGAGTCACAGATTATTTCTCCTTGTTTATTAACAAAACTTTTACGAATCATACAGAAAAAAAAGAAAAATTTAAAGTACACAAGTGCACTGGTTGATGACTGATGGTTGATGGTTTTTATAGAGCGATGCTGCTTTTTGTTAAGTCCAACTCTAAATCACTAAACACAGGATTGGTATTTCCAAATTTCTTCTCTCTGTCCTTCTCAAGGTTGAGCTGTCGACTTTGTCTCTTCGCCTAAACCAAACACAGAGCAGCCATTTAAGAGATGTTATGAGTTTGTTGTTTCTAAAATGAATTCAGAGCAACAGGACTCACTCTGCACTTGAATAACTTGATGAAGTGATAAAACGTTGTGTCCTCCTTCTTTAACAAGAGCCTTGATTCCACTTGTTGTCTGCAGCCTCCTAAAATGTACAAAACAAAATTATTTGTAAAAAAAAAAAAAAGTACTTCAAAAGATCATTGGAAAACTTAAAAGACTTAAGTTAGTAAGGGGCACCGATTCAATATTAATAGTGAAATGTTTAGCAGCTACATTTTGTCACAGTAAGCTTCCAGAACATTTGGTGTAAAACAAAAATGAAATCAAATGGTTCAAAGGGCTTCACAAAGGAAATCACACCAAAATGAAAACAAAATTAGATGCCAAAAAATAAAATGAGTAGAAGGTTAATAAAATAAATAAAAAAGTTTTATCAGAATACTTAATAATAATAATATCTAAATATGGGAAGTTACATCAAACTATTTAGGATCAAATCTTAATATTTACGTGTATAAAATTTACATGTATAAACTCACATCTAAATGTTTAAATAAAACATATTTACTATTTTAGAAAAAAATTGGTTTAATCTTCATTGTTTTAGTTATTTCATTTTATTACTTTATTTATTCACAATTAAATTTAGATCTATTTTGGAAAATGAAATTTTTTACATTTCTATTTGAAGCTAAATGTTGTCAAATGTAGCTGTTATTTTTGAGTGTGTTACTTTTTGGCTGGTGCCCCATAGATTAGTGTGATCTATTTGGATTAGAAGAATGTTATTTGCCTGTTAGCATGCTGACTATCAGCCCCACACTGATAGATATTATTGTTCCAAGTGGACTGAAGTAAAGGTAGGACAGAGAGTACATCAGAGACCTGGAGGAGGGAAAAGAGAGAAATTATTAACATTCTGAACAAAATGTGAGAACATCTTGTAACGTCTCATCAATTGTTTTCTACCAATCAGCTCTACAACAGTAATTCTGACACAAGTATTTTATGCACTCCAGTCAGTTTAACATTTTTTGACAAAACACCAGAATTTTTTAATTAACTAAAAAATCAGCGCAGTTACTCACCTGCCATCATCATCATGGAGTGGGACTGTAGCCGTTGAGTTTGGTTGCATTGGCAAAGCAGCAGAAGTCCAGTTGAAGGAATCTGCTGTGGTGAAGTTGCATCCATCAGTGGACAAAGGCAGAGGCTTAGTCAACTCAGAAGGAGGAGGGTAGACCTGGGCTCCAATGCCCACCCAAAGAGACACGACCAGCCCAGACACGAGACCTACAAGACCTCCCTGCAAGACAGTTAAGAGACATTTAAAGACAGGGAGAATCTTTGGGCAGTGACTTGGAGTGAGAACGAACTTACTTTGGAGTTGGCTGATGGACACAGGATGCCCAATGTGAACAAGCCAAGTAACGGACCTCCAATGATTCCAAAAATACTGATAGCTGCCTGCAAATGGGAAAATATCCCAGGATGGAGAATACATTCTCATGCTGAATTGTAAATCAAAGGTTGAAATGTTTGCATACTAATTGTTGTGTCTTTTACCTGAAGGGCCCCTCCCATAAGTGAGGCCAGTCCAGCCATTCCAATGCATAAAACTCCATAGGAAAGACCTACAAATATCATCAGGACAGTGTGAAGACATCATTTATAATTATTTACAAAACAGATGTGGCATCAGTTAAAGGGATAGTTCATATCCTTTCAAACGAGGGTTTTGTAAAGAGGTTATGGACGACTAATATCTGACCAGCTAGATTAGAAGAAACAGGGGGGAAAAAGTCTGGCCAGATTGACAAGCTAACGACTAGTCAAAGCATGGCCAATTTCATATAGGAATGCTGTCAAGGTAAAATGACTCAAATTAAAAATATTTCACAGCAATTCATCCAAATAACATGTATCCATTTTCTGTGTATCATAACTGTCTCATGAGTTTACAGCAGAAATTCCATAAAACTGCAAGTCCCAGAATGCACTGGTACAGGCAGCACCACCACAAGCCCATTGGCCCCTCCCCTAAGCTGCTGCAACCCGGGAAAACAGCTAATATTAATTTTACGTTTATTTCTTTTATCTCATTTAAATAAAATAATAATAACCAGTAAACAACAAGCGTCATCATTTATCAATAACATATGTCGCAAAAAATGTGAAATTTTTTTTAGACATAGCAAATGTTGGTCTTTGGACCAAGTTTTTAACATTGGCCTCTGAAGTTGTCATGTGCCGGGGTGAGTGCTCCTCTCATTTTTGTTCCATCTTTGAGCTGCTGTGTTTCAGGAGAGGGGGGCTCCAGCTGCAGCTCATTAACAATCAGCGGGTCCAGCCATAAGAGGAGGAGAACACATCTCGACGCCGGATGATTAACTACAACTTGGTAGTTCCGGCCCTTTGTGTCTCCAGGTTAACTCTAGTGATTTTTGGATTTTAGAACCCTTGTGGATATACTTGTGCTTACCTGTTCCCAGGATTTTTGGATCGTTTGTGGACCTTACCTTGACTCCTTAGGATCTCCTTGGACTTCTGAAGCTTCTGGAGCTTCTCTGGTTTTCCTGTGGCTCCTCTGATTGACCACTTGGAAATTTCCACGATCCCGCTGGATTACTCACCTGTGCCCCATAAATCTCCTGGACGCAGCCTTCACCATTCTCCTCTCCTCCCTGCCGGCCCGCTCTCCTGCTCTCCTCGCGCCCCCTCTCCTGGACACCCCCTCTTGGATTCACCCCGGTACTCCACCTACCCTCCCCAATTCCTCAGCCCCCAGCTTCCCGTAAGTCTTTACTCTGCACCTTCCTAGTTTAGACTTGCCTCCCTGGACTCACCTGTTCCTCTGCTCTCCCCTCCTCAGACGCTGCGGTTCCGTTGCAATCCCCACTGGACCTTATCCAGTGCGCCCTCAGTTCCCAATTTTTTTTTAAACAAAATTCTTTAATTTTTCCAATTGACTCGTGAGTGGTGAATTCTGCACGTCTTGGGTTAAACTCGTCCCTAAAACCATGTCAGAATCATCCGGCCAAGCCGCTAACCCCGCAGATTCACCTCTTACCGATCTACTCAACAGGTTGTCTCAGCAGGAGCAAGTCCTGCCACTACTTATGGAACAGCTTCAAGCCGCTAACAACCGTTTCCAGCAGTTGGAGGCCATGGTACGACAGGTACAACTCAGACTGTCCCAACCGCAGCCCCCCGCTGCGGAGTCTCCGCTCGCCTCCCCTTTCCCTCCTGCAGTTCCCGGGCCGGCAGCAGCAGCCACCCCGGAAGTCGCCTATGTCCGTCCAGCCTCCTCACCGCCGTCACCGATGTTCAGTGGTGAGTGTGAGGACTGTTACAGTTTTCTGCTACAATGTCGGCTCGCTTTCAAGCGCTCACCAGGAGCCTTTTCTTCGGATTCAGTCAAGATCTCATACATAGTAGGATTACTTCGTGGGAGAGCCCTAAGATGGGCTGAGATGAAGAGTCACTGTGCTACTTTTCTGTCGGGACCTCTGGAGGACTTTGTGACTGATTTCAAATTAACTTTTGCCAGTACTGAGTCTGTTAAGGACATCAGTAAAAGACTGTGGAGTTTATCGCAGGGGCGGAGATTTGTTGCTGACATTGTCTGTGGAGTTTAGAACCCTGACGCCTCGGTCATCCTGGAATGAGGAAGCCCTCCTCGCAGCCTTCACGGAGTTCCTCAACGACCGAGTTTGGAACCAGCTGGCACTGTGCCCAGAACCCCAGTCACTGGAGGAACTCATCCGCCTGGCCATTTCTATTGATAAACGCCAGCATGAACTGCGGTACCAGAACTCCAGTACCAGAACCTTCCCCACACTGGACCGTCACCATGAGTCGGGCACTCGGCCCTCCGCGGAGCCCACCACCATGAAAGGACCCATGCAGATGGGAAGGACACGCCTCAGCTGGGAGGAGAGGTCACATCGGATCAGGTCAGGTCTGTGTTTGTATTGTGGGGAGCCAGGACACTTTGCTAGAGCCTGTCCGGCTCTGTTAAAAGGCAGAGCCCACCAGTAAAGACGGGACTACTGGTGGGCAGTAACTCTTCTTCTGCGAGCTCCCACTGTGTACTTCAGTGTGTTGTGTTTTTTAACTCCGAGCAGTTTCCTATAGAAGCGCTTGTTGACTCTGGTTGTGAGCAGTCCGTGTTGGACCCCGACTTAGTAAAGAGATGGAAGATCCCAACCATTCGGCTCCCTACTCCGCTCTCTGTGTCTTCCTTGGACGACCGCAACCTGTCAACCATTACTCACCAGACCACCCCGTTGCAGTTACGAGTGTCAGGTAACCACACGGAGGCTTTGGCTTTTTATGTATTTCCCTCTCCTCAGTCACCTCTGGTCCTGGGACACTCCTGGCTGTCCCTCCATAACCCCCACGTGAACTGGGAGACTAACAGAGTTGAGGAATGGAGCTCCAGATGCTCACAGACCTGCCTCCGCTCAGCCTCACCCATTCTCCGCAGCCCGGCCGCACCTCCAGCAGAAAGGATAGACCAGTCCTCTGTGCCACCAGTCTACCACGACCTCAGCCTAGTCTTCAGCAAGGATCGGGCATCATCTCTCCCCCCACACAGGCCATTCGATTGCAGCATAGATCTGCTGCCAGGGGCTCCTCTTCCCTCCAGCCGCCTTTACCACCTCTCTAAACCAGAGAGAGAGAGAGCATGGAGAGCTACATACAGGAGTCTCTGGCCGCCGTCCTCATAAGACCATCCTCATCACCCCTAGGAGCGGGTTTCTTCTTCGTTCTGAAGAAGGAAGGAACACTCAGGCCCTGTATTGACTACAGGGGTCTGAACCAGATTACAGCTAAGAACAAATACCCGCTGCCTCTACTAACATCTACTTTTGAGCCCATTCAGGATGCCAGCATCTTCAGTCGCCTGGATCTCCGGAACGCTTACCATCTGGTTCGAATTCGTCAGGGAGACGAATGGAAGACTGCGTTTAAGACTCCCATCGGACATTTCGAGTACTTGTTAATGCCCTTTGGTTTAACTAATGCACCAGCCGTGTTCCAGTCCCTAGTGAACTCTGTTTTAGGAAACTTTCTAAATAAGTTTGTAACAGTTTCTTTAGATGATATTTTGATTTTTTTCTAACTCCTTAGAGCAACATGTAAGACACGTTGGGGCCGTTTTACAGCGCCTCCTGGAGAACCGTTTATATGTAAAGGTGGAGAAACGCGTGTTCCACGTCCCCAAGGTAAAATTCCTTGGTTTTATCATTGAGAGCGGGAGGCTAAAGGCAGACCCTGAGAAGGTCAGTGCAGTCACTGAGTGGCCCATTCCAACTTCTCGAAAGCAGTTACAAAGGTTCCTGGGCTTTGCCAACTTTTACAGGAGGTTTATAAGGAACTACAGCCAGACCGCCGCCCCACTTACAAACCTGACCTCTATTAATCGCCCTTTTGTTTGGTCCTCAGAAGCCGAGGCTGCCTTCCAGACCTCAAAGAGGAAGTTCACTAATGCCCCTGTGCTCCACAGACCTGATCCGCAACGCAAGTTCACCCTCAAAGTAGACGCCTCCGACACTGGCGTCGGCGCTGTACTCTCTCAGGTATCTCCCACGGATAATAAACTTCATCCTGTGCCTTTTTCTCTTGCCGTTTAACTCCCGCAGGGAGCAGATATGACGTGGGTGACCGAGAGCTGCTGGCTGTAAAGCTCGTTGTTGAGGAGTGGAGACACTGGCTGGAGGGGGCAGAAACACCTTTCGTCATCTGGACTGACCACAAGAATCTGGTTTACCTGAGAGAAGCTAAGAGGCTTAATCCACGACAGTACAGGTGGTCTCCCTTCTTCTCACATTTCAATTTCCAGATTTCTTACCACCCTGGGTCTAAAAACAAAACCAGACGCCCTCTCCAGGTTGTATGCTCCGGATCAGGAGGTTGAGCCCTCCACCATTCTCCCCCCCCAGCATGTGTGGTGGGAGGAGTCACGTGGGAGATCCGGGATCAAGTGCTGGAGGCTCTTAAAACTGACCCAGGTCCAGGTAAGGGTCCGCCTGGCCGGCTTTATGTGCCACAAGGCTTAAGGGGCAAGGTCATCCATTGGGCACACACCCATAAGCGTCATTTTAACCGGGGATGCCGGGGACATGTCCCCGGCAAAATTTGTGATTGGCAGCTGTGTCCCCCCCACTTTCAAAAATGCCTGCTGATGAGGATTTTTGTTTTACCAGCTCAGATCTTATACCAGGGGTCGGCAACCTATTCCCATCAAAGAGCCATTATTACCCATTTCCCACGGTAATTTTGGACGGACCTTAATAAGCAGTGACTTAAGTGAAGCAGGCAGGTCGCGCTAGAAAATTTAGTTTAAAAAGAGGTCATAAATGTGTTCCCCCGTCCTTTTTATTTATAAAATATGAAGTAAAAACTCACAATTTAATTTTCATTCATTTGTCATTAATATTTAGTCTACACCCGTGCCTTAAGTGGACCATCTTCCAGTAAAAGCAAAGCATCCAGCCCACCTCTCCAAATGCGTAAAATGTGCATCAGCCGCTAGTTAGGCGCGCCGCGCGCACCATCAGCTGATCAGCCCAGACAAGAGCAGAGCAACTAGAGAAAGAATAGAGGATAATTGTGTCTGTATGTGGATGGAGATTACATTTTACAGCAGCCTGATCATCATTTAAATACGTAAACCATCACCTGTCTTCTAGTCCACGCTATCAGCATTATTTTAATTGGTGTGTGTGTGTGTGTGTGTGTGTGTGTGTGTGTGTGTGTGTGTGTGTGTGTGTGTGTGTGTGTTTTCCACTTCAAACACTGGTCTAACCAACCAGACCAGCGTGTCCAGTAACATATTAATGTTACAATTAAATAGTTTCACTTCATGTAGGCTAGGAACGTTTCACCTGCCGTGGCCCGACCGCTTCTGCTCCACATAAACTTTGTGCGTGATCAAATGTCTCTACGCGTCATGCGTCTCCATATTAGAGACGGGAACAAGCGCTGTTCAGCCAAAGTTTCATAATTTCATAAAAAGAACATTTTTCCAAGTGACATCCCTCAGAGAGACCGGGTTTCCAGACTGTTTCAGTGGGAGGAAATCTTGTCGCATGCGCGTGGTTCTGCACTGCGCTGCGAACCCCAGATCTTCAGCTCACTGTCCACCGTGGGCGCTCCGAGCCACGCTGAACACAGTGTCCAGTATAAAGCTCTGATGTTCTGATGGGAATATTTTACCTCCGCGATGTGCGTTAACGATTAAAATGTCAGCTCATCCATGCGCATCAGTGTGCGTCGGGGTAATTCTTTCAAACCAAGCAACATCCTTGAGTTTATCCATCAAAATAAACAGTCAAATGGAAATATATGTAACCTGCCGTTTAACTGTTTTGCCTTCCTGTGAAGATTGTTGCAAAGAGAAACAATTAAACTTGATTAACCCCAGAGCCACCCAGAGAACCAGAGCGAATGCGGGAAGATTCCTTCCACTGAAGCGAGTGTTTTCCAAACCCTTTCTCTCAGAGAGACTTGTCACTTAGAAAATGTTCCCTGATGATGAAACTTTGGCTGAATAGTGCTTGTTCCTGTCTCCAATGTGGCGACACATCCATGAGCCGTCTGAGGAGAAGCCCAGAATCTCACATCTTCAGCTCAGACAGCGCATATGATTACGCACAAGCGTGACCCATCAACCCGGTCTCACAGTAAGACCGGGTTGGACCTGTTCAGGTTTACGCAGACAATCTTTACATTTAGAATTGGCATACAGGTGTAAAATTAATGCAGTAAAATATAAAGCATTTTATTTAAATATCCATTCATTATTTTACAAGCACAGAGAGCCGCATCAGATGGATGGAAGAGCCGCATGCGGCTCCAGAGCCGCGGATTGCCGACCCCTGTGCTAGCCTACTTTATTGTCCCCAGCAATTTTTAAACCCCACTCAATGTATGGTTATTGTCCCCAGCAATTCTGAAAACAAACTGGCGCCCTTGCACACAGCGGCAGGTTTTCCCTGCACCCAGGTGCAGGTCGCACTATTGCCCTATTGAAACGGACTTTCTGGTGGCCTGCTATGAACAAGGAAGTGAAGGACTATCTTGGCGTGCCACGTATGTGCCCAACAGAAGGGGGACCATCGGCCTCTGGCAGGCTTATTAAACCCCCTTCCTACTCCCTCACATCCCTGGTCACACATAGCCTTAGATTTCATCTGTGGGTTGCCTGATTCGCATAGTTTTTCCACCATAGTGAACAGGTTTTCGAAGGCTTGCCACCTCGTACCCCTAAAGTCTCTCCCTTCCTCCTCTGTTACCGCTAAACTCCTCGTTAAGCAGAACTCCTCGTTGTGTTCAAGTTGCACAGGATTCCAGAGGAGATTCTCTCGGGTCGAGGACCTCAATTCATCTCCAGATTATGGAAGGAGTTCGCTGAGGCTCTGGGGGCTAAGATCTCCCTCACTTCCGGATATCACCCATAGACGAATGGACAATGCGAGTGCATGAACCAGGAGCTCGGGGCCATGCTGCGCTGCGTCTGCTCCGTAGACTCTGATTGACTACTTGGACATTTCCATGATCCCGCTGGATTACTCACCTGTGCCCCATAAATCTCCTGGACGCAGCATTTACCATTCTCCTCCCTGCCGGCCTGCTCTCCTGCTCTCCTCGCACCCCCTTTCCTGGACACCCCCTCTTGGATTCACCCCGGCACTCCACCTACCCTCCGCTATTCTTCAGCCTCCAGCATCCCGTAAGTCTTTACTCTGCACCTTCCTAGTTTAGACTTGCCTCCCTGGACTCACCTGTTCCTCTGCTCTACCCTCCTCAGACGCTGCGGTTCCGTTGCAATCCCCACTGGACCTTATCCAGTGCGCCCTCAGTTCCTGATTTTTTTTAAATAAAATTCTTTAATTTTTCTAATTGACTTGAGTGGTGAATTCTGCACATCTTGGGTTAAACTCGTCCCTAAAACCATGTCAGAAGTTAAGTTTGACAGCCCGGTTCCTGACCGTTCACTCACTCATTCCCTTTGAGATCCAGGACAGATGTTTTTCAGACAATTTGGCGTGTGGTCTGATGAGATCCTCCACTGTCACTGCAGCCAGTGCATTGATGCTGGAAGACACTGTGCTGATGATTTAAACAGAGCACAAAGCAGAACCATCAGACGTTCAACCAAAGGAGAAACATAACAATAAAACCACTGAAATGACATGCATCAACCTCAGAGATCCACTATACGCTGCTGCAACAAACAGTCCAGGGAGGCCAGGATAGCCAGCCAGGATGTCCATCACCAAATATGGCATCAGCTACAGAGGAAGTGACACTGGATCAAATAACGTACAGGATCAGGATGGTCGGTGTATAAGTCATAGATCTGTACCTGATCAGGAGCAGAAACAAGCCCAACACTCCACGGGTCACAGTCTTTATAGACCGAGTAAAGGCACATTCCTGCAAACACCGAGCTCAGCAAGATGGACCACAGGCCCAGCAGGTTGATGTACAAGGAACTAAAAAGTCAAAATAGCATCAAACACAAAATGCATCACTTGTAGATGCTTAGAGTCTATCACAAACTGAGATTTATCTAAACGTGAATCACAAAAACTGCTTTGATGAAGCAGACAAAGCTACACACACGCTGCTGTCCAGCAGAACTTACAGTCTGGCGTGAGTCATGCTTTTGCAGGAGATATATCTTTGAACCTGGGCCTGGTTGATCCCATACACACCGACCCAAATAAATGTCCCTCCGATAGACATGGTCCAGAATGTGTGTCTCCGTAGAGGGTTTGGGTCGAAGCTGAAAAGATCAAAATGAAACCTTTATGAAACTTAAAGTTGGAGATTGTTTATTCTTCAGTTTGGGATTTATGTCTATTAGTTCTTCTGCACCAGAGGTTATATAAATAAAATAACATTGTATTAAAAGTCATCTCCAGGTAAGATTTAAGTTGTATGTAATTGTTCCATAGAAACTACCTCTGTTTCAGAAGTATCTTTGTTTACATCTTGAAAACCCTTTTGCTCAAACTTGTAAAGAAACATGTTTAAAAAACGTCTCAGGTCACATTGTTTGAACAATTCTAGAGGGAATTTCCAGAAAAACAACATACAAAGTTGTTAGTTGCCTGTTATATGGGTCAACAAGGCATCATCATTGCTTATTAACCTTTGCTGAGCTTGTGATAAGCCTCTCAGCTGAAGAGAAGACCACTCTCAGATTGCAGGTTAAACCCTTATCAACCAGCTCTGTGATGGCCAGGTGGGTCAAAGATTCGCTTGTAACACCAGCGAATCTCAACTCTCGGTGAACATAAAAAATGTTTCGCTTTGCTTTACTTTCACTTATTGGTTAGATACTGGAAACAAAGTGGTTATGTTCAACCACAGATGAAATTAAAACTGGATGTCAGTTCCCATTACATAGCCACCATAACTCTGCAAACAGGCAGACAGGGCGAGGAAGTGAACAGTGCTCTCATGCTAATAATAAGTGACAGATTCAACTCAAAAGGCTGAATGTTTCAGCACAACACATTGTTATAGCAAGTATACTACAAGTTCATGCCAACACAAACACAACTGCTAGTTAGCTTTATAAATGGTTCCTGATCCATGATTTAATCCCAACCCAGTAGCTGTTTTACTTAAAATGTTTCCCACAAACTCACTCCAAAAAATTCAGTCTTCCGCCCTGTTGCGAATCTGAAATGATGGTGATAACGCCGCCTTGTAGGGCCGCAGATTGGATGATGACAGCCAGGAAGCCTGCTAGCATGACGCCAAGCTGCAGGAGAAAGTTTAAATAAGTTTAAGTTGCGTATTTGACCTGTTTTAGTTTATGTTTCTTTTCCAACTGTGACTCTTACTTGATCTGGTTCTTGCAGTTCAAATAATTTCCAAATAGACAAAAGCCATTTTGGATCAAAATCTCCAAACATAATTTTTGACCGGTATCACCTGAAGTAAATCATTTCTTTAAATTCAATGTTTGAAATTTTATAAAACAGAGTTCTTCATGTTTCTACATTGAATGCATATATATGTATACGTATATTCCATTCAACTTCAGCTTTTTTAATTACAGAAACCTTTCATGGCAGTGTGAGCTTGTTCATTGATTTTGAAACATGTTTGTTCTCACCTCTTTTTCAATGCATGATAATTGCTCTGTTTATAGTTATTCTGTTTATTTTTGTGTTGCTTCTGTGCTATCAACATTCCCCTAGGGGACAAATGCAGTTAAAATGAATTTTACTGAATTTCCTTTCTTAAAATACTACTGTGATTAAACCTTAGAAAAAAAGGGGGATATGGATGGATGGATGGATGGATGGATGGATGGATTGGTGGGTGGTTGGATGGATGGATGGGTGAGTGAGTGAGTGAGTGAGTGAGTGAGTGAGTGAGTGAGTGAGTGAGTGAGTGAGTGAGTGAGTGAGTGGATAGTTGGACGGACGGACGGACGGACGATAGGTGGGTGAGTAGGTGTGTGGATGGATGGATGGATGGATGATGGATGTTATAAGACATTTTTTATGGTCCAGGGAAAATTATAACCTGATGGGAAAGTCTTCAAGCAACTCCACTTCCTAGAAGTATGATCTGGACTGATCTGTTACTTTAAAATCGAGTTTGTTGTTATTATTTTCGTTCTTCTTCCATCAAACCATGATCCTAGATCAGGACTTTGTCATGATTACAAACTCATGAAAATTAGCATGAATGCTAATCATTTTGCATTTAAAGGCAACAAGTATCAGCCTGGTCCATGTTAGGTCTAAATCAGCAGACCCAACACTGAACTTTGAGGGATTCCACATTTAATCTTTGGAAGTTTTGATTGTTTGCTTTTTCTTCCAGCTCTTGGAGAGTACAGATGCTTTTTTCTCCTCTCCCTCCCTCCTAATCTCAAGGGTCTTTGTCCTGTCTTGTGTGCACGGCGCTTTCTGCATTTTTTCTGGAAACTGGAAATTATTACAAATGGACATGGTCAGTTGGTCTCTCAACGCGATTGACAAAATTTTTTCAGCGATGAGAACGGGAGAAGGGGCTCCCAGATGCCCTTCTGGGGCAGAGCCAGCTGGGTATATCATGGACTCCTGGAAACAGTGGAACCTGATATGCCTCTCTCAACTGTCTGTAGAGAATTCTGAAGATGTTTGGATATTCTTCGTTTTGGTGTTGGGATTCCTGCGGTTTGGCATGAGCGGTTACCTGGCTTACTGGAAAATTAACGAGATTTCAAGGAACATTGGCTCAATCCCGGAGCTCAGGGATGGAATGCATCATGCTGTGAACGCACAAACTCATATAATTGTCGAGATGAGTCGTAAGCTTGGAACTTTGGCTGAGATTCAGGCTCTGGCACAAAAGGTGGATACCATCAAGGAGCGAGTGGACAGACCCACATGAATTGAGATGGATTAATTATGCCATTATTGGATCTAGAGGGGATGAAGACCAACAGAACACAAAGGCAGAGAGGAAATTATCTCTGTCTGTCCCCAAAACAATTTTTATCTGAATCTGGTGCCCTTGGAGCCTGTGAGGCTGAAGTGATAACTCCCCCCTCAGAAGAAATGTGGAATGTTGCCGTCGCTATGGAAACCCTTTCTCCCTATCCCAGCCTGGGCAGGACTGTGACCGGTGAAGGCCGTGGAACCGTATCTAGGAGTCACTGTGCCCTCTAACCCATCAACTCCATCCCCTGTCCAAACGGAGGTGATGAGCGCTGCTCTTGCAGCTGCACGCACTGCAGTGAGGAGAGTCCCAACCCTACCTCCCCACCTAGTGGACACTTATGTTGTGTAATGTCTGAAGTTTGTGTGCATATCTGTCTGAGGTTTTTGTTTTTTTGTTTTTTGCATAGCAAAGCTGCCCTCTCTGTAGAGGGTAACTCTGAAGTGCCTTTTTTCCCTCCCCCTGACTCTATCCTCATATAAACCCTCTTGATCTATAACGGTAGCGCGACTCGGGTTGCGAATAACCACAGTCACCAATTCTTGTCATGTGTCTATGTATGTATGTCTGATCTCAGAATTGTTTGTACCGAAACTCTTAATTTCCCTCGGCGATTAATAAAGTAGTTTTGAATTTGAATTGAATTGAATTGTTCAATTTAAAGTTTTCCTTAATGTTTTCCATCTTATCCCATAACCCTGCTCCATATGAAGTAACAAACAGTGTTTTTGTGTGTGTTTTTTTTAATCTATTAATAAACAAGCCAACTGTTTGTTATTTCCTTTTGATTGAGTTGCATGAAAAATTGTTTTGGAGATAAGTGTAGCTCTTTTGTATCAGTGAACTGTCCCATAGTAGTGTCCCATAGTTGTGGTTTGTTACCACTGATAACTGCAAAACATGTGACACATAGCTTAGTCAGCTAGTTGAACTCCTTATTTGACCAATAATTTTAAAAACACACCTGAATCACATCTGTCCATACCACTGCCTTCAGGCCGCCCTGCAGTTAGGTAAACCACAAGCAAGTGTGCACAGAAAAAACATTGTGGGGTGAAATAAGTGATGCCAAAGCAACATGTTTAAAAGTGTTTTAACAAGTGCATATTTTATTACATACCATTGTGCAGTAAAAGGTGCAAACCACTCCTGTGGAGATGACCGCACCCCACAGGTCCAAACCAGTCACTGAAGAGAGAAGGTTTTGAATTGTGGTCAGTCAATGGGACAAATCGGAGTAGGGTTGAGTACCCTCATGTGGGAATGTTTCATGAATCTGTCTCATGTAGATTAAATACCTTGGTTTAAAGCAAGAGCAGGGGCATAAATGACGATTCCAGTGTAGAGAACCTGTGTTTACAAAAAACAGGTCACAGATTTGTGGTTTCCTCTATGGAATGAAGACCTGTAATACAAGCTCACTGGATCTGGACTCACAGTCTGAACAATGAAGAGCATGGTTCCCAGCAGGCGAGTGGCTCTGTTGAAACGCAGCTCCAGATACTTGATAGAAATGGACCAATGAGGAAATAACATCATGAGCATCTTTATGATCACTGTCTATGATCTGCTTTCTCATTCAGTCATTTTCAATTCACTCTCTGACTCAAACATTATTATTATAGGTCAATCACCAATTTCTGACAGAAAAATGTACTTTTCCTGACAAATGTTCAAAACCTTTCACTCTGCAAAAGAACAACAATAGAATCAAATATGGCTGCAAAATAGTAGAAATCAGCAAACCAGGTATTCACCAAAAATGTTAAAGAAACATCAAAAAGAGAAACCACGCTGACCTCATAGGTGCTGGTGATGGTCAGTTTGTAGAAAACTGGCAGAAAGATCTCAGATGTGATCAGCATTGTGAGCAAATAGGACACTGCGTAAAATCCAATGATGGCTCCATAGCAGTACACCTATATAGGGTTATGATGCATTAAGATTTTTTAGTAGTAAAAAAGGTTTTAGGAGGCTATGTGAATTATCCTACCTCAGCAGGGTTGGACAGGACCGTGATGGCCGACATAAAGCTGGCGGTCAGGGACAGGGAGACTGGGAGGGCGTTCAGCCTGCGGCCCCCTGTCAGGAATTCCTTGGAGCTTTTCTGCCTCCTATCAGTCCAGGCGAAGTAGACCCCGACGGCTGCAGAAACCACCAGCATGATCGCAAACACCACATAATCCGCCACCACGAAGGAGCCGGCCGTCAGTGTCCTCACAAACATTTTTGTAGAAAACGTCTTTTCTTTTAAATTAGATATTTAGAAGTTGTCCCATTGGTTTAGTACTCAGAGACAGACAGTCCTCTGTGGATAAATGGAAGTTCTGGCAGCTCACCTGCCCACATTACACTGAGCTGAGTGCAGGACCACTGACCGCAACCCTTTGTGTGTGTGTGTGTGTGTGTGTGTGTGTGTGTGTGTGTGTGTGTGTGTGTGTGTGTGTGTGTGTGTGTGTGTGTGTGTGTGTGTGTGTGTGTGTGTGTGCGTGTGTGTGTGTGTGTGTGTGTGCGTGTGTGCGTGTGTGTGTGTGTGTGTGTGTGGGAGAGCTAGTTCCCGGGAACATTCATGTGTGTTCTTCTGGCCAGGACAGGTCTTTGGTATCAGCTCTTATTTTGTAACCAGAGTAGAAATATTTTCTTCTTGCTTGGATTTGAACATTTTCCACAGTGTATTTTAGAGTTTATCTAAGTATACTGAAATGTTTTGTTGTTAACAGGTTGTGTATCTAAAGATATGCTGACCCTTTATGCATCAAGTCTTCCACCTGAACAAATGAAGGTTAAACAATTGTTCCGTTTTTGTTGTTTTACCTCCAAAATCCTGCATAAGCTTCTCTATCTTCTCCTGTCTTACAAGACGTTAAACGCCATCATGTGTAAACCAGATAACAAACCCACCTGTAGACGTTGCTCTGATGCTTGTATGAACTGTGTTTTGAAAGGTGTGAAAGTTGCAAAGACCTTTTTCTTTGGGTGATCTTCACAAATAGCTGAACCACGAAAAAGACCAAGGTTGCCAGATATCAAAGTATTCATGATAACATGAATAACAGGTTCCAAAATGTTTGAACAGTAATATCTAGAAGTGGTGTTACATTTTTTCATACGTCCCACTGTTAATATTTGTTACATTCATTAATAAATTCCTTCCTGAATGTGGAAACGGTTTGCTGCTGCTGTTTGAATGGGAGAGAGAAACAGGCTGTGTCCAGTCAAAGCGGACATGCTTCACAAGAATGAGGTCAAAGGATTGTGGACTACACAGTGTCCCCTAGGACCAGAAACAATCCTGAGACTGTTTGTCTCCTCACTCCTTCCTAAGACTAGTTAATCATTTGTGTCTTCTTTGTGGATAAGCCAGCCCCATAAATCTAACTCTTTGTGTTAGTATTCCCTGTTTAACCCTTTGAAGGCCTGATTCATAAAAACATATGCAGTGTGTGCGTGTGTGTTCTTATCCCTGGGTCATCATTTCTTTATTTACCGGTATATTACAGTGGCTGATCTTGATTTCGGAAATAATGTACCTCTCCATACCAGAGCTGCTCAAAGTAGAAAACTTTAAGGTGCTCCTAAATACCCACTCCAGCTCTGGGAGGATTTTACTTCTCTGTTTTTATTATTTTCTATCCTTTCAATTTTTAATCATTAATGCATGTCTTGCTCTTTCTGCCGCAACACATTGGTGCAGCTCTCACATTTTCTAAAACGCTTCATAAATAAATTTACATTGCATGCCAATGGTTTATAATGAAGTTGGTACTTGTTACCTGCAGTACCTAGACTCTCCTCCAGGGAGAAGACATGCACAAGTTTATTTCTAGAGTTTTATGGTTGTCGAATCTAATCTCTGTGTGTGTGTGTGTGTGTGTGTGTGTGTGTGTGTGTGTGTGTGTGTGTGTGTGTGTGTGTGTGTGTGTGTGTGTGTGTGTGTGTGTGGCCACTGTGAAGTGGTTGGTGGTTTAGACTCGTGCTTTATGACTGTAGGATGCCATGAGCTTCTGTAGGTTTTCTACTATGTAATTAAACACTGAGACGCAGCTGTTTAGGTCCAGCGAACTTTTACTTTCTGTATCAACTCACTGACGCAACAGTAGAACCCGTGACACTAGTGCCACCTAGTGATCACAGTCCTAACAGCATGTACATTACAGTACAATCATCGACATAAATATACGGATGTAACCCACTTTTTGGGGACTTTTATTTTGAAGGTGCCTGTCGCAACCCCGACAGGAGCTGTTAAAAAGTTTAGGAGGGGGGTAACATAAGAAACGTGACAGTGGATTAAAATGGGTTTAATTGTCATAAAAAGGTTGTAAAAACAAGCGAGCAAACAGATGGAGAGCATTATTAAAATAATGCCAAACAAAACCATGACTAAAAGGTTCACATTTAAAGGGTGAATTGTCAACATTAAAACCCCTGGTTAAAACTTAGTTAAAGGTGTTACCGGACTAAAAGGAGTTATTTAAAATCTCAAAGGTGATAATGAAAACCGACATACTATGAAAACAAATAAAACACCATTAAAATACCACCACCAAGGGATTTTTCTTTTCTTCACGGTCTGATGAGGTTAGATATCCCGGATGAGCCCTCATTTATGTTACAACCGTAGTGTGGTAGGTGTGGAAGGAGGGGTAACATAATAACTGGAGGGAAAAAGGTGAGTATAAATAAAAATGTATTTTTATTAACAAAAGTATAAACACAAACTCTCAGTCCTGGACGGAAAATTTAGCGGGAACTAGGGTTTAATTTACTCTGATAAAAAATAAACGAAGGCAACGGGAAAGAACTCAAAACACCAGAGGCAAAAGGCCTCAGGGAAGACAACAAGAGTACAATTACTCCTATGTATGTTTTATTGCAGAGTTTGCATGGGATTTTGTAAACAACTCCACATTTAAGTTCAGCTGGTATCTTATCTTTTGGGTGTACTAGTCTGTTTTCGGATGCGGATACCCGACATGGGCAATAAACGAAGGAAAAAAACAAACAACAACAGAAGGAAAAGAACAACCTAAGCAAAGAACCAGAAACCCAGAAAGACAAGAACCAAAACCAGTGATAAAAGAACCAAAACCAGTGATAACCTTACCATAAATAAACATACATAGGAGAAACTGGACGCCAACTCAACACACGAACAATAGAACATAGAAAGGAGTGTGAGAAAGAAACAAGTCGAAAACACAAAAGTAGAAGCAGAAAGCACAACAAAGAAGTCAGCTGTAACAGATCACTGCATAAGAGAACCATATAATGGACTGGGACAACACAAGGATCATAAACACCGAACAACAGACATACAAAAGATTGATAAAAGAAGCCATAGAGATAAGGAGTCGTGGATGCAGGACTATGAACAGAGACAGTGGGATTTACACATTGGATCGTGCCTGGGACTGCATCATCGGAGAGGGGAGAGCAGGCAGAAGAGGGCGACAACGTCCTCTGCTGCCCGCGGATAAACGGAACGGAGTAAGAAGTGACGTCACCATCAGCGTCAGCTCTGAGGTTGTTTTGCAGTCGGCAAACGAAACTGTCAGCAAGGTAAAGAGAAACCTTTCCTGTGTTTTAAAAAGAACCAAAAAGGAATTAGAAACTAGACACAGTAAGAACATACCAAAGAAGGTTAGCAATAACAACTCCCCAACATGGCAAATCACATTCTGACTTGCGTTATTATCAGTGTAGATAACATGTCAATGTTGCATTTCTTTACCCAAGAAAGAACAGTGAACTGAGGCAGCAGAAGAGTCCTTTAGCTTTTAGCCAATCAGAGGCAAGATGTTCACTTATGAATATTATTAAATAAGACACCAAATCAAGACATATTCCACCCACAAACTCCTCCAACTAACTTCCACCTCCGGAAACAGGAGTGCCAGAGCTTTTTAACCACAGGCAATGACTCAAAGCATTCATTTATAGTAGAGACCACAGCAAATGCATTTTCTTTTTCTGAAATAAGTTCTCAACGCAGGCAGGTCCCTCCCCCTTTACATTTAGTTATTCGTTGAATACATTTTCTGCTGAAAAAGTGTCAGATTATGCCCAAGAACATAAGCTTATGTCTACTTTAGACATTTCTTAATTCATAACATATCTTTTTTTCCACATTATTCTGACAAAATCAGAATCAGCGTTGGATTTAGTTTGAGCTTTTAAATGGTCAAACCTCTGATCATGTCTGTTTCTTATGTTGCTTCCTCAGTTACCAGGGAGAAAGGAGACATTTCTGACTGAACAGTGGCCATTGTTGACACCCCTGGCCTCTTTGACACCTCTCTGTTTGACGACAAGGTTAAAAGGGAGATCTCTAAATGCATCAACATGTCGGCCCCAGAGCCCCACGCCATCCTGCTGGTCATCAAGGTGGGGCCCTTGACAGCCGAAGACAGAGATGCTATGAAGAAGGTAGAGGAGATCTTTGGAGAAGATGCCTGGAGGTACACTATCATTCTCTTTATTCATGGAGACCGGGTCAAAACAGGATTTGAACAAGTGATAAAGGATGCTGGTCCTGAGCTGCAGGAGGTCCTGAGAAAGTCTGGACACCGATACCAGCTATTCAACAACAATAAAGTCAACAATCGCAGTCAGGTTTTAGAGCTTCTGGAGAACGTGGATGAGCTATTTGAAGCCAACAGAGGAGAGTTTTACTCAAGCCATACCTACGTGGAGGTGGTGAAGATGTTGGAACAGAGAGAGGGAGCGCTCAGAAGGGAATACAAGAAGAAGTTAGAGGAAGAAACCAAGGCTATTGAAATGAAATATGAGAAAAAAACTAAGTGAAGCTTGGAAAGAGAAACACCAAGGGGAGAAACGTCTGCAATCTGAGCTGAAGGAGCTGGCAAGATACTATTGAGTTCTAGAGAGCGGAGTCCATCAGGTTGTAGAGCAGACCATTTCATCTGATTCCATTGAGGACATCGTCCAGATCCTTGAGACCCTGAAATTGAAACTGAACTGAGTACAGAGTATATTTTTCTGCATTTGTGTTGTTCTCTGTCTGTGCTGAATTTCTCACTGTAAATTTCTCACTATATTCTTACATACTACATCTTTAATATTCAACGCAATTCAAGTACTTTATTAATGCCAGAGGAAAGTGCTGTTGTAACTCTTTCTTCAATGCATCCAAAAAGCAATGGACTAAGTGATTACACTCTCCACAACAAACCAGAAGATATGTAGCATCCTACTCCAAACCTTGAAGGACCTAAGCTTACTCAAGAAGTGCAATCTTCTCTGTCCAATCTTGTAGATGGCTTCACTGTTGAGCCTCTAATCCAGTCTGTTGCCCAGGTGGACACCTCCACTTCATCTTTCATGTTGTAACTAGAGCTTGACCTATTCCTGTTTCTTCTGAAATCTGCAATCTTTGTCTACATTCAAGATCACTCCCACACAATTCCACAAAGTGGTCCACCAGCTCTCTGTACTCAATTACCTCAGATTCGTTACATCTGTAGATAGATATCTGACTTGTTTTGGAAGTCTGAAGTGTGCAGAGTGAAAAGGAATGGTGAGAGTACCGTCCTGTATTGCTCCTGCTGACCTGATCAGACACTAGGGCTGGACAATATTGCCTAAAATCAATATCACGATATATTGAGGATTTCACCTCGATAACAATAACTGGACGGTAACTACAGGTATGCGCAGAAACAAAAGTTGTCCTCTAGATGGGGCTGTCACATGAATTACATTGAGTCACATCCGCCTTGTTCGAGATGAGCCAGTTCTGCGCAGATTAGATCACCGGTGATCGGTGCGCAGTGCATGCCGGTTAGATTTGTGTCCGACTTGATGCCGACTTGCTCTGACGCCATGCATACGTAGGTAACGATAACCTTGCGAGATCAAGGCGGCTGCAGAGTTTGGAGCAATGCGCTGCAGTTACTCTCCACCAGCTGCAAAACCTAGGGCATGACAGGAAACACCTGAATCTCACCTGATCTAAGATCTGATTGGTTCACATTCTGATTCAAACATCTGGTGGTAGAATGCGAAATGTTACTTGGTCACATGTATTCTGTAAATCATGTGGCATTGATGATAACTATATAGGCCATAAAGAGAAATGTGATTTGTGTTATTTTGTCACGTTTAATATGAGCACACTAAACCTACAGCTGATAACCTTTACTTATTATTACAGTCATGTGTCCATATACAATATATGATATCCACAAGCACGTGAGGATGTGTTTCAGTTGCTAACAGGCACCAGAATTAAAATAATTAATTAAACAAGTATGAACGCTAACGCGATATCTTCATCCATCGTCACCCGCGAGCTACACATGAAGGGAAATATATCCAACTTAAATGCCGGCTTTCAGCCACTCCCCCTGCTGCATCCGCCTGCTCTCGTCTGTTATCAGGCAAGGTGCTGCTCAACTCGAACAAGGCCATTTTTACATGACTCATAGTGGTACAGCTTCTTAAAGGGAATGTTGCCAACCTACACACATCTTTTAAATTTTTTTTATTATCCTCATTTATTGACATGGTAAAAAATTATCTCGATAAGAGTCAGACATTTCGATAACGATACATTTTCGATTTATTGCCTAGCCCCATCAGACACACAACCCTATCTGTGTCTCTACAAAACACAAACTATTAAAACTGACAACTTTTTCAAGCTATTAACCACACTTGATTGTCTCTCAAGATTAAAAACAAATTCTCCAAAATAAATCTTCACTGTCGAATTTTTGAGTCACCTGTCTTTGTAAGAAAACCGTTCTTTTCCCTGCATATTTTCTTTGTTTAGTAGCTTTTCACTCTCATAAACATGAACAAATGTTCACCACTACATCTCTAGGATGTTAGATTAAATTTGAACTTTGAGCCATATTTGCCGATGGGCACATCTTCTCAAAGTTAAAATAATTTTCGATAAGATACACGAAGTGAATGATTTGTGTCGCTTGATTTATCTTAATTTGCTTTTGAATGGCTAACACACATAAACAAGCACAGTGTTGGTGTAACACTGCTCCTGTGCGCGTGGGTGACCAGCCGACTAGTTTTCAGATACAATCAGTTTTTACTCTCTTGTCTGACTCATTCGATGGCTTTAGATAATAGTATTACCCTTCAGTAGAATTTTATTTTTTAGATAAAACGAAGCCGGAAGTGAAAACGTGTTTTACTCTCGCGTGATTTCGTCTTCGCACCACGAGGACAGTTTTACCCATAATGCGTAGTTCAACATGGCTGCGTCCTGATATAGGCGTGTGTGTAAACATTTCTATCATTAATTTTCTGCTCTATAAACGATAAAGTCCGGTTTTTGTAGGACCCCCAGTTTTTGTAACATATTTATTCCGTTACTGAAACACGAGACAAAATGAAGATCAAGTCCAAGTCTTCCTATCACAAATCAGAGAACACTTTCAGGGTGAGTTTACAGGATCGGTAAAGCCTTTAAACATTTAGTAAAGCTCCATAAACTTAATTAAACATATTAATGTAGATGGTGCACCTTTTGGTAAAGCTAAGTCTGTATTAAATTAGTTGTTTATCATACTCACCTGCTGCCTGTAGCTAAACCCAAACATTTTCCTGTCGTTTCATTTAGTTTTTAACTTTTGCTGAAAGACTCTCAAACGTTAACATCGATGTCATCCATCGCATCGACAGAACTGGATCCTACGAAGAGGTCTGTGCAACAGCTCCTCTCTTCAAAATACTTATTTCTGCTTAAAAGTACTAAAGAGAACAAATAAAAACCATTAAACAGGTGTTTATTAATATTATTTTTCATTTCTATCATTTATTCACAGGAAGTAGAAACCCACTTCTCAGAAGGACTGACGAAATGGAGAGACCTGAACTTGACGGAGCATTTCAGTATGTAACGAGAATTAGAAATTAATTCATGAGTTTTTCCTTCCAGCTGTAAATGGTGTTAATCTGATGGCTTTTTTTTTCTTAGCTACGTTTATGAAGGAGGTAGCCAACAAGAGCCAGTCTTTCAACATGCTGGTTTTCCATCAGAAGTTCATAGTGGAGACTCTGAAAACACATCTGGCTGTGAAAAACAGCCTGGCCTACCAACCCCTTCTGGAGTAAGCGCTGATGTGTTTATTAGAGGGAAACGTTACAACCAAGCCTTCATATCATTCAAATGTTTTCTTTTGTTCGTCCTCCAGCTTGGTGGTGCAGCTCGCCAGAGACCTGCAGACAGATTTCTACCCTCACTTCTCTGACTTCTTCGTTCTGATCACCTCACTGCTGGAAACAAAGGATACAGAGCTACTGGAGTGGGCTTTCACCTGCCTCTCCTACCTCTACAAGTATCTGTGGAGGCTCATGGTGAAGGACATGACCAGTATATACAGGTGAACCATAACAAAGTTGCAAAACCCTTCACTCATCTCTTTTTCTTAATTGTTTGCTCAGAACTTTGATTATAATTCTTAAATCACTGTTTTGTTTGTTTGTTAATTATAACTGGGACAAGTGATCTTATGGTTTAAGTTAATACCTTATTCTCACTCCTCAGTTTGTACAGCTCGCTGTTGGCGCACAAGAAGGAACACATCTGTAAGTTTGCAGCGGAGAGCTTCTCCTTTTTGATGAGAAAGGTGAGTTTTTTATCTGTTACAGGCAAAAATCACTTAGCCCCATTTCCTAAATGTTTGTGAAACATGTGAATTCCAGCAGAACACGATGATCGACAAATCTGTGTGAAAACCTTCCAAAAGGTTCTGAATATATCTGTAAACATCTGTCTGCATTCACTAACAAACCCCACATTTTTCTACTTCTGATGACAGTTCCTCTCAGTTCTAATTGGGGAAAAGGCCATTTTTCCCCCAGCTCTAAAGCCTCTCCTGTGTCACGCCTTCAAATTTTTATCTTTCTGATCCCATAGAATAATTTAAAAGTTTTTTAATAATCCCAAACTTTATAATGAAAGTTCTCTAAATTATTAAAATTAAAGGTGATAAATGTAGGTGACAAATGTCAAAACCCTCACAGGTGCATAGCAACAAGAGCCCTTCTTGCTGCTGCAACTAATTAAAGGGGTAGAAGCAAGTGTAATTAATTAATTAATTCATTCATTCATTCATTCATTCATTCATTCATTCATTCAAGGGGTAGAAGCAAGTGTAATTAATTAATTAATTAAAGGGGAAGAAGCAAGAGCCTGCTGCTGTGATTTGAAATCTAGACACTATAGTACTACTACTACTACTTCACGAAACTTACTTTGTATGACACATGAAAGGCAAGTGACATCATCACTTAGCTGCATCACTGTATTACCCACGTATCTGAGGGATTCGATCAGACAACATCTGACTTTGTGACAAGTTACGTGCTTTCACACTCCCACCACAGAATTTAATTTCTTATCTCAGGATAATTCAAGGACCAGCAATGTCTAGACAGCAGAGGTGGCGAGCTCAGAAATACGAGCAATAATTGTTTGATTTCTGGTGTGAAATCCTTTACATTGCATTAATTCTCATACAGTTAGATGTTTTTATGTTGCTTATTTGTTTTCAGCACATTTGACTTTTACTTTATTTCATTCCTCAGGCCCCAGATCTTGATGCCCTGCTGAATCACATGTTTGCAGACTTGGAGCAGCACCCTGAGAAGGGGGAGGGAGTGGGTCAGCTGCTGTTTGAGATGTGCAAAGGAGTTCGGAATATGTTCCACTCCTGTGCTGCAGCTGTGAGTTTGTTTGGTGGCAGGAGCCTTCTGTTTTACCAGCAGGGTTGCTTCTTTTCATTGATGCTGTTCATCACATTTAATCTTTACTAAAGCACCTTATTTCTGTTCATTTACCAAAGTCAGTCCTGGTTGAGTGAGTGTTTAATAAGATCAGTTTATTAATTTGTGTTTTTCTTTTTCAGAGGTTAGATTCTTGACCAGATATAAAACAAACTTATAAATGAAAATGTTTTATTTTAAAATGAGCACAACTGCAGCCTTTAAACACTTTCTGGGCCAAATCTACCTTAGATTATCCAGATCTGATGTGTGTTAAATGTGTTAAAACCTTTAAGAGTCCTGCAGCTTTTACTTTAATGATCTAATCTAAACATCTGTGTTTAAACTTTAATCTTTTCCAGGCTCTTCCCGTGGTGCTACATAAGCTTGGGCCCACGACCTGCCGGGGTGTCTCTCTGCCCTGGGAAGAGGTCAGGGATGCTTTGGACCACATGGCCCAAGCTGCTGTCAGCCATGTTGACAGGGAGCACTTCCTGGTTTTGTGGGAAAGCCTGCAGGTTTGACTCGGCCCAGATCTGACAGGTCCGACCTTCTCATACATCGTGGTAGGTGGTGGTTTATTTTGTTTTGTCCTTGCAGGTCTCTGTAGAGGAGGTTTTTTCTGTCCTTGAGGGAAAGACGGAAGACGGAGCAATGGAGCAGCTTGAGAGGCTGCTGTTTATTCTCCACACCTTGGTGTCCCACAAGGGTGGAGCCAAAGTCACTAAACCAGAGGAAGTTTGTCAGGTCAGAGGAGAGCGCCGATTAGTGAAATCTAACCTCATCTCTGGACTAAACTTACGTTTCACGTCTCTGTTCTTAAATATTCAGATAATTCTGCGGCTGATTGAGAGCTCTTCCTTGTCCACCTCCTGCTCCCGCCTCCTCCTCCAGATCACCTCCTCTCTGCTGCTCGGGGAGAACATCAGCCTGTCTGAGGCGCTTGTGCAGAAAATCATCCAAAAGGTGTGTGTGTGTGTGAGAGAGAGACAGATTAATCTGGTTTCATGTCTAAATGCCTACTCTCCTTATCAACAGGTGTTTGTTTGCAAAATAGAGCAGGGTCTGATTTTGGAGTTCACCAAGGAGATGTTCCCCATGAGTCAGTTTGAGAAGGTGGGCGCGCACGTGCACACACACACACACACATGTTTTCCACCTGGATCTCTTTGACTATCCTCGTCTCCTCCAGCTCTTCCTCCCTAGCCTGCTACACTTTGTCTCCGGCTTATTCAGCCACAGGGATGCCCCGTCTCATCACAGTGCTCTCGACATACTTGTCAGTCTGATCCTCGCCAAAGCCCCGCCCCCTACTGATGGCTCCATGGCATTTGAAACCTACCCGCTTCTGTTCACCCCAGGGTGAGACAAGATTTTGGTAAAAGTTGAGTCAGAGCAGCATGTTTGGGAGGTAAAGGTGTTGTTTTCTCTCTAGCAGTAAGGAGGCTGATGAGACACCGGTACCAGAGCTGGTCTTGTCACTGATCAGACTCCCAGAGGGACGGTCCATCACTGACCTGTCACGACCCTGGTCTGCGTTGGTGCTGCTGCCACATCTCAGGTAACATCAGACCCAGAAATGGCCACTGTTGGAACGATGATAAAGACAGAAATCAAGCTCAGGAAGGAGGGTTTGGATTTAAATAAGTAAGAAGAGTTGATGTTTCTGAGGGTACGAAGTTCCAGAGGTGTGAGACGGAGCGACTGAGGGAAATTACACTTTTATTTTTCCAGCCTGTTTTTCTGTTTCAGACCTCTGTCTCAGACCGATGTTGTTCCTGCTGTGGTGGCTTTGTTCAACCACCTGCTGCAGGAAATTGAGGCAGAGAAAATGGGAAAAGGTTTGTGCTTTTCTTGTTTTTAATGCAGATTATGTAGAAAACTTAAAGGCCTGGATGTGTTGATCACCCATCACATTTTATGGAGGAATGATAGTTATAGCAGCTTCTGTCAGATCATGAACACATCTAGTTTAAAATCGGAGTCTCAGGTGAACAGTTGGCATGTTTAAAAACTAAATGGCTGTTTTTCTGACCCAACCCCAGCTGCTCTGTTTGTGGCCAGGCAGGCTCTGAGCTGCCTCTTCTCTCTGGACAGCTCCTCCCACCTCCTCTCACTGGTGTCTGTGGACAAAATCAACTCAGTCCTGCAGTGAGATTTGTTTCAGTCATTTCACATTTATTGCTCCTTCATTACTTGTAAACTTATTATGATTTATTGGTGCTGAGAATTTATGTAATCATATTCTCTGTTCATCATCATGGCTACCATGCGTGTTGTTTTAACTGTAGCTTGTAAATAACGTGGATGGGTTCGGATGTTTGTTGCAGGAAGTTTCCCGCAGACCTGTCAGCTCTGCTGATCGGAGACTTGTTCTACACCCGCCTGTCCCTCAGTGGAGCATCGCACCACCTTTCCCATAATGCATTGCTGAGGCTTTATGAGATGTTGCACACTAATCTTTCCTCAAACATTTCAAAGGTTTGTTCTACCAAAGATTCATCTTTACTTGAGGCCAAATTTATCATCCATCAGTGTCATTTAGTGTCTCGTTTCTCTTGTCAGATCCGTCTGCTGACCCTGAGGATCTTCTCTCAGTTCGAGGCCGAGCTCCCACCGCAGCCTGAGGTACTAGTGATGGTTTCATCCAACTTGTTGTGATAAACTACAAGCTTTTTTTAATTTGTGTAACCTTAACCCATCTAGGGTGAGGAACATGTGAAGGTGCAGGCGGTGTTTGCCATCTGCCTGCTGGCGGAGCTGGTGCCAGCCTCTGTGCAGGACTACAGAGAGAAGCTGCTCCATCTGCGGAAGCTGAGACACGACCTGGTGCAGCGCTGCCTCCCACAGGGACCGGCCTTCCAGCAGGTAGTTCACCATGGCTAGATTAGTCCTCATCTGGTTTTATTGCAAGATAGATAGATGGATAGATGGATAGATAGATAGATAGATAGATAGATAGATAGATAGATAGATATCATTGAGTGCTTAAAAGCAGCACTATGAAATGTTGTTGGCACCACAGTAGGAGTCCAGTCCATAGTCAAAATATTTTAAATTCCACTAAAGACTCTTAATCATTTAAAAAATAATTTTTAGAATAATTTAATCTGGGATTTCTGATATAATTTATGCTACAACAGCTGATAAAAATAATAATGAAACGTGTAAAAATTCTCTTCCTCCCAAAGCTAAACTCACATTTGTCTTGCCTTATTATGAGATGACAGAATGAAGGCAAAACACTGGCAACATGGGACCTGTCTCAATAAAATCAGTGTCTTCAGATTCCTTAATATGTAAACTTCACTGAGAATTAGGTCTGGGCAATAAATAGAAAATGTGTTGTTATTGAAATTTCTGACTTATCGGCATAATTTTTCCCATGTCAATAAATTTGATAATACAAAAATTAAAAGATGTGTGTAGGTTGGCAACATTCATGTCCCTTTAAGAAGCTGTACCACTTTGAGTCATGTAAAAATGTGACTACTTACTACATGTGACAGCCCCATCTAGTGGACAACTTTTGTTTCTGCGCATACCTGTAGTTATCGCCCACTTATCGTTATCAAGGTGAAATCCTCAATATAATGTGATATTGATTTTAGTCCTTATCGCCCAGCCCTACTGAGAATGTGTTACATAAACATGATTTCAGTATTTACCAAAAATAGTCATGATTAGGATTATTTTTCTATAATCTAGCAGCTCTACATTAAATAATATTGAAAACTTGAGTCTCGATGGATTGGAATGAAAGTCCTCATAAGTAGCTTAATGTCAGTCACAACACACACTCCAACCGCTAACTGGTCATGTGAGCTCTAATTATTTAAGGTTATTCCTTTTATTAGAGAAAGTATTAGTAACTCATCTTGTTATTTCGTTTCAGGCTCCTCTGCGGTATCTCATAGCAATGCTTTTTGTGAACTTCAGGCCTCTGTGGGATTCAGTCATTGAACTTCTTGTGTGAGTTCTGTTGAATTTTACATGTTACTTTTGATGTTTGAATACATCAGTGGCTAAAGGGATACTCTGCAACTTTTTCATATGTTTAGATCATTTTCTTGAGCCAGTATGTGCTAAAATGACCCTTTAAAAGGTTAAAGAAAGGCCACCCAGCTCCTATCGCCCCCTGTGGGCAGAATATTGCACTTGCAACTTCAGACTGGCGGGCCGCTTTGTTGTACGTAGAAAAAAATTGCACTGACATACCTGGCACTGCAGTCTGCTTCCAGCACGTTTCCTGTGTGTTTGAGATCATGAACACAGCTGATGTGTTTAATTTAGTGATGAATCGCTCCTGTAGACACTCAGGAAGGCTGGGAGACATTTCAGCTGTTAGATTAAGGTGTTAAAAAGATGAATGCACAGCGAGGAGACAGTTTTTGCTTTTGGTTCTACAAACAGGCACTAGGGGGTGCTAAAAGCAAACAAAACTGCCTATTCTCCCTTTAAACTGCCTTATGCTACTTTATAAAAATTAAATATATATTGTTTGTTTTTCCTGGTTGTGCCAACAGGAGCCATGCCAGAGGAATGGACAACAAGGACTTCTGGAAGGTTTATTATGAGCAGCTGGAGATGGTTGCAGCACTGGCAGGTTAGGATGGCCTTCCTTTTATTATAAGTGACCTTTGACATGATCAGCTTACTGATTCGTATTGTTGGTCATGAAAACAGAGAAAGAGCTGGATGAGGGTGACGAAGATGACGGTGGAGAGGAAGAGTCCAGTCTGCGAGGCGAGTTGGGCTGTAATGTCATTGAAAGTGGTGATGTTGGAGTGCTGTTCCTGAATCAGCTCAAGCTGACCTCCATCCCAAACGAGAGAACAGACTTTCCCAACTTCCGCAGCCTGCTGTGGCGAGCCATGTCCCAGTTCCCTGAGCGGGTGGAGCCTCGGAGCCGCGAGCTGAGCCCGCTGCTCCTCCGGTTCATCAGGTGGGTGGTAAACGTTTGGGTTGTTGGGATCGATATAACGTTTTCTACAAGTATTCAGACATGATGTTTGGCAGGAACGAGTTCTACTCCACCGACCTGCTGGTGGCACCTACTCAGGACCTGAGGAAGAGAAATAACACAGATATGGAAGAAGAGAATCATGAGGAAGAGGAGGATGAGGAGGAGGAGGAGGGAGGCAGACAAAAGAGAAGGGCACTTCCCAGGAGAGTCGCTGCAAAGTGAGACTCAGAAATTCGTGTTTATGTCTGATCACGAACAGGAAGGAACCATTCTCAGATGAAAGGTTTCTCTTTCAGGCAGCTGATCGCTCACCTGAAGGTGTTTGCTAAATTCACCAACCCCCGAGCGCTGTACCTGGAGAGCAGCCTGAGTGAGCTCTACAACCAGGTAACTCTGCTTCTGCATCTGGTCCTGACTTAAGTGATGCTTCCACCTGATGCCTGACCGTGTTTCTGTTTCCAGCTGCTGTGCCATCAGGACCAGCAGATTCAGCAGGCGGTTCTGGACTGTGTTCTCACCTACAAAGACCCAAACATCACACCGTACAAGTAAGACAAGTCTCCCAGTGAGACGTAGAGGAAAAGCTGCTGTTTGACCCTTTCCTCCTCAGTGAGCATCATCAGCCCTCTATGGTTACATGAATGTAACCTCCATCCTGACGTGGCCTGGCTTCCTCCGACCGGTATGGAGCTGTTCAGCCAAGCTGCAGACAGAAGAGCAGAACAGGAGAAGCTCTCTGTCAGATTATCGTATAACGGCTTTGTGCACGGTCACACTGGCGTACTGACCTACTTTTAGAATGAAAGACAAATGTCCAACTGTTTAAAATAAGAGAGTCTGGTTTTGAAGGTTGATCCAATCACAGCTCTGATCTGCTGTTGTTGATTTACCTCAAAGAACTCAGGAAATTCTGATTAGCATTAAAACTATAGATCTGAACTTTTCACATGAAGATCTGACTTGTTAGCGGTGGTGAGTTCACACAGATCTTTTAGTTGCACCTGACCCAAACACTGGCTACTGATTCATATGGCCGATATTGAATGTGAATCAGTGGTCAATGTACATGAAACTCAAACTTTTGACTCTTTTGAGCGGGCTCATGAACGCACCATCGCCAAGCAGCAATAAAAGACTTTCACACATTTTTTCTGGTTGGGGCAAACACATGTTGGCAAGTACAGGCCTTCTGTTTGGACTCTTTCATTTTATCAATCTGAATTTTTAAAGTAATCTAAAAATTAAAATGAAATTGATTCTGTGGTGTAGTTTTATGAGACATACTGGAATATATTCTTGTTTTGTGTGTGTGTGTGTGTGTGTGTGTGTGTGTGTGTGTGTGTGTGTGTGTGTGTGTGTGTGTGTGTGTGTGTTTAGGGAAAATCTGGAGAGGCTGCTGGATGACAAACACTTCAAAGATGAGATTGTTCATTTCAACATTTCTGATGAGTCGGAGGTGATCGCTGCTTCCCACAGAGGGCGACTGATTCCACTGCTCATGAGGTTTGTTCCCGTTTGACCGACCGGACTACACCTAAAATGTCTTTCTATACCAGTTGTAGTCACTTCCTGTTTGTCACTAAGACCTGCTGGTTTTTCATCAAATTTATGATTAAATTGTTCAGATTTTCTCTGATGAAGCTAATCGTGACAGCAAAATGAGAAGCTAACGGTTACAGCAGAAAGAACTGTGTTTGTGTCGAGTCTTTGCTCGTGTTTTTTAAAGACACGGCTCGTGTCCTGTTCATCTGCTGTAAATCAAGGCTGCTATAATGTCTCATTAACAGTCTGGCTGTGATAAAACTACTTAGACACAACACTGGCTCATCCCTTTAGTTATGTTAGCATTTAAAATCATTTTAAGAACATAGTGTATCTCATCTGAGATATTTTTGCTTTTTGGTTAACAGGATCCTGTTTGGCAGACTCAGAAGTAAAGCCAGCAGTAAGTTCCAGGGGAAGGCGTGCACCGCCACACGCTCCTCCATCATTTTGCGTTTCCTGGCAGGTTGCCAGGCGGAGGAGCTGGGGATGTTCATCGACCTGCTCCTGGAACCCATCAGCCATTACAGCCAAGGTAAAATAATGGACACCTTATGCAGAACGTTAAACTGCAGCCTCACTTCTCATCACACCTTCACTGAACACGAGACCCAGACAGCTCCTCTGAGATCTTAGACATGACAGCCAGTTCTTACAGCCGTTCTGAGGCCTGCTGTGGAGGACAAGCGGACAGCTCAGATGATATTAGTGGTGTTGATTATTTCATTCCAGCTTAAATCATCAGATGAAATGCTCGTCTGAGGAGTAACAGTAGATTTGGTTTTGCTTCAGGCTCCTGTCTGGCTGCGGTGCAGAAGGCTGTAGCTGAGACAGACCTGGCCGCCGTTCTTCCTCTGGGCCGCCAGCACAGCCTGCTGAACATCATCAGCGTTGTGATCCACAAGCTGGGACACCTCATCCACATCTACCTGCCCAAAGTGCTGCAGATCCTCCTGTGTGTCACCGCATCTGTGTCCACCATCCTGGACCAGAGAGACCAGGTCATTATCTGTCACTTATCTCACGTTTTACTCCCTTCTGTGTGCAGGGTGTCCGCGGGGTTTTAAAAAGTATTAAAAAGTGAATAAAAATAGTCAAATTTAAGGCCATTAAAAGTGTTAAATTTGGTCTCAGAGGTATTATATTTTCCAAATTAGGTATTATTTTTTTCAGACTATCAGATGTCGTATTCTGAACATCGACATAGAAATATATTCCGAATGAAATGTTTTGAACGATTATAAAAACAAAACAAGCCGATTATTTGCTCTGCCCACTTGCGCTGCCCTGAGTTGCAAATGAAGCGCTCCTCCACAGTGTTGCCAACTTGGCGACTTTGACGCTATTTCTAACAGCTTCTCAGACCCCCTTCTTGACTTTTTGAATCTTAAAAGTACCTACTACCTAGCGAACACCTCAGAAACATCTCTGGTAACCCTTAGCTACTTTCTGGATAGCTGTCGTTGACGTTTCCTGCAGGTTAGCTAAACACTCCGCCTGCGCTCCGGACCGTTCTTCAGGACATTAGGAAAGGGAATTATGTAGTGATGTGTCAGTCGTTAAAGAAACAGCTCTCAGAGCCGGTTCCCTGTTGGATTAATCAGAGTAAGTGAGTGACACACACACCGCACCTGCGGACTCCTCGATAAAAACGGCTAAACGTGCGCGTGCGGCGTGCTAAACACACGTGCAGCTTGCCCCTGATTGCTGTGAGACCGGGTTGGGGGGTGGGGTGCAGCTGTGGTTGGGACAATTATTACATTAACTGATGGACTTGTAAATAGTTTATAAATAAGGTAGAAATAAGTTCCTCACGCTGATAAATAACTAATCTCTCTGAGGACACGGTGCTAGTGCACTCTCCTATAGCACCTTGACATGACTAAATAAATGTTATGCAAAATTTAGTGAACATCAATTTGCATTTATTTGTTATAAATGCCACAGTATAGTTCTTGCTGTCAGTATTTGCAAGATATTGGTATTTGGGTCTGTACTGGTTAGACTTAAATGAGTTAAACCAAGGTCTATAGCCCTTGGGTCATAGACTATGAGCTATAAGCATATTGGTCTTTTTATACTGGGAATCAGGAGTTATTTTAGTGATCATCTTGTTTCTTGTTTATTTTTGCCCTGATTGTGCCCTGAGCAATTTTATGACTGAATAAAAATAAAAAAAATAAAAATCTACATAAATTGAAACATCGTCTTAAATAATCGAGATCTCAATTTCAGTCACAATAATCGTGATTATTGTTTTTGCCATAATCGAGCAGCCCTACTTTAGCATATCCGGTCACATAATGATGACGTCATATTCAGTGGTCGTTCTGCATCTTTTCAGGCCTCGTGGTCAACTGTCTGAACCGCTGAACAGAAGTGCCTGGCTTATTTTCTAAGTAAAATAAATATATGCAATACGTTGTCAACATCAGTGAGTCTCTAAGTCTATTCTTTTTGTATGTTATATATGTTAAAATATGTGTAAATAGGTCGGTGATTAACACTTGCAATTTAGTGTTGTGATGGTTTTAAAAAAATTCTGAAGGTAGTAAAAAAAGTATTAAAAAGTAGTAAATTTTACTTAAGGATTGCTGTATATACCCTGGTGTGTGTGTGTGTGTGTGTGTGTGTGTGTGTGTGTGTGTGTGTGTGTGTGTGTGTGTGTGTGTGTGTGTGTGTGTGTGTGTGTGTGTGTGTGTGTGTGTGTGTGTGTGTGTGTGTGTGTGTGTGTGAGAGATTAAAGACCTTCCTGTGTTCTCTGACAGCTTCGATCAGGATGCATCAGTCCTCTGAAGAACCTGAGGAGACTTGGTATTCTGAGGATTCTGGACTTCTTCGATGCGTTTGACTTTTACAGCTTCAGCCCTGATGAGATCGATGCCGTGTTTGAAGCTGTGGTTTGGCCTCAGGTTCGTCTTTAACCCTCATTTTATTGAGTTTTTCATCCGAGCAGCTCCGATCTATCTACAAGCGGGATTGTTTCTGATGTGCAGGTGTGTCGCCTCTCCAAAGAGAGCCCCTACTCCCCCACACCACTGCTGAAAGTCATCCACGTGTGGTGCAAAGATGCCAAGTCAGTATTTTTTATTGATATTCGTCACAAATATCTAAAACATTGATAAGAAGTGGTGTTATTATGTTCCCTTACCTGTCTCAGGTTTTTCCCCCTCCTCGCCAAGTGCAGACCCGACCACTCCGAGTGCGACGTCCTTCTGAACGTCTTTGCTCTCCTCTCTAACAAAAATGCCTCTCCAGCTACCATCGCCATGGTGATGGACATGGCCGAGTCTCTCGCAACAGTAGAAGATTTTGTCGCTTCAGAAACTGAAACGGGGCTCGTCGTGAACGGCTGTGTGTTCCCGGAGCCTGAAGAGGGCACTGTCAGCATTTCCGGTCTGCATGACGACGTGGATCATCTTTAACCCTCCCACTGTCCTAATGGGTGTGACTCCATGAGGAAAGCTGACCATTGAGCAGGATTGATGGTTTATCCCTTGGGTCCATGTGGCAGGAGTGAGCACCACCTCACCCCTGCCACGTGGACCTCAAGGGATAAACCATCAGTCCTGCTCAGTGGTCAGTTTTCCTCGCGGGGTCACCCATAAAGACAGTGGGAGGGTTATAAGTCTTATTTCAGCTGTTTAGAGTTAATTTAGTTGTATTTTTATTCAGAATCACTGACTCAGGGCTCCAGGCTGCTGCTGCCTCACATCTCCACCCTGCTGCAGTACCTGAGCGGCGTGGTACGCAACACCGACCGACTCAAGAAGAAGAAGTTCAGGATGCAGGTGGCCAAAGAGCTCAACATCCTCTCCAAGTGAGACACGCCCACTAAGAGTTGTTCCTGTTCACCTTGGTGCTACATTTCTCCTAGAGTTTCAGATGTTTTCAGCTCCACTTCCGCCTTTCTCTGTTAGCTGAATCTAATTTTTAAATAATGTTTAGCAATTCACATGGATCTACCTTTATGTGACACGTGAAACAAGCTTGAACAGTTTCCTTTTGAACGTTTTAAATGTCTCCATCAGGGTGAGTCGGTTCGTGAGCAACAAGGAGCAGAGCTCAGTGCTCATCGGTCTGCTGCTTCCTTATCTCCAAAAGGGCCACAACCCTCAGGTAATATTTACGTTATTTTGCACATCTGTAATGATGAAATTTGTTACTTGTTTTACAAAGGTTTGGTTTATTTTATACAAAAGAAATGCCCTGGCTGGTTCTATGGGCGTTACAGGCTGATGCTTATTAACAGAACACATCTTAAAATTATTCATTTAAACTGAAAACCATTTTTACTAGCATGGGCCTTTATATAGCTATGGTGTGTTCATGAACCAGGAAAATTGTCAGGTGTTTTATAGCTGCTTGATAAAGGTGTGTTAATTTTGACTCTCTTTTTGGACAATTAGGCTGATTATATTGAAATGCAGGCTATTTCTGATGACCAGATGATTTATTGGTTCATTTCTGCCGTTATGAACCGGGTTGAGTTAAGGTCTTCCTTATGATAAAACATTTGTCTTAGGAGACAGAGATCGACATCCTTGCCACCATTCAGAACCTGCTGCGGCAGTGCCTCCAGCCTTCAGCCTTCCTGCGGCCGCTCGGTAAACTCTTCTCCATCATTCACAACAAGCTGCCCAGACAGGCCCTCGTCAGCAGCTTCCAGGCAAGTTCTCTCTAATCTACTGGATCTGTGTGAATAATCTGTAATATTAATCACCGAGAAGCAGCTAAACTCTGCCACTTGCTGGTGTAAATTATTATTTCACACTTAACCAACATAATGAGGATCTGCTTTTGCCATCAGACTCTGTCAGATCTGGATCCTTCCCTCATATACATCACTGATTTAGCAGCAAAGGTAATATCAATCAGCTCTGATGTGTTTACATGTGACAGAGATAAAACACAACAACTCTCCTCTGCTGAAACTTTTCAGCTAAACGCGTTCGACAGTCGACACCTGGATGAGATCTACTTTGATGTGCGTCTGACGGCGTTCCAGGACGCCACCAGGCGAGTCAGAGAAATGCAAACTCTGGACCTGGATTACATCGCCACCGTCGTATACAACTGCTTCCACACATATGAGGTAGGTGAAGCTTTTTATGCTTTATGAGCTAAAAGCTGCAGCCAGATTTCATCATTTCCTCCCCTTGTTGTGTCTCCTGGATGCAGATCGGTGACATGTCGCTGGCAGACAACGCCACCTTGTGTTTGTCTGCAGTGGTCGAGCAGGTGGCGACAGTCGGGGCTGGAGAGCAGGTCTACAAGGATTTGATACAACACATCATCCTGGATGCGTTGCATAAAGGACTCCGAAGCAAAACAGAGGTGTGCCAGTTCTCCACTCATCACCGTTTGTTTAGGAGAAAGAGTGAAAGCAGAGAGTTTATGTAAACGTTTTTGTTCGGCTCCGAGGTTTTAGGCATCGGGACATGATTCAGTCATCAATAATGAAGCATTTATTATTTGTTTTCTGCCAGAGTGTGCAGCATGAATACACCTCTGTCCTCGCCTGTCTGGTGAAGAACTTTCCCACCAAGAAGGAGTTCAGAGACCTGGTGCAGCTCACCGACTACAACGACCCCGAGTCTGACTTCTTTGAGCACATGAAGCACATCCAGGTACAATTCACCTGTTGTAGGACCGTGCCACGTCTTATCAGCCAGGACGATGGTACCAACTCATTTCGTCTTTTGTTTTACTTTGATCTTATTCTCTATTTCAGCTACAATAATGAATTATATTTGATAGTGTTATCATGTATTTTCATATTAGGCACAATATCAATATTCAATAATAATGTTTGACCCAACAGTTAATAATTTAGGTAATAAATGTATGATTTAATGTTAGGAGTGGAAATAAAATGGTTTCTATCAATAACGTAATTCATAGGATTGTGCATCCTAAATTTGCAATCTGTTTTCATTATTTATTTTTTGGGATTACCTTTATGTCTCTAGTGCCAAAATATATATATTCAAACAAAAACTTGTGTTTTCTGCCCTTTGACTAGATCCACCGTCGAGGTCGTGCTCTCAGGAAGCTGGCCAAACAGCTGACGGAGGGCACGGTAGTGATGACGCCGCGGTCCCTGCAGAACTACATCATGCCGTACGCCATGACGGCGCTGATGGATGAAAAGATGCTGAAGGTGACTGAAACACAGAATTAAAAATAGGTTTTTTGTTAAATCTTGCGTGTTGACGCCTTCACCTCCTCCCAAATGACAGCATGAGAACATGATGTCAGCGTCGGTGGAGGTGGTGGGCGCGGTCTGTCGCAGGCTCACCTGGTCTAAGTACCTGTACTACCTGAAGCACTTCATCCACATCCTGCAGACGTCTCAGGCTGAACAGAAACTGGCCGTCAGGTTGGATTCTTATGGCTTTGTAAAATAATAACTTGGTTTTAACCATCAAACTGCTTTTGATGGGTAGTTTCTCCCTTCCTCTGTTCCAGTTTACTCATCACCGTGTTGGAGTCGTTCCACTTTGATCATCAGACCCTCAGCAGAGAGATGGAAGCTGCCAAAGCCAGAGAAGGTGAGAAACAGTTTCTCTCTTGCTAATTTAGTCTCTTCTTTCTGAGTTCCTCATCACAGGTGCATGAATCTGCCAAACTATTTTTTCCCCAGCTGGGAGTGTTGCGGTCCAGGCAGATGATGAAGATGAAACTGCTGCTGATGAACTGGACGCTAGTGGCGATGAAGATGAGGAGATGGAGATTGATGGCAAGGCTGCTTCCATTGATGTTCCCATGGAAACAGATCCTGCAGAAGGCCAAAAGAAGGAAGCTTCTGATAAATCCAAAACAAAACCGGCTCCCAAGTTACCAGTGGTGTCCAGCGGTCTGCCTCAGAGCCGAGAGGAGCTGGAATCCCTGATCAGTGCCATTCATGAGACTGTTAATGTCAGCGTGCTGCCTCGTCTGAGCAAGTGCCTCACTGCTAAGGTACACACACACAAACACACACGCTGTACTGAAAACTCCCCAGCTGTACAGAAGATATCATTTTTCCTCCCGAAGGTGACGAGGGACGAGGAGCACAAGGCAGTGAAGTCTAAGGATGTGAAGGACGAGGAGGTGGTGCGGGTACCGATAGCCTTCGCTATGGTCAAACTGATGCAGACTCTGCCTCCACACATCATGGAGGCCAATCTCCCTGGGTGGGTGTGTTTGTGTGTACTTGTCTTTATATGTTTATGTGGACACATTTTGACTTAACCTGTAATTTGTAAACATTTTGCTGGTCCACACAATGCGGAGCACCTAAATGATTGGTTTTAGAGGTATGGTGTGAATTTGCTTTTAGTTTAGTTTTATGGGCACCGGTATCTCAGCAGGTTGAGCGTGCTGTCCAGTAATCATAAGGTTGTAGGTTCGATCTCGACTCCAGACAGAGAATTGTGCTGTTGCGTCCTTGGGCCAGACACGTGTGTATGTGGGTATGCGTTAGGCATAGTGGAGTCCCTAAAATGAATGGAAGTCAGTGGAGGTCCATACAAGCATATAAGTGCAAGTGTGTGTGTGTGTGTGTGTGTGTGTGTGTGTGTGTGTGTTGACACATTTTGTTTAGGAAGGGTTTAAAATTAATGTAGAACAAAAATCTAAAGACGTTTATTTATAGGAGACTTTTCAAACACCCAGCAACAACTTCAAAATCTAAGAGACATATTTTTTAAGTTGTACAAAAAAGTAAATAAATGACTCCTCATACACACAACAAAACTAGATGAAAAGTCTGCTTTTGTCCTTTATGTTTAACATATCTTCATTAAGAGGAATAGCTCATTGAAAAGAACCTTGTTGTTTTCAAAGGGGCTTTTAAATTAAAGTTCAAAATAACAGCATGAAAAGCACAATGTCAAGACTTAACCCGTTTCTGATCGTGTAAACTAACAATCTAAAATCTTTAGACCGTCTGATTGGATAAGATAATAAACGTTTTAATTTCTAGACTTTACAAAGTTGTTCACATTTAAAGCGCACGGCTTTAATTAGCTGACTGAGCTTTCATACCAACAGTACAAAGCGGTGGTGGTGTGATGTTATGGGGCTGCTTTGCTGCCTGGAACCTTGAATTTTGTTTTGCAGTAGAAAATGCTGAAAGAGAACCCTTGACCTTTGACCTCAAACAGGCCGTTCATGCTGGAAAACCCTCCAATGTGTCTGAAATTAAATTACTGGTAACTGCATTTAACTGCAAAAAAAATCCTCCACCGTGATGTGAGAGGCTCACCAATTTTCACATTTGGTAGTTTTGGATCAGATCTTAAAGTTTGTTGACAGCTGAAGACAGAAAAGTAAAAAGGAGATGAGATGCAATTACACGTTCTGCTGTTTGGTCAAAAAAAAAAAGACATGACGATGATCTAAGCATTTTCTTTTTATCCAGGATCCTGATCAAAGTGTGTGTTCTGCTGAGGAACCGATTCCAGGAGATCCGTGACGTAGCGAGGGGAACGCTGGTGAAGATCATCGAGACTTTAGGCTGCAGATATCTGCAGTATCTGCTCAAAGAGATGCAAGGAGTTCTGGTCAAAGGTTACCAGGTAGGAGCACTGACCCAAAGATGTATACATCTAGTGGGGAAAAAAAAACAAAACAAATACATTTTAGCGAAACAGTGTTGTGATCAATAAATGTGTGTGCTTCCAACCTTCCTCCATCCAGGTGCACGTGTTGACGTTTACAGTCTATCAGCTGCTGTCGGTGCTCAGTCCAACCCTGAAGAGTGGAGACTTGGACCCCTGCATGAACATGCTCATTGATGTATGAACTAAACTTGAGTCTTGAAACATTGATGTATGAACTTTCATCCTCCCGTGGTTTCACCGAACCTCTCTGTTTACGTTTCATCAGATCTTCAACAACGAGCTGTTTGGCGCCGTGGCTGAGGAGAAGGAGGTGAAGGGGATCGTCTCTAAGCTGATGGAGGCAAGACACAGCAAGAGCATGGACTCCTACGAGCTGCTGGCTCAATTCTGCAGCAAGGAGAGCATCACCAAGCTCATCCTTCCTCTCAAGGAGGTGAGAATGGACTCAGTTTGGTGCTTGAGTCTTTCTCATATTGTAATTTCTTTAATTTTCCCTCATTTAATTCTCCTTTCTGCCAGATCCTAGAGAACTCCTCCAGATTGAAGGTGTGTAATCGGGTTGCTGCTGTGCTTCGGCGGCTGATCCTGGGTCTGCTCGTCAACAGCGGCATGACTTCACAAGACATCCTGCTGCTGAGCCACGGTCTGGTGAGCCAGAGCCTGCCACTGCTCACCAAGAGGGACAGGTTAGAGCATCCAGGCTCATGCAGGCTGTTACAGCAGCTCCAGTTTCACTAACCTGCTGTGTGCATTTGTAGAGAGACAGCGTCTGCTGGGCCTCCTCCTGACCCCAGGCTGCCCCCTGCCAGCTGCCTCCTCCTGCCTCCCACTCCAAAGAGAGGAGGTCAGAAAGCTGCTGTGAGCAGCCGCACCAACATGCATGTCCTGGTGGACGCTGGTCTGAAGGTGCACACTCCCGCACTGATGCCGTTTTTGTTGCTTTGTGAGATCTTGCAAGTGAAATCGTTTTTTTATTAATTCTCAGCTGCTCCATCTGAGTCTGAAGAGGTCTAAAGTGAATTCTTCTGAGCCTTCAGCTCTAGAGATGCTGGATCCATTCATCCTGCTGCTGCTTGAATGTCTAGACTCCATGCATGTCAAGGTAAACTCCCACTTTATTACTTTGATATTGTTTAATTCCCTAAATAAATTCAATTTTTAACATTAAGTTGGAATTTACTTTGGGTGAATCCTTGGGAATAACCTGCGTAATCCCATGCCATACTGCATAGAGTACTAGTACAGCTACTAGCATGTCATAATTAAATCAGTGTAGGCTTAGGTTTCTTTTAGGCTACAAACGGATGATGTGTGACATTTACCTCCTCCTCCTTCGCTCCTCCCAGGTGATCACGGAGGCTCTGGCAGGATTTGCCTGTCTGCTGAAGTTCCGCCTGCCAGCGGTGGAGCAGAATGCCGGCCAGCTGACCAAGCAGCTCTTTGTGCTGCTGAAGGACTACTCAAAGGCTGGAGCCGCCCGCGGGGAGAACTATCAGCTGGTCCAGAACTGCTTCAAGGTATTTTTACGTTATGAATATAAGAAGAACCCTCCTGATTTCTTGGGGAGAAGACGTCAGTCTAAATGACTTATTTTGGTTTTTTAGGCCATGACGGTTCTGGTAAAGAACGTCAAAAACAATGTCATCTCTGAGACGCAGCTGCAGGTGCTGCTGGGATACGCTGAGGAGGACATTTATGACCAGTCGCGCCAGGCCACCGCCTTTGGACTGCTCAAGGTAACAAAAAGCACTCGGGGTAAAAACAAAGCTGTAGGTGGAAATCTGCTCTTTAATCTGTATATTTACCTGCTCACTCCAGGCCATCCTGTCCAGGAAGCTCATCGTTCCAGAGATGGAGGGGGTGATGAGGAAAGTAGCCAAATTATCCGTTACCGGGAGCAACTCCATGATCAGAACTCACTGTCGACAGGTACCAATGTCTGTCCTGGCTTCCTACGCTTGGGTTTAGCAGATGTGAGAGCCGTTTGTTGTGTTTGGTTCAGATTTATCAGAAGTACCTGCTGGACTACCCTCTGGGCAAGAAGCTGCAGAGACACATGGACTTTGTGGTGGCCCAGTTGCAGTATGAACACGACACCGGCAGGGAGTCGGTGCTGGAAATGCTGGCATTCGTCTTCCAGACTTTTCCTCAGGTGTGTGAAGAATACCTCAAAAGAGATTCTCCTCCTTTCACCCCAGACCCTTGAGTTACCGTGAGTTAAATACATTTTTCTCCTTTCTCATTCAGAAGCTGCTGTTTAAGTACAGCAGCCTGTTCTTTGCTCCGCTGGCGCTCGTTGTAGTGAAAGATAACTCGGCACACTGTAAAAAAATGGCTGCCATGGCCATCAAGACGCTGTTGGCCCAGCTGGACTTGAACCATCAGAACACCTTGTTTGCTTTTGTCAACACCTGGCTGAATTCAGAAAAGGTACAAGGAAAGTAAAATGTAAAATAACATTTCTGAAGGTGAACTCGCATAGCTCAGGTCTTACTTGGGTTTCACTCCAGACCAGTTTGCGCCGCCTCGGCGCTCAGATCTGCGGCCTGTTCGTGGAGGTAGAGGAGGAGAAATTTGCCAATCGAATGGAGGAGCTGCTGCCTCTGCTGGAGAGAGAGATCCATCCTGATAACTTTGAAGATGTGAGTGGAAACAGAAGCAGAGTTGAACTATTAAAGACCATCATAATGTTTTTTATAAATGTCTCCATCAGATCGAAGAGGAGCAGGATGAGAGAGGGGGCGACAGGCTACTGTTCTGTTATCTGACCCTCATCTCCAAACTGAGCAAACACTGTCACCTGCTAGAGCTCAGCAAGCCTCGCGACACACTCCTCCATATCTGTGGTAAACACACACACTACCTCTTTCCACGTTTTTATTTCTACCGTAATTTCCGGACTATAGAGCGCACCTCAATATAAGCCGCACCAACAAAAAAAATAAGGTTTTCTACACACACACACACCGCACTCGAATACAAGCCGCGGCACAGCAGCCACTTGCGGGTCTCCGGCGCACAGCGCATGTATGGCCATAAGATAATAAGACACAAAGACGCTACACTGAGGTATTATGTTGTTGTTTTAATTCAACAAAATGAATTTTAAACATGGGTGAACGTGCCTGCAAGTTTACAAAAGAAAACAGCGTTGATAGCATTCATATTTCTGGATGGTTATAAAATAAAAACAGAACTGACACATTATTACCGGTAATTTGCGTGCATGTTTAGAAGAAAAGAACGGCGCTGACACAGCATTAATAAGCCTTGGATGATTAGAAAATAAAAACTGCACACAAAATATGCCTGGTTAGTAAATAAAACACACTTGCCTACCAGAAAAAGTCATTTGCTCTCATCTTCCTCTTGCGCACTAAAGCCATTAAAGTCCTCTTCTTCAGTGTCGGAGTTGAACAGCCTCAGAAGAGCTTCGTCACGTACCTTTTCTGTGGCGATGTCAGTGTCGTTGTCCGTGTTGCTGTTATCATCCCCGGGTGAAGCTGGCTTGAATGAGTTCCTCCCGCTGCCGTCTCCAGCGCCGAACCATGGATTCATTCATGCCAAGCTTACGTGCGGCAGCACTGTTTCCCTCCTTTACTGCCAAATCGATGGCCTTCAACTTAAATGCGGCATCATATGAACTCATACGTGTAGTTACCATGATGAGGGGGTATGGATTTGAAAAAAATTCTTTGTCGTGCCGGCTGCTTGCATGCGCTAAATTAAAATGAGCACTTTCTTCGATTTCCACTTTTGACTTCCATCTGTTTCACTTTCTGCTAAAGCGCCCCCTGCAGGTGAAGGAAAATCTTCAGTAAAGCCACACCTCATTATAAGCCGCATGGTTCAAAGCGTGGGAAAAAAGTAGCGGCTTATAGTCCGGAAAATACGGTATTATGATTTTGGCTTAACCAGTGTGCGAGCAGCTCTTCTCTACTTTTATAGCAGCATCATGTATCAGGTATAAGTTAAGTTTGATTAGTAGGTGTCTGCATATGTTACAAACATATTTGGGTTTAATCACCTCTGAACTCCACCGTATATCAATAACTGGAGCCACTTAAAAATGTGAACCAAATATTTTAGACTTTACCGCGGAGTGTCAAAGTTAGTTTAGTGCGGGTAAAAAATGACAACCTTGGTCGAAGTCGAGGGCTCAACAAACTGTATTTTGACCACAGGCCAATTTCTTTAAATCCACCAATTACGATCAAATATTTAAAATGAAAAAATAAGACATTTTTCTCTAATGGTTTCAGGTCATATTGAAGCCCACCTGCGACACCCTCATTGCTGGGTCTGGCTCACTGCCTCGCAGCTCTTTGGTCAGCTCTTTGCAGCTCAGCAGGCGGAGGAGCTGGTCTCCATTTGGAAAGGGGAGGGAGGAGACACTTCGTCTCGGTCGGTGGCTACAGACTTCCTCAGCAGCAGCCTGGACAAGAAGGTAACGATTGCCTCGTCTTGCTCAAAAGTGTCAAAATTCTTTCATTTCAAGGGTTTCGCTTTTTATTTTCTGACATCTAGGTGAGAGAGTTGGCGTTATCCTTCTGCCATCAGCTGCAGTCTAAGTTTTTAGACACATCATCGGGGGAGCAGGTGTGCAAATTTCACCAAAACACCCCTAAATTCCATTTTATTTCAAACATCAATTTCTACAGACAATTGTCTCTCTCCCTGCAGGTGATCAAGAACCTCCTCTTCATTGGTAAGGTAATTTACCTCATATCTCCAGAATCTCATGTTGATTCTCAAGAACTGGAGGAAGAGGAGGACATGGAGAATGATAGAGATGATGAAGAGGAAGAAAAAGAAGAAGAAGAGAATGATGACAGGCCTCCTTCTCTTTTGTGGCTGATGAAGAAAATGTCTTTGATGGCAAAAAGAGAAGCAGCGTATACTCCTAAAGTTCCCCTGAAGGTACAACCATAACCAGGAACTACTTAACTTTTATTAAATTTTTTTTTGTGATTGGAGTTAAAAAAAAATTGAAATATTCAGTTAAAGGCACAGCCCTACTTTTTTTTTCTGTGCTTCCTCCCACAGAGAACGTGTGTGTTTAAGTTCCTGGGAGCGACAGCAGTAGATCTTGGGAGGGAACGGCTCGGCCCCTACCTTACCACCATCATCGCTCCTCTCTACAGAGAGCTGGACAGCACATACGCAGAGCAAGGTTCCTATCCGACTTGCATAAAACACAATAAAACACTCCTCTAGATGGATTCTAACTCCCTGTTTTCCTCCTAAATCCAGATCCAACCCTGAAGAACTTGGCACAGGAGCTGATCGAGCTGTTGAAGAAACAAGTGGGACTGGAGACCTTTTCGCTGGCATTCTCCAGGGTCCAGAAGGAGTTTTCACAGAGAAGAGCAGCACGCAAACGACACCGAGCCTTACAGGTGCATGACGACAAACAAAAAGTGTAAAAACTGAACCAGTTTTTGTGTTTTGTTGAAGACTGTTGTCTGTTCTTGTTCTTGCAGGCTGTGGCTAATCCAGACATTGCAGCCAAGAAGAAACTTAAGAAGCATAAGAATAAAATAGAAGCCAAAAAGAGGAAGATCGAGTTCCTGCGGCCCGGATATAAGGCTAAGAAGCACCGGAGCCACTCGCTCAAGGACTTGGCCATGGTGCAGTGACCCTGAGCAGCTGAAACAGGACATTGTCACAGTTTATTCTTTAGTGTATGAAAGTGAAACAAAACTATTATTCACTCAGAAAAAAAACATCTCTGAAAGAATAAAAATGTAATTTTTTAAAAATAAAATAAAGTCTAACAAGGCAGGGAGGCTGAGCTCAGTCATGTCTAATGTAAGTTTCCAACTTGTCATTTAGTCGTGTTACACTAAGATTTTTTTTCCCGCTAAAATCAACAGGAAGCTGGTTAATTTCTAACCATTTGTAGTTTGGAGGGATTTACTAAAGAAAATGTTAAATCCTAATCCAGAAGCAAGGACTGTAACATGACAGCGTATTGTGTCATCTGAAACCCCTTGGTTGCAGTAATGGATGCAGGTAGGAATTGAAGTTTGTTAAAGAGACGCTGTGCAAATCTTACATATTTTTAAATCATTTTCTTGAGCCAGTATGTGCTAAAATGACCTTTTACAGTGTTAATGAGAGTCTACTCGGCCCCTACCGCCCCCCTGTGGCCAGAACATTCCATTTGCAACTTCAGAGTTGCCGGTCCGGTCTGTTGAGCTTAGAAGCCACTAATTCCGCTTCAGTTAAGTTTTATGTGCAATTTAAGGTTTACAGCTGATGACGGATACATTGGAGTCCATTTTGCTAAAACATGGGCTTTTCAAAATAAGCTTATAGGATGAATTTAACTTTTAAGAGAAACCCTTAAAAATACACAATTTTAAAATGATCACTATCGTTGAAGTCTTTACTGAGAATCAATTTTACTGTACAAGCAGATATAAATATGCAGCCATAAAAGTTTAAGCATACACGTAGTGTTCAGTAACTCACCAATGTGCCAAAGCTGAACTCGAGTTCCGTTATGTGAAAAACAAACCCTTAAAGTATTGAATCAACACAAATGAATAGAAGGAAAAAGCAGAAATCCATGACCAGAACCGCCCAGGCTGCAGTAACACTTTAGACAAAATACCTGATTATAAACAAATTCCCAGAGATATGTAATCAATACTTAGGTTCCCATTTATAGATCTGTATGTAAACCTGGTAATTTTTTTTTAATAGATGGGTGTTTCTGGCAGATTATTAGATTATAATTGGTACAAATGCTTAGAAACAATACAGGAAACCCCTAAATTACTCCCTGTGATCAGAGTAAGGCCGGTTTTAATGTTCATGACCGCAATCTGAAGGGTTTGGTTTCAATCCAGATGTTACTGCAGCCTTCTCTTCTCAGTCCCAGGCTTCAAAGGTGTTAAGCACAGAAGGGTTTGACCAAGGCTGCAGGGGGAGACAGAAACAAGTAGGCGTGCAATCACTGGTCCAAAAGAAAGGAGGGGTGCATGAGGACTGGGTCGATCACAAGGCTTCATACAGCGGGGTCAGAGGTCAGGAGTATTTACAGAATGGGTAGCCTTTACTGTCGACTCTTCAGAGAATCCACCAACCTACAGAGACCAAAAACAGCAAAAAGAATTCAGTCTAAAAAATAAATAAGACGTTTTACTAGTTTTTCCTTCACATGAGCACACACACACACACTCAAAACATTAAATGAACTTGTGAAAAACTGCGTCTTACCACTCCATAGCCTCGTCCAGGCCTGTGCCCTTGGTGGCTGAGGTTTTAAAGATCTGCCATTTTCTGTCTTTGAGGGCAGGAAGTCCCAGTGCGTTGGCCACTTCAGTCGGTGTCATCGCCTGCTCCATGTCCTGCTTGTTGGCAAACACCACAAGGATGGCCTTCTTCAGCTCTTCCTCCTGTAGGCCATCACAAAAACCAGAAAATTACACAAGGAAAAGCTGGTGTTTTTCATCTCGTTTATACTGGCGTGAAGAAATGATGCTTGTACCTCCAACATGGCCACCAACTCAGACTTGGAGATGCCCATCCTGTCCCGGTCGCTGCTGTCGACGACGTAGATTACCGCGTCTGTGTTTGAGTAATAACACCGCCAGTAGGGCCTGAAAAGAGAAGAAAACACAGTTTCAGATTTTAACACCAAGTGACAATAAACGAGGACAGCAACAAAAACAGAAATGTTGAAAACTGAAGTTTGAAGCTGGGTTTTTGTAAGAAGCCTGAAGCTCTGCAACAGCTTTACTGTGTTAAAATGATACCCTGAAAACAGGCTAGGCCAATAAACATCTTAAAGGTATTCCTCAAGGTTCAGTCCTTGGAACACTGCTTGTCTTCTACATTAATGATTTGTCTAAAAAGCAATGCTCACTTGTATGCTGCCGATTTTCACTTATTATTCTGGTTCAACACAAAAGGAGACACTACCAAAACACTTTCAGATTAAAATTCACTGTGACCTAAAACTTGTCTTGAATGCATACAAAACAAACCAAATTGGTCTTTTTTTTAAGCCAAGAAAAGAAAAATTGCTGCAACTTTCATGTATGTTTTGGATATTGTTGTTTTAACTTCCTCCCAGTGTTTGAGCATGCTGGGCTCAGTCTATCATGGCACATTTATTACAAGGTTCTGGAACCAATTGCAGAATGAGGTGAAGCTTAGAGTTGATCATTCTAAGTGGTCCCTGGGTAACTAAAAGTTAATATTTTACATTTATGAATAAATAACCTTACCTAATACTCGTCTGTCCTCCCAGATCCCACACCTGAAACTTCAGGTTCTTGTATGTGACCGTCTCAACATTGAAACCGATGGCTGTGGAAAGAAAAAAACTAGATGGGTGCAGTGAAGGCAGAAAACCCAAACACAAGGTTAATGGAGAATAATCGAAGTTATTATATATACACTACCAGGGTTTCCCCCAGAAAAAGAGCTCATCAAAAAGAACAAAAGCTAAGTGATCACTTTTGAAAATATTTAATTTGATTGTTTTTATTCTGGAAGTAAAACTGCTGAAGATCTGTTATCATTAGCATGAATTAGTGCTTAGCAACACTGAGTTCAAGGACTAGGGAAAAAGGCCAAGGTATCATATTTCTGCTTGGTAACGATGCATCCACAGACAGAAACAATCTGATTTTGTGTTTCCTAGTAGTGAATGTTGGCCAGTGCTTGTCACTTGTAGACTTATAGTGGATCCATAGTATATCTACGGTATATACTACACTATATTTATAATGTAAAGCGCTTTGGAGTCCTGACTCTGAAAGGCACTATACAAACGAGTCATTATAATTCTAGTTGAAACAAAACCAGGTGGAGTCTCCAGACCATGAAATCTATCATCGTATTTTACATCTCCTCATATTCACAGATGAAAAACACAAATAATCTGTGTCAGACTTTAAAGCTAAACTTGACAGATTTAGTGCCCTTTGTGACCCCATTTCAAAACTTTCATTACTTTTTTTTGCTTATGTTTTCATAATTTAGAGTTTGATGGTATAAAAAGTTTTATTCTTAAAAATAAAAATGGAAAAGACTTATTTTGTGGGGGAAAATACTAAAAAATAGGTTTCATAAGGCTGGCTCTACACATTCAAATCACACGAGTCTCTTGCTGATGATTACTCAAGCCATCTTATCAGAAACAATGTGCCACATTTATCATTTTAATATCACACTAGTGTCCTGCAATATGCTTTGATACAAAACTGATAAGACAACAAAATATCTGGGACACCTCTAGTTTGTCCCCAATACTTTTCTATTTTATTAAGATGAATGTCCTCCAGTGTTGAAGGACTTGGACATCCTGCACTCGCACCACAGAAATACTTATTCACAAACACCTTTCATTCTGCACAAATAAATATCTAATTATCATAACTAATTAAGAAGAGTCCTGTAGCATTACATGGTGTTAGCAATTATAAATCAAGCACACTTTCAAATGTCTACAACAGGACATTTGTGTATTTATTGGTCATGAAAAAGCCATTTCTCACATTAGCTTTAATCAGAGACGTTTGATCTGAAAGTTTCCGTTTGATTATTTACACATTGGTCGATGTATGTACATCAAGTCCAGACCAAATTAACTGACGCAAACACTAAAAATACTATATTTTTTGTAATCTTTTCACATCCCAGGAAAGATGGAAACTTTTCTGGAGTAGGGCTGGGCGATGGCCTAAAATCAATATCACGATAAATTGAGGATTTCACCTTGATAACGATAAATGGACGAGAACTACAGGTATGCGCAGAAACAAAAGTTTTCCACTAGAGGGGGCTGCCACAAGTATTACATTGAGTCACATTTTTACGTGACACATGGTGGAACAGCTTGTTAAAGCGACATGAATGTTGCCAACCTACACATAATTCTTCCATTATTTTATTATCAAATTTACTGACATGGGAAAAATGATCTCAATAAGAGTCAGAAATTTCGATAATGATAAATTTTTTATTTATTGCCCAGCCCTACTCTGGTGTTGATCAAATTTTGACACATGACCAGCAGGACACTGTATACAGGTCAGATGAAATATAAACCGAATAAAAATAATTTCAATATTCTAGCGAGGGCGCCAGACCTTGCTCTATGTTACAGGTTTCCCTGACTGCTTCTGAAAGAGTTATTGTCAGTTTAAAAAAATAAGCCAAAACAAAAATTCTGCCTTATTTCTGTGTTATATCAAACTGTATCTTGGATCACTGGCATTAGGCAAGGCAGCTTTATTTATAGAGCACATTCCAAACACAAAGGCAATTGAAAGTGCTTTACAATTATCTTTAATTTTATATAATAATTAATTAAAACTCTGAAGTAACTTGCATCAAATATAAATATAAGAACTCATGCTCTGTAAAATCGTAATAAAAGTACATCCTTGTGGAAAATACCACAATAAAATTCAAGCATTTTTAAGGATTTAAAGCATTCATAAGATCTGGGTCTGAAGATGCTCTTTGGAAAATAATTATAATCTCACTGGTATTAGCTGGTTTTCTAGTGATTGAGTTTAATTTAAAAAAAAGAAACGAAGAGAAGGAAGACAAGCAGTACATACTAGGTATTGTGGTGACCACCTCTCCAACCTGCAGCCTGTACAAAATGGTAGTTTTTCCTGCACCGTCCAAACCCAGGATCAGAATCCTCATCTCTCTGGTACCAAACAAGCCAGAGAACAGACTAGAGAAGAAACCCCCTGCAGAGGAAACACGCAAAACCAGAATTAAAGTGAATAGATTTCTAAACTTGGCTTTATGGGGCTGACCCATTCCCTTAATATCTCAGTAGATAATGACACAAAGCAACGTGGATCTTACTCAATGAATACAGAAAATGTGGAAAAATATAAGTCTCAGATTTGAGAATACTTAAAATACCTAAAGAGATTCTTGAAGGAAACCAAGTGTAAACTAACGGCTATACCACTAGAAACCCTTAAAATACCTACTAAGTGGTCTTGTTTTGGCACATTTTACAACAATCTGTGGCTGAGCAAGCTAGCGGATATTAGCTTGCCTGTTTAAAGTTATCACGTTTTCTAACCAATAAAGTTAAACATCATTGCATATGGAATGGCATTGGTGGTAAGCAATATATTCAAGCTCCCCGCATAAAAACCTAATGAAAACGATTAATTTTGAAAGGACAACGCACGTCAAAATTCACTGTAGATGTTAGCCAGCTTAGGCTAACTGGCGTCTCCTATTGCGTTAAAGGGCTGGGGCAGGGATGAAAATTCGATTTATCACTTCTTACAAGAGTAGTTTGCATAAAACAAGTGAAACGTATTCACATTATGTTCTAGGAGTATATAAAACTCACCCATTTTCGTCAAAAGCGCGGACCCGATGAACTGACAGGTTAGTTCCGTCTGGTTGACGTGTCATTGCAGGAAGTGATCAACGTTCGCTTGAGTTCACTTTCGCACATTCGTCACACAAACAACGTCACCATCTGTAAATCAACACAACAACTACATATTTAACAAACGTAAAATATATTCTTGAAATAAAATATAAAAACGTTATCTTTCAGAACATTGAAGTTTCAAGTGTTTGTGTGCACCTCGTAAAAAATATTAATATATTTTAATAGAAAGTGCGGCTCGTCAAAATCTTCACAAGCCAAGGGACGCTCGGGGATGGGGTACGTTCAAGAAACGCGATTGAATTTGCGCTTCGAAACATCCAATGGTTGTTTTTCTTAGCATGTGCGACAATAAATGTATGGTTTTGAACGCAACTTCAGCCAAAAGGAGTTGCCCTTTCTGAGCAGCATCAAATTTATGATCTCCAGTTATTAGAAAGAATTTGCAACACTTCATGCGAATTCAGAGCAAAATGTAGCCATTGTGAACAGTTAGAAATAACTTTGATATGTATGAAATGCAGTGAGATTTAATTATCCGCGGGTGGACTCGGTGGCTGTCGCCTGAGACATCGTTTACCATAGGCGGTGAGAGACCGACAAGGCGGCACCACCGAACAGTATGGTGGAGCGGTCGGACCGAGCCCCCCTGCTGGACTGGGAGGAGGTGCCGACAGCGGAGAAAACCGACGGAAAGGCACCTGCGGTCCCTCACGTTAAGGAGCGGCTGTCCAGCCCGCCCAACAACCGAGCCCCTTCAGGATGCTCTGGGTTTGGGTGGAGCAGCGGACCAGGGGGTCCCACCAGGACTGTGTCCAACGGAGACGGCTGCGGTGCCCCACCCGCGACCTCCGGCGCTCCGGCGGCGGTGGATGAAGCGCAGCCTCCCGACAAGGACGCGCATCTGTCGGATCCAGGAGCCATAGAGGTGTCTCTGGAAGACAGGATGGTGAAGTGGGAGGAAAAGGACCAGATTGTGTCAGTCTTTGTAGTTACATTTAATACCAGAACAGGTGAGACACACTGTGTTTTATGACATTATTATAAATATAAAAATTAAGTGATGATTTTATATGTGACAGACAAAGAAAACAGGAGAAGTCTCTGCATACGTCTCTTACAGGTGTGGCTTTTTCCTGATCTGACCACAAGTTTAGACATCACTAAAAGTCATGACATCTTAGCCTGATTGCAGAGGAAATGCCAGGAGTGGTGATGAAAGTCAACCAGCTGATGGCTTCAGCAAAGTTGACCTTATGCGTTCTTATTTAAGGACGTTTAAAACCCTCTATACCTTTTGAATCAGGGGTAATAATTACACGGGTTGGTCAAATTAAGAGTGATGGGATTCAAGGTGGAGAAAGGCTGATCTAAATGAAAGGCAGGAGAGTCCCTGCAGGGTGGAGCTGGGCTCTTTATGGTTTTGCGGCAAGCTAGGTTGACATAACGGAGAACAGAACGGATGTGATTGATGTTTTCAATCCTTGTTCAGTAAAAAATAAATAAATAAAAGGACCACGTGTAATTTCTGTCTGTTATGAGAGAAATGGGGAACCACAAATAAAGTCGATCAATAAATGGCTTGGATTCTGTTACTCCCAACCCACAATAGATGTTCCCTGCCCACCGCTGGCCAGTCCCTTTCAGTTGATCATGATTTCTTTTATCTAAAGCAACTTCCTTTTTTCAGCAGTCAGCTTATCTGAACAAGGAGAATTGGTAAAAAAAAATAAATAAATAAAATAAAACACGATGCATGTAAAATAGGCCACCGGGCATGGAAATCAAGCAGAAAAAATGTATGAAACTTGTTTAAAAAATACCAAACTTACAAATGTACCACATATAATCATCCACTCATTGGGACGGTTATGAGAATTAAAGGATCAGCAATTATTACATGGATGTGTTCAGCATAAAAGTAAAAGAGCAACTCAAACCAGAATAGCAGAACGCAGAATTTGGATTAAACTCAGCATCGGCAGATCCCCACCGCGCAGCTCATTTCAGGGAGGCCAATAATCCAGTTCTCTCTCTGAGACATGTTGGTATTGAACCCATTCTCTGTGAAGAGAGGGAGAAATCGATAAGTTGTTGCTTAAAATAGAAGATTTCTACATCTTTTATCTACAAACACTCAGTCCAGAGGGTCCTAATAAAAGTTGAGATCAGCCACAGGGTGTTTTAGGCTTGTTGAGTTCCTGAATTGAATTCTGCTTTTTGTACCAAGTAAAACAGAAAATTTGGATCATTTGTCTATCAATAAACCCTTTCCACAGCTGGATTCCGTAAAAGTAAAATTCGACCAGTAAGCTTAATGTTTAATTTATCAGCGATAAAATGTAGTGTTTGATTTTGCCTCACCAGATGCATGAGAGATTTTACTGGGCGTGTTTCTTTTTATTAAAATGTTCTAGATGGGATTAGATATTTTTAAATAGAAAAAAACCAACGTTAAGGCCATAGTCACTTTAACGAGCGATGTTTCCTACAACAAAGCGCTCTAAGACCAGACAGAAAGCTGTTAAAACACTCAGCACTCATAAATCACTGTAATTGTATGGCAATTACTCTCCCCAGAGCATTAGATACAACAGGGAAATTGTTGCTCAATATAAGGGTTTCAAATGAGCCACTAGAAATGATAAAGTCACTGCTGATGATGGACAATGCTTGCTTAGTGGTAACAGTCCTAGAATGCATCTTGTTTCAACAAGTCATTATGTGGATCTATATCTAACCCCTGCAGCAACAAGAGTTACACCTCACATCAGAATCAGAAGGGTTTTAATTCAAATTAAAATTCAAAGATATAATCCCAGAGGGAAATTAGATAATTGCTGCCATATGTGTAGGAATCACAACATTAGGAAATTGCCGTGGATCATCCCAATAAAAGAAAACTGTTATTATGACAGCATGGGTCGTATTTTACTCGGCAGTGACCTTTTTAAATAGCCTGTCCACACAGAAACAGACTTTAGAGGCTGTAAGTGAAGAGATGGGATCAATATCAGCTGTCAAAGTGGCGTTAAAGCACAGCTCTGCTGCTTCGGCTTATTGACAGATCAGCTCATATTTCTGCTGAAACCCCTGCATCGTGTGATAAGATAGAACACCAAACCTGCTGAGTCACATTCTGTGTTTGTTTGCACCTGTTGCGTTGTGTTTGCACAGCTTGCAGCTCTAGTGTCAGCATTCAAGAGACGTGACAATTTCCAAGGAGTCCTCTGTCACTGTTGCTTTAGGAATATGAAATGAAGTAATGCATCTTTATTGTTGTTTGTGGGATAGGCAACATGCTGGAGTGGTGTCTGCCCAAAGACATAGATCTAGAAGGAGTTGAGTTCAAGGCCATCGCCAGCGGATCCCACCGAGTAACTACAGACTTCATGTGAGTACTTGTTTGCAGTACGTTTATACTTTATACCTAGTAAGGTGCAACTATAAACAAAGGGAGCTGTTTTCAGGGATTAGGATGCAGCCTCATCTCTCTGTCCTGGCAAAAAAAAAAAAACAGATACCGCCATCTGGCAGTGCCTTTTGCTTTTCATGACTCACAGCCTCTTCTGTTTTCCTCTCTCTTCCACTTTCCACAGCTATTTCCGGAAGGGCAGCTACTTTGGCCTTGCCTGCTTTGCCAACATGGCGGTGGAGAGTATGGAGGAGAGGGGGGCGAGGATGAAGTCAGTGGGGATCCTGTCTCCTTCCTACACCCTGCTCTACCGCTACATGAGCTTCCTGGAGCACCAAGTCAGGTAGGAGGACCACAAACAGCAACCTCAGGATTTATTACTGATGGACCAACAACTCCACCACAGGGACTTTCCTCTTTTCTTCTAAGATCATAGATGTTTAAATTACAACATTTCTTTACATTTTAAATAAGTCTGCAGGTATTTGATATTTTAGTAATCATATATTCTAATAATCCATCAAGTACTTGGGTGTATGTCTGCTACTCTGTTCCCAAACTGTACCTGTCAAGAGCTGCACTATCCGCTCTCTGCCTTCAGATCTGATATTATGTGGGATCACTGCTAAAGATTCATCTTCTGCAACAGTTTCTTCTTGTGTAAGACTGCAGGGAGCTGGCATCTGTCTAGCAGTTACTAGGAGGCAGGGAACAGGGACAAACACACACACACACACACACACACACACACACACACACACACACACACACACACACACACACACTTGAGAAAGAAAGATACAGACACACACTCATCTAGTGACAACTTAAGAGTTGCCAACTACCCAAACGTGCATGTTTTTGGTCTGTGAGAGGAGACCAGAGTACCTGGAATAAACCCACGCATGCATGGGGAGAACATGCAGAAAGGCTGCAGCCTTCTTGCTGTGAGGCAACAGTGCCACCAGCTGCGTCAGAAGTCACCTAAATAACAATTCTGTTGTTAATATTAAACTTATTTATTCCCTGAAAAGGTAAATTTTCTACATCCATCCATTTTCTATACCCGCTTGTCCACACAGGGTCACGGGGGCTGGTGTCTATCTCCAACAACCTCCAAGCAAGCAGGTGGGGTACACCCTGGACAGGTTGCCAGTCCATCACAGGGCAACACAGAGACACACAGGATGAACAAGCAAGCACACACACCTAGGGATAATTTAGACGGACCAATCAACCTGACAGTCCTATTTCTGAACTGTGGGAGGCAGCCGGAGCACCAGGAAGAAACCAAATGTGTACAGGAGGAACATGCAAACTCCATGCAGAAAGACCCCAGTGAACCCAGGACCTTCTTGCTGCAGGGCAACAGCACTAGCCACTGCACCACTGTGCAGCCCCATTCATTTTTCTCCCTTTTGCATTATGATGCCATTCTAGTATCTGCCCTTTAAGGATTCTCAGCCCTGTGAGCAGCTGACAGAACAACAGGGTGGCTCCAGTGTGAAAATATTTTAGAACGTCTTTACCTTATTAATCGATTTCTGTCTCAACAAGGATTCACAATTCTCTCAGATTTACCGTCCATGTGCTACATCGGTAAATTCACTGGTTCAGATGAATGTGTTTCTCAACCTCAGAGTTTTTGGTAGTGATGGTTCAGAGTCTGTTATCACAGATAGATGGGATAACTGAGAATGTGCAATCTGAGAATGGTCCAAATGAATTGAATGAATAATTACAGGTGCTGGCCAGTAAATTAGAATATCATCAAAAGGTTGAAAATATTTCAGTAATTCCATTCAAAACGTGAAACTTGTACATTATATTCATGCAATGCACACAGACCAATGTATTTCCAATGTTCATTACATTTAAATTTGATATTCATAAGTGACAACTAATGAAAACTCCAAATTTGGTATCTCAAAAAATTAGAATATTCTGAAAAGGCTGAATATAGAAGACACCTGCTGCCACTCTAATCAGCTGATTTACTCAAAACACCTGCAAAGGCCTTTAAAAGGTCCCTTAGTCTTGTTTTGAAGGCACCACAATCATGGGGAAGACTTCTGACTTAACAGCTGTCCAAAAGACAATCATTGACACCTTGCACAAGGAGGGCAAGACACAAAAGGTGATTGCTAAAGAAGCTGGCTGTTCGCAGAGCTCTGTGTCCAAGCACATTAACAGACAGGCGAAGGGACGGAAAAAATGTGGTAGAAAAAAGTGTACAAGCTCTAGGGATAACCGCACCCTGCAGAGAATTGTGACGACAAACCCATTCAAAAATGTGGGGGAGATCCACAAAGAGTGGACTGCAGCTGGAGTCAGCGCTTCAAGAACCACCACGAGGAGACTCATGAAAGACATGGGATTCAGGTGTCGCATTCCGTGTGTCAAGCCACTCTTGAACAAGAAACAGCGCAAGAAGCGTCTCGCCTGGGCCAAGGACAAAAAGGACTGGACTGATGCTGAGTGGTCCAAAGTTATGTTTTCTGATGAAAGCAAGTTCTGCATTTCCTTTGGAAATCAAGGACCCAGAGTCTGGAGGAAGAGCGGAGAAGCACAGAATCCACGTTGTATGAGGTCCAGTGTAAAGTTTCCACCGTCAGTGATGGTGTGGGGTGCCATGTCATCTGCCGGTGTTGGCCCACTCTGTTTCCTGAGGTCCAGGGTCAATGCAGCCGTCTACCAGGAAGTTTTAGAGCACTTCATGCTTCCTGCTGCTGACCAACTTTATGGGGATGCAGACTTCACCTTTCAACAGGACTTGGCACCTGCACACAGTGCCAAAACCACCAGCACCTGGTTCAAGGACCATGGTATCCCTGTCCTTGATTGGCCAGCAAACTCGCCTGACCTTAACCCCATAGAAAATCTATGGGGTATTGTGAAGCGGAGGATGCAATACGCTAGACCCAACAATGCAGAGGAGCTGAAGACGACTATCAGAGCAACCTGGGCTCTCATAACACCTGAGCAGTGCCACAGACTGATCGAGTCCATGCCACGCCGCATTACTGCAGTTATTGAGGCAAAAGGAGCCCCGACTAAGTATTGAGTGCTATACATGCACATTCTTTTCATGTTCATTCTTTTCAGTTGGCCAACATTAGAGAAACAAACATTTTTTCATTGGCCTTTAGAATATTCTAATTTTCTGAGATACCAGATTTGATGTTTTCATTGGTTGTCACCTATAAATATCAAAATTAAACGTAATAAACATCGGAAATACATTGGTCTGTGTGCATTGCATGAATATAATGTACAAGTTTCACGTTTTGAATGGAATTACTGAAATATTTTCAACCTTTTGATGATATTCTAATTTACTGGCCAGCACCTGTAGATGCAGTCCTTATGGCGTTTAGAGAGATAAACACAAACACAATCAAACTGAAGGATATAAAGAAAAGAGGTGTACACTGAGTCCACTTGAAAAGGTAAAATTCAAGTGAATAAAGGGTGAAATTATAAAACTAGGCCATTCTCAAACACACACACACACACACACACACACACACACACACACACACACACACATGGTGCAACTTTGTCTTGTCTAAGGACACTTTTGAGGAGTTGGGAACCTTCTTACTGTCAGATCTAGATTACCGGACAACCCTGCTACCTCCTGATTTACTGCTGCCTAATTTAATTGTAGCATTTCAATGGTTTTGTTCCATTTAAAAGAAACCATTCACAATTACTTAACCTATAATAGTCTGAACTGTTAATACAAGAGGGATCAGCTGATTTCATGCTGAGTAGCAACAAGAACAGAACTCTTGACTGATGTCCTCACACTCACTATACTTACAGGGAACACCTTAAGTACACAGTCACACCTGGTAGCTGCCCTCTTCAGGTCAGTGTGGGAACCAAGCAGCAGCTGGGCAGAAAAACACCAGGGGGCGCTAAATTGGAGCAGCTGGAATATGGTTACACATCCTCAGCTCAAACAAGAGTTTTATCAACTTTATGTTATTTTCTTAGAGTTCTGATATTTGATCTGGGAAAATAAATAAGACAACTGCAACACCTTCACTTTCCAAGGCTGTACCTAAGTGCTTTGAGACAAAATTTCATTCAGAATAGCTAAACCCTCAGACTCCTAGTCATCGTAACTCCGCTCACTGTTGTGTGCTGGCATCTGTACGTTCTTCTCCCAACACAAATCGTGTTTCACTTGCATCACACTTTCTCCCCAGTGGCTCTTTGAACACATAACTCCGTTACAGTGAGCAGGTGTTCTTGTTTGTGTGGGATGGCAAAGACTTTCTTTTTTCCATCACAAAAAGTTGAACGAATTTGTTCAGGGAAAGTTTTCAGAGTTTATATAAAGCGAGCTGCAAGTCTTAATGGACAAAGTCAACAAGATAAGTACAAGAACTCCCAGATTTGGATCTTCTTATTTTCACATCATTAATAAAAATCAAGTACTTGACTGTGGTTCCAGTCTACTGGGTGCTCTCTCACACCATGAAAAAGAGAAGCTAAACTCTAAATTGCGCTCATAAAAGTCGCCGATCCTTTGGTGAATCAAGGCCTCTTGTGTTTCTCACAGTCTGAGACAATACTATGAATCTTTACAGAATGGCAACACATTTCACGTGCAGAACAGAGGCGATTTCAAAAGAACCCTAAGAAAAATATGAAGAATTGAAGAAAAACATAAATCAGTTTTTCACACTGAAAACAAATTGAGAGTCCTTTGGATCAAATAAATAACATGCAAGTAGCTGGAAAGGTGGGGATTTTTCATTTTGTCCCACATTGTCCCACACAAATACACACTTTGTCCCACAGTTGCTGAATGGTTGGGATCTCTCTCCATTCACCCAGTCTCCCTCCCCCTTCCTCCTCCTCCCCCGTTCCCACACTTCATCCTCCAGTCATGCTCGTCATTCCCAACTCGCTCCAGATTCCCCATCTGCTGTCATTCCTCACATAAAGAACACTCTGTTTGTCCCAAGGTGATTAAAATATTTAGGAGTTTCTTCATTTCCTCTGCTGCTCGTCTTCCTCATTTTGAGTCCGTTATTTGTTTTCCTCTCAGAACTTGCAGCTTGCGCCAATCATTTATTTTTCAGGAAATGCTTATTATAAAACATGAGAAATAAATGGAAATGTTTCTCAACAGTGAATAATTGACAGTCCAAAAACCTCTAAACACTTTCAGAAACAAATCAAGTAATTGTGTGTATTGTAGGGATGGACAATGTATCGGCATCAATATCGGTATCGGTCGATGTTAGTCATTTTTTAACATATTGGTATCAGTTTGATAAAAAAAAACGTGCCGATATTAGCAACCAATATTTTTTCCATCTCGTCTCCATTTGTTTGCCTGTTTCAGAGGGTGAGGGGGTGTAATTGTTTAGTCGTGTGACAGTGAATGAAATCATCTCAGAAGCGTAAATGTGTGTGCTGTGCCTACATAATAACGTAAATTTAGCTTTAAAAATTTTTATTCTATACAAAATCTGCTGATTTTAGAAGCACTAATGCCATATATCGTATGCCCCGTATATCGGTATTGGCAAATATCGGTTATTGGCCATAACAGTGATATTAATATTGGATATTGGTATTGGCCCAAAAATCTCATTTAGGTGCGTCACTAAGTGTATTATTTAGAAAAAAGCTGCTGAACTCTGAGAAATTTGGTAAAAATAATTCTATTATTGTTCTGAGGCTTAAGCATCAGTTTTGAAATATTTGGGACAGCTTTAGCTCAGGAGGTAGAGCAGGTTGTCCAGTAATCAGAGGGTTGTAGCTTTGATCCCGGCTCCCGCCAGAGAATGCTGCTGTTGTGTCCTTGGGCAAAACACTCCTGCCTTGCCTGCTGGTGGTGGTCAGAGGGGCCGGTGGTGCCTGTGTACAGCAGACTCTCCTCTGTCAGTGCACCCCAGGGCAGCTGTGGCTACAATGTAGCTCATCACCACCAGGGTGTGAATGTGTGTGAATGGGTGATTGACTGTGTTGTAAAGTGCCTTGGGGGGTTCCAGGACTGTAGAACGTCAAGTACAGGTCATTTGCCATTCATGGACTACCCGTCTTGACTTGTGACGGGGAAGGCTGTTGTTGGTTTAGTGTCCAACAAACAACAGAACATCTTGGCTAGTTGAAGCTGTTAGCATTAGCAACTCCACCACGCAGTAGGACTCCTCCAGGACCGGTGGTGCCTGTGTTCTGCAGGCCTCGCCTCTGTCAGTGCGCCCCAGGGCAGCTGTTGCTACATCACAGCTCATCCCCACCAGTGTGTGAATGTGTGTGTGTGTGTGTGTGTGTGAAGCACTTTGGGGTGTTGCAGAACCCTAAGAGGCCTAAGGCGCTAAACTAATAAAGACCATCAATTAATAATTATATTCATAGAAAATGATTTAAAAGTAAATACAATACCTTTTTTTAATAAGGGTTAACATTTTTCTGGTTTTAGTGTCTAACACTGTAGACTTGCTGCTTTTTTAACATTTCAATTTAGAAATTAAAAACATATTAAAGTCATGTAGTTCCCCTTTTTAAAAAACACTGACTTTAACAAAACTTTTCTTTAAATTTAAACGCTTTTTAGAATGCATTACGAGTGTTTCGTGGGTGAATCTAAACAAAAACATGGATCAAATTACTTTCTAATGTAATAAGGTGTGGGTAAAATAGACTTTTTAACTTAAAAGCTGCAATTCTGAAAGTCTTCATCTGATCAAAACAATTCAGAACAATTTATTGAGTTTTAACCCTTTATCTTCCAGTTTTTATTCTTTGACACGTTTGTAAAAGTGGAAAACAGCGATTCAAGTCTATTAATTTCTATATTTCTGATACCCTTTCTTCTCCTTTAGGCTCCAGCTCAAGTCCCCTGGACACTACTCCCCCTTGGAGGCCTTCTATGAGGACAAAAGGGCATTGCTGCCCCCTAGTGGAGAGGCAGTTGTCTGTGCATTACCAACCAGCACATGGGGGGCTGCTATCAACCACAGCATGCACCCAGAGATGAAGGTTAAACCAGTCTTTTCTAAGTTTATTATGTCTGGTGTCCTTTTTTGTGGAGTGAAGACTCAGATGAGTCATCTTCAGTAAAATGATGAATGTGTTTGTATTGAAATGTCTTTGGAGCAGATCACTCATCCTGCAGGCTGCATGTCCCAGTTCATTCGCTTCTTTGGGGAACAGATCATGGTTCTCTGGAAATTGGCACTCCTCCGCAGACGCATCCTCATCTTCTCTCCTCCACCCGTGGGTGTGGTCTGCTACAGAGGTGCAAAAACGTCACATTCACCCAACATGCCTGCAAGGGCATCTGTACTAGCACTGGACAACTCCTGCTTCCCCTCACGCTTGCTGATTTTTTTCCTGATTTCTTCCATAGTGTATTGCTGCTGTTGCCTTGCCAACATCTCCATCCCCGGAGTCGGCGTTGCTGTGCCCGAGTTTCGGCCATTCTTTTACGTTAACGTTGCCGATATCAGTGCTCTGGAGAATGAGCTGTCCTACGTAGCATGTGAGATGTAAAACATTTAACCCACCAAACTAAATGAGATGTTTTTACTGAACATCTGGAAAGCTGGTGATGCTCACGGGCATCCAGGTTGTGGTCATCTTAGTAGTTTAAAATGAAGACAAGTAGACCTCTGAAGTTAATCACATCGCAGTGTACAGATATTTTGTTACTTATTGAACCCTAGTAATTTTGCTTTTTAGATTTGATGAATCAACAAAAATACCGAACTTGATTCACTTTGTCATTCTGGGATAGAATTTTAGGAAAAACTAAGAACAAGGCTGTAACAACACAAGGAAAAGCTGGGAATAATGAATGAATGGATCGTACAGGTTTGAGTAGCGTCTGTCATTTTTTGCGTTTAGGTACTACTGAGAAGATCTTTGAGGAGAAGAAAGACCTTTATGACGTTTATGTAGATAATCAGAATGTGAAGACTCACAGAGACGGTCTGAAGCCTCTGCTGCGCCTCAGCGCCGCAGACAGAGAGAAGTACCGTAAGCTCACCGAGCAGAGGTAGGCAGCATGACCAGCAGGGTTGGAATTACTGCTTTGGTTTAATAACAGCTCGTCACAGAGACTGTTCTTCATTTATTTACTGGCATCTACTAACGTTAATGCCATCGATGAGTTTGACAAAGATAAACGTGTGACAAAATGACTGTTTTGGTGTAGGCAAATGCTGCTGTACTCCCAGGAGGAGAATGGAGACTGTGTGTCCAGTGAAGAGGATCTCTTTATTTTGTAAGTAGAGAAATATTTCATCTGTCTGTGACAAATATTTTAATATCAGTTTTTATTAAAATCCATTTAAAATGGGTTTTAAAAGTGAACAGTTGGTACATTTTATTTTTAAAGGTTTTTCCTGGAGCAGAACAACAGGATTTTCCAAACTCTGAGTGAAGTGGCCGGGAGCTCGGACCCCACCATCACCCAGGAGAGTGTGAGGGCCATGGGCTTGGATCCACATGGAGACAGGCTCTTCCTGCTCCACCTGCTGGAAATCTACGGCTACGACAGCCTGCTGGTCTCAGAGCAATTGTGCTGCAGCTGAGGGATGGTTGCTGATTTCAAAAAGGGGTTCTTCATGTCACAGTCTGAACCTGTGGACACTTTCCTGGATTAATGTTTAGTTCTCCGTGCTTGTTTTACCCACTAAATCACAGCCAAGTTCTACTTGATTTGGATTCCTTAGATCAGGTTGTGATCTATTGTGGTGTTTCTACACTGAGCCAGTATCTTGGACAGCTTCTAACATCTGACTGATAAGAGGAAAGAAACAACCAAGTCAACCAAATTGCACAAAAATATGGAGCCGAGGATAAATCCAAGGACTTTTTCAGAGAAGAGAGGTGTGCTTCCTGTGAATAACACAGACGTGTGTGTGTGTGTGTGTGTGTGTGTGTGTGTGTGATGGGGTCTTAATGTCTCCCTGTGCTGGATTGATCTAGTGTTTCAGCCTCTAGGACAAAATCAGGGCCTCGTTATTTTCACTGCCTTTCAGAATATTGTCTGTAACATCACATTTTAGATGGCATCACTTTATGAATGTTCTGACCAATTCATGTTCATGGTAGCTTATTCGCATCATTAGACAGTAGAAACATGCTTTAAGTAGCATTGAACCACACCTTTCTTACCATATCTTAGAAACAGAATACAAACTCTGTGCTTTTAGTGAAATCATGCAGCAAACATGACAGGATATCAGCTTCTCTTCACCTAAAACTGTTTATTTTTTTGTATTTTATTTATTACGCAGCAAAACACTACTTGTAGGCATGGGCCAGTCACAGGCTTAAAGGTGCATTACGTTTTAAAAAGGCTAGATAATAGGTATTTCAGTTATTCTCTTCCTGTTTCAAAACTTTCTAACAGGGCAGCACAAGATGCCAACAGGTTCCTCCAGAAAATTCCCTCTAATCTAAAAAGCAAAGTCAGTGGTTTGGGTTAATTCTTTTAGACAAAGGAAACCTATGTTCATTAGAGAAATATGGTGCAGTAGCTTCTTAAGGCTAGTGAAACTTCAGGAGAACCACTTGTCTCTACACCAAGCTATGCCAAGTTGAAATTTGTGGAAACACGAGCAGCTAAGAGAATTAGCAGACATCTTCCAGACAGAGAATGAAGGCAGGCCAATAAAAGTTATGCTAGGCTTAGGAGTCTAATTCAGTCGCTGATGTCAAAATAAGTACTAGAGTGTCAAGCAGCAACAGACAATTTTCTGCTAAATTAATCCATGAGGAATAAAACAGGTTACCTTGTAAAGTTTCTAATGATCTTGTTTACAAATGTTCAAAATGAAAAATTTTAAACCATCAGCGGTGTTTTATCTGACATACAGAGAACAAGCGTAAATGAGGCTGTTCCAGTAAACACCTTGTGTTTATGCCATATTGAAATTAGTAAAATAGAATTATCTTTTTACAACTCAACTTCAATCAAATTTATCTTGCAAGTAAATACATTTAAAAAAATTATTTATATATTTATATTCATTGAAACAAGCATTCACTTTGAAACTACTCACTAAAATTTGTTTAGGCTCCAATTAAATACTTTAAATTTACATTTAACTTTAAATTGCATTTATTACATTTCAAATAAATTTATTTTTGTGCTGGCATTTCAAAATAAAATACAATATTTTACTTTTCCATGGCGTTCAAATCACACTGGCCCATGCCTGGTTAAGTCTGTAATATCAGCTTGTTGCATTTCCCTGTAAAGAGAGCAGCTGAGGATCTCCAAAAGCTTTTATGTCTCACCGAAACTTAAAGCTAAATGTTTTACATCTTCACACAACAGCTTGTACAGAACTGAAGCCAACGTGTTTGTAGTTTAAGGGATTGTCCGACACATGTTAAAACACCTTCACTTTATTTATTTTTACTGTAAACCATTTCAGAAATAAAGTGTACAAGCACTTCAAAATGAAACACACCCCTCATCCTCTCATTCCAAATATTCTCTTATCTGTTCCCGTATCATCAATCCAAACGGCCTCAAACGTCGATCACAGATTTCTCATCACTGAAAGCTTGAGGACAGTCAGCCAGCTCTGCTTAAGGTCAGAATCCTCGCAGGACAAAATATGGCAGGTTCTGGACTCTTTGAGACAGAAGCAGTGCTGACCCTGCAGGAGATCCTCGATGACACAGCCAAGGAGCGGCACGGAAACCAACGGCTTCTCATCCTGGAAATGTGACAGAGGGTAAAGGTCAAGAGACACCCCTCTAGGACCCTCGTTTAGCAACCGTACATACGCACAGATCTGTGGCAATGTCATGCGTAGGGACCAATTTATCGTGCAGTATTCATTTTGTACTTGTGCGTGGAAATGTTCCCGATTATAAAAAAAAAAAACCTCAGACCATACGAACAACATCTAGTGGTAGGCCACATGAGAACTGAAGTATCGAAGGTCTCAGTTGTCCACACATGTTCCCCATCCACAAATATTTTACCCAATATGTCGGTGAAAAAACAGCTTTTTCGCATTATTGATGCTAAAACTAATAAAAGACACACGTGACCAACATTGTAGCATGGCTGATGTTATTGGAGGATTTGGCAGAGCATGCACTCTGGAACATTCAGTCTGTTCTACATTTTTTAAATTAGGTTTCAAGTCGAATAATTTTTCTTTATTTCTGATAGACCTCTTTTCTGTCCTGACTGCCTTTACATGTTTGCTTTTCTTCTACTTCAGCAGCCAGTGCCTCAATCTTGCTGTCACTGTGGTTTTTATTTTTCCCCGTGAAGAACGCAGAGGTTCCCCACAAGCTGAAGATGTAGTGTGAACAAATATCGAGGGCGTTTCTGTATGTAAATGATGGCTAACAGACATGAGAACCTGGGTACACACAGGTGCGATTTATCATCAGTCCATTGCAGAGGAACATGCGTACAAACATCCTAAGTTTCGTTCATTGGAAGGAATATAGTAATATTTCTACCAACGTTTGATGAATGAGGCCCTGGAGTTTTAAAGCGGGTGTTTGCTGGAAAGGTTGAAAGTCATTCTAGCCTCAGCTGCACAACATGCTGCCCTCATACCCAAGAGACATTCATCTAAAGATAAAACTATTCAGATTTATTATGAGCCAGCTTACAACAAAAGTTGTGTGAAAGTGCTGTACTAACAACGTCAGCATGTAACACTAAAGAATACTAAAAAAAAAATCCGACAGGTTTACCTGTGGAGTCGTGTAGAGCTGTAGGACTGGAGGATCGGTTCCTGGTAGGATGCACCACACTTGCTGCCAAATCATGGAGTTGTCACCATACTGAAGGTAACTGCTCATTATGATGTCCTGAGGGCCTGCATGTGTGTCAGACTGTGATAAGACCCCAAAACAAACCAGGATCAGGATTTTGCCAGCATGGTGGGTTAAGGCCCAATCTCAATACTCGCACTCCGCCCTGTGGTCTTCAGCAAAGTGCACTTTGAGAAAGTGCGCAGTAGGGTTGGAGTGCGTAGAACACAAGTGTGCAAATAATTACCGAATTGAGACGGAGCGATCGATTGCAACGCATGCCAGGATGCTGGTCGCCGTGAAACTTTTTTCTAAAACCTTTAACAACTTTCAAACAATAAAGCAATTATTTGAAATACATTTTACTTCATTGCTGCTTTGTCTAAAACATTCAGAGCATCAAATAATTGTCCTAAAATGAACTAATTTAATTAGAAAATACATATTTTCAGAAAAGGAACTTCAGCCATTTCTCCTGCAGCAATGACTTGTGGGTAATACCCTTATCTGCGGTCCGCATCGCTGTGGACTAGGGTGAAGTGCTGATTAAGAGTGCAATGGGGGGCACTTGAGAATCGGGACACCCTACGCACTCACGCCCCTGGCCAGGAATGCACAATTGAAGGGCACAAGTGTGCAAGTGCGAGTGTTGAGATTGGGCCCAAGTGTCTTGCCCAAAGACACAATGGCAGTGACCGACTGAGCAAGATTCAAGCATGCAATCTTCCGATTATAGGGCAGATACTCAAATCCTCTGCCATTGTCACTCATGTACATCTATAACAAATTAAGTTTTTGAGTCAACCCAATTCAAGACAACCCTGAGTTAATAGATCCTAAACACAAGAATGGCTTCATCTTGGTCCATTTTACAGATATGAACCTAGAATCTCACTCGGTAGTAGCCAACAGTGCCAAGAAATATTGTAATACTGAGTGAAATTTAATAATGTCCAAGATTTAACCAAAATGACTGTAGCTATTATTACTCATAAGGTGATCTGCAATTCTTTCAATGGATGCAAGGCTTCTAGAAGAATTTAAAGACCAAGTTCACTCATTTTTCCAACACATTTGCAGTGACCTGTAATATAATGATAAATGACCCGCACTTGTATAGCGCCTCTCAGAGTAAGGACTCCAAAGCGCTTTACACTACAGTGTATCATTCATCCATTCACACATTCACACACTGGTGGGGATCAATCAATCAAATTTTATTTCTAAAGCACTTTTCAAACAAAGTGTTATTCAAAGTGCTTTACAAAATGACCCCAGATTCCCATAACAGGTTAAAAACATTAACAAACATATGCAATCAGACGCACACACACACAGACTCACACACACACACACACACACACACACACACACACACACACACACACGAGTAAAAATTATATTAGGCTGAGTCCAGATGAGCCAAGTATGGTAACGCAAGGAAACGCCATCAGAGGAGCCGTCTGTCCCGGCAGCATCAGGTCTTCCACACTAAGTCAGGGCGCTCAGTGGAGGGGGAGCATAGACCCCCACCTATAGAGCGCCCAGGAAGCTACAGTCCACCACCGCTCCCGGGGCAGAGGGCCCCCACAGAGGAAACACTGGATTAAAATGAGTAAAAATGTAATAAAAGAGCTAATATAAATGACAACAATTAGAAAATAATAAATAAAATCATAGACAGTAAAATAATAATTTAAATAATAAAACTGTGCTAAAATATAATCATATAGAACATGCAAAGCAAGTAATAAAATATAATCATGTAAAACGAGAAATAAAACTGTAGTAAATATTTAGATAAAAGCTAACCTAAAAAGATGGGTCTTGAGTCTTGACTTAAAAACATGAACGTTCTCTGCGGCCCTGAGGTCCTCTGGCAGCTCGTTCCAGAGGCGAGGGCCATAACACTGGAAGGACGCCTCGCCGTGAGTTTGTGTCCTGACTTTAGGGATGACCAGGAGACGCCTGCCAGAGGAGCGCAGAGTCCGCGAGGGTTCATATTGTAAAAGCAGTTCTGATAGATAAGAAGGCCCAAGACCATTAAGACACTTAAAAACCATTAGAAGAACCTTAAAATTGATCCTGAAACATACGGGGAGCCAATGCAATGATTCTTAAACTGGTGTCATGTGCTCCCGCCTCCTGGTCTTCATCAGGACACGTGCTGCCGAATTTTGTAAAATTTGTAAGCCTGAGATGCTCTTTTTGGGAAGACCAGAAAGCAGGGCATTGCAGTAGTCTATCCTACTGGTGATAAAAGCATGCATCAACGTCTCCGTATTGGCCCGAGAGAGAATGGGGCGGACTCTGGCGATGTTCTTTAGATGACAAAAACCTATTTTTGTGATATTTTTAATGTGTGGGATAAAAGTCAGCTCAGAGTCAAAAATCACACCCAGGTTCTTCACTTGCTCAGATGGATTAAAAGACAGAGATTATAATTTCGGTAAAAGCTTCTCTCTCTGGGCCTCAGGACCAATGACTAAAACTTCAGTTTTGTCCTGGTTGAGCTGGAGAAAGTTCTCTGCCATCCAGGATTCGATGTCTAAAATACAGTTAAAAAGTGCATCCATTGACCGAGAGTCATCCGGAGACACGGAGATGTACAACTGTGCATCATCAGCATAACTGTGAAAGTTGACCCCGTGTCTCCTGATGACACTGCCAAGAGGAAGCATATAAAGATTAAAAAGCACTGGGCCTAAAATTGAACCCTGGGGCACACCACATGTAATCCCATGGACCCTAGAAGAACAGGTATCCAAACTCACCATGAAAGTCCTGTCTGTGAGGTAGGATGTGAACCATCTATGTACAGCACCAGAGAGGCCAATCTGTTGTAAACGAGTTAAAAGAATAGTGTGGTCTACCGTATCGAAGGCAGCACTTAGATCCAGTAGAACCAACACTGTCAACTTCTGTTTATCATAATTTACTCTAAAATCATTTAAAATCTTCAGAAGGGCTGCCTCGGTGCTGTGGTTCACCCTAAAACCAGACTGAAATTTCTCTAGGACATTATTAGTGTTTATAAAATCATTTAGTTGATTTAAAACCAACTTTTCTAAAATCTTGCTTAAAAATGGTAAGTTGGATACCGGTCGATAAGTGTTTAATTCATTAAAATCCAAATTGCTCTTCTTCAACAGGGGCCTCACCACCGCCCTTTTAAAGGCAGCAGGAAAGACCCCCGTCTGAAGGGAGCAATTCATCAGGGTTAAAATCTCATCACTAAAAGATCCATAAAATTGTTTAAAGAACGAAGTTGGAATTGGGTCCAGAACACATGTGGTGGGTCTCACTGAGGAGAAAACTTTATCAAGAGTCTCAGCTTCTACCGGGACAAAACTGTCCAGTGTTTCCTCTGGTATAGACACACATTCAAATTTATCTAAAACCTTATTACTAATGGAGGGTAAAATATTCCGTCTGATGGTGTCTACCTTCCCTCTGAAGTTGGCTGCAAACTCCTCACAGAGTGCATTTGAGGGTGTTTTCTGAAGTGAATTGGAAGTATGGTTTAAAATGTTGTTTATGGTGGAAAAAAGTATTCTGGGATTGTGTTTATTGTCTAGAATGAGTTTGGAAAGGTATGCGTGTCTTGAATTTCTCACTGCGTTATTATATGATTTAAGTAGCTCTGTATATATTTGATGATTTATAGTTGTTTTGTTCTTTCTCCATCTCCGCTCTGCAACCCTGCAATTTCTCTTTAGTTTCTTTAGATTTTCATTTCTCCACGGTGAAGCACGTTTTGAATAAAAACTTTTGATTTTAAGTGGAGCGAGCAGGTCGAGAGTGGATTTCAGTCCACTGTTAAAATCACTGACAGTAAAATCACAAGAGGCAGTTACCGGAGTGGGAGGGATCTTTCTAAAAACTTCAAGAAAACCTGCAGCCACTTCAGGGGTGAGATGACGCTTCCTTACAGTTCTCACAGAGGGTTCCAGCTGGATAAAACTGGTGATGCTAAAAAATACACAGTAGTGATCAGATACAGCTACGATGTAGCCACAGCTGCCCTGGGGCGCACTGACAGAAGCGAGGCTGCCGAGCACTGGCGCCACCAGTCCCTCCGACCACCACCAGCAGGCAAGGTGGTTAAGTGTCTTGCCCAAGGACACAACAGCAGAATTGTCTGTCCAGAGCCGAGATTGAACCTGCAACCTTCCGATTACTGGACAACCCACTCAACCTGTTAAGCTACTGCTGCCCTATAATGAATACCTTGTGAGCAGTGGCGGCTGGTGAATATTTGTTTATTTTTTGGGGGGGGGGGGGGGGGGGGGGGCAATTTACCAGGTGCGTGGAAAAGAGCATGCCAGCCGAGAATTGTGTGACCTGGAAGGTGCATATGAATAACGAGGATCTTAAATAAATTTGTACTAGTAACATGTTTCTTATCCATTTGCTTCCTTACAAAATGATGATTTATGGGCAGGTAAAATAAATGATGGTTTATTAGAAAAAAAATTATATAAATCTTTAAAATATTTGCAATTTCAAGTCACATTCTTGGTTTTTTAAACCAACAGCAAAATAGTTCATGCAGGCAGAAAGAAATTATATAAAAACACTCACTAAACATTAGTCTCTAATGTGTTTAAACAAAACTTGACAAAAATGTAAATTTTTCATCATTATTTCTCACATTTTTATTCAAAAACAAAAGGTTTTCAGGAGAATAATGGATTAGAAAGGTGTTCACGTTATGAATGCATTAAAAATAGCCTTATCGCTCATAATTCTAATAATTAGGTCTGAAATATGTGGTTGGAATGACTGATGCGCAATCCACATATCACCACCAGGGAACGCTAAATCACCATTTGTAGAAGTCACACTGACAGACGGTAAAGCCTGATTCATGCTTCTTCGTCTGAGTCAGTGCGGAGACACGCAACGTCCTTGCGTGCCTGCCGGAGAGCTCCGCAAGGACAGACGGAGTCGAGCTCTCTTTTCTAAACATCCGTCAGTCGAGACAGACAACGCAAGCTTGTGATTGGTCAGGACGCCGCTGTTGTCTACAGTGCCGCCATTGCGCCCTCAAAAACATAAAGAGAGCCAAGGATAACAAG